TTGATTTAAAGATTATCATAAGAAAGACAAAAAAATGCCAAGACGAGCACCAAGACAAGAATGAAGGACTGAATATCAGACAGCCAAAGAGAATTTCAAAAATTTGAGGAATTCAGAGAACGTCCCACCTGTCTCAGTTATCGTTGCTACATCCTCCAAACCCACAGTACAGGATTCCTGGTAGCATCCATAACTATTGTGCTAACGGTTGTACGAAGCATACTGAGGAGTACATCTGAAACAACTTTCATTAAAAAAATTAAATTTACATTTACATTTATGACATTTGGCAGACGCCCTTATCCAGAGCGACTTACAATTTGATCAATTTACACAGGTAAGCGAAGGTAGTGTTAGGAGTCTTGCCCAAGGACTCTTGGTATAGTGTAGGGTACCAGCTAAATCAGCATAAAAACTTGTGCTGTTTTTTCAGCAGGGTGGTCTTCCACATAAAAAAACAGCCTGAGGCATTATGTGTTCTATTCTGTAATCTACTGCCACTGCTGTTCTCACTGCAGGTTTGTCTTGAAGACTTATTTCAAAGTTTTTGTTCGGCGACGATTGAGATTAGCTAAAAGGCGTGTCTGTCACAATTTTACAAACGACCAACTGTTCTGAACAGTTCTTCTGATCTTTAGATATCTATAAGATTTGCCATACTTATTCAGCTTTTATTAGTTACCTTTTGATTGGTTGGCTAGCTCATAGAAATGCTGACTGGATGTCTGTCGCTTTGTCCCCCAGTCTCATTTCATGCAGTGCACTGCTGATAACGAGGCCTTTGACGGCATCGAGTGTGAGGTGTTTGAGTCCGCTCCCCCCATGACCATGGCCCTGTCGGTGTTGGTCACCATCGAAATGTGCAACGCCCTCAACAGGTAAGACTACAACAATCTCTGGACAATTCAGTTCCTACCATCTTTTAAAAGCTGCTAGGGGGTAGAATGTAACATCTCTAACATAGAATACCATACAAACTTTTTACTCAGTTGAGAAAATTCTAAATTTAAAAAGCCCAGTATGAATTGTAGCCATCATCCAATACCTGGTTAATAGTTTTAAACATTGTTTAAGGATTGCTTAGGTGCCTAAGTCTTTTGCACAGTACTGTACATTTGTCATGTATATAGCTTATTCCATCAGTCTTCACTCTCATAACTACATAATTTATATGTAAGTGTCTTAGTAGTTGCTATTTCACTAATAGCAGTTACTGGATAATAATGAGCTTAATGGGTTATATGTGTTTGCGCAGCTTGTCAGAGAACCAGTCCCTGCTGCGTATGCCTCCCTGGAGCAACGTCTGGCTGGTGGCAGCCATGTCTCTGTCCATGTCCCTGCACTTTATGATCATCTATGTTGATCCTCTGCCTGTAAGTGCCACCACCAACTCACCGCCCTTAAAACACAATGCTATATATCTCTGTATGACACAGGTTTTTATTTAGTCAAAGCTTTTTCTCAATTATTGATCTGTCTATCTATCTACAGATGATTTTCAAGTTGACTCATCTGACTCTGGAACAGTGGGTTGTCGTGCTGCAGCTTTCTCTCCCCGTCATCCTCATCGACGAGGTGCTCAAGTTCATTGCTCGCAACTACCTGGAGCGTAAGTGCATACATACAAAAACACATATACAACATTTTCAGAACTTCCTCATATAAATAATTAACTAGGGGTGCACAATGATATTGGAATTACGTTGGTATCGCCAGATATTTGCTCAATAAAAATATCAACACTAAAGACTCTGGAAAAGCTTAATGCTTAAAAGGTGATGTTGGGTTACTGTGTTAAAATATCTGCATGTTATTCATTTTACTGCATTTGTAACCCTCCACAAATAAATATTACACTTCCCTTTAATGCTTATCAAAGTTTAGTGCTCATTTCTGTATTTCTGTATTTCTAAATGTTTACGCATTGGCAGACATGTATATGAAACATTTTGGATATTGACATCAGCCCAAATTCCCATATCGGTGCATCCCTAGAATTAACCAACATCCAAAATCAATAAAACATGGTATGTTCTGATGCTATTATACTGAATTGTGCACCACTTGTGTTACCCACTTCTTTCAACTCTAAATACCTCTTTCAAAGAACCTGCAACAATTTACTTAATTCAGGTTTCACTAAACAATGAAATTAATGATGATTTTCATTTATCATCCTTTTCCAGTGTTAAGACTACATATTTGTTTGGATAAGATTTTTCCTTCTTCCTTTTCTAAACTCACTCTTTCACACAAATTGCCTTTCTCCTCCTCCATACCTTCTCCACTTTTCTGATCTTTTCTAATTTCCCTCCCTCGTTCCATCCTTCTTGATTTTATTCCAGCCTAATCCCGTTCCCTTCCTGTAACAAAGCAAGGTATCCCTCTCCGTTGAGATGCTAGTTTGTTTGTGAGTGACGGAACACTGCTGTTTTAGTGTGCATGGTTGTCCTGTTTAGTCTTTGTTTTTTTTTTATGGATGCTTTTTTCCATGGAGTCTCATCATGATTTAGTCTGCTTTGATTTATATCCTGTATTCAACAGGATGTAAGAGTGAATTTAACTGAATATGGTGCATACATAAAGTTAAAGGAGTACTCTAGCGTTTTCTAATCTAAACATAATCTGTATTGGTCACGTCCGTATCGTACAGTTCCTTACCACAGGCAATGACGTTTTCCCATTCTAAGTGAAAATCCACTGACTTAAAACACAGTTACAATGGAAGCCAATGGGCAGGTGCTGAATCTAATGCCAACTGGCTTCTAATGTGTTTGGAGTTTAGGGACGGGTCTTTTGCTAAAATCATTGCCTGTGGTAAACGACTGCTACAGATGAGCCAGAAAAGGGCTGAAAAACGCTGGAGTAGTCCTTTAAGGCTGCAGTTTAGTTTTTATTGCAATTATACAGCGTTAGCATGGAGTTTGGAAAGGCAAACAGCTTGAATGAATCGTAAAATAGTATGAAAGGTTTAAAAAGGAATAATGATTTGTTACCTGCACTGCACTTAACACCTGCTGTATTAGTGTACAATAATGAAACTGAGCCAGTGCTACAGAGCACTGTAGAACTCAATCATTCAACCTTTACATAAAGGGAAACTCCACCAACCTTCAATCTTTTTGCATAATTCATTGTAATGATGTAGCCAAAATCAATCAGAGCGGTTTAAGGTGAAATTCTCCATTCTAGAGAAACATACTGAGTCAGAATTGTTTATAACAGTGGTGGAACCAGATGTCTGCAAAGTTTACTGCCTCTTTAAGTTACCTCACAGAAATAAACCATTACGAAATGGTTACATTCTCTGCCTGGTGCCTGAGACATTGTTTTTCAGTAGTTTTGAGGTAAAGTTTTGTTTTGAAATGTATACTTTACATAGGGAATACATTCTTGGCAAAGAGATAAATGCAGAGTATCATAGAGGAAAATAGCCCCCCAAAAACATATTTTTTTTCCAGATTTACCACTATTGTACCATTATCAACATTACATCAAAAACTCATAAGATTCACTGGATAGTATATAAAATGGCTAGTTTTGTGATGTACCTTTTGTTCATATCACCACTGCAAAGAATTCTGAGTTTCTCAACAATGAATCAGTTCACATCAAACCACTCTGTATGACCGTTTCACTCAACACTGAATTATGCGAACACTTTGAAAAACCAGTGGAATACATGGCTGATTGTAGATGTACTGTAGATAAACACTAACTCTAAGTTAAACCTCCTCTACATTCCTCATCTGACTGCATATCTTCTCTCCTACAGAAAAAGATGAAAACCTGGTGGCTAAAAAATGGGACTAAGAAGAAAAAGCTGCTGAAAAGCAGGAGAGCTATGACAACACTCAGTGATGTGTTTCAAAGTCTGAGTGCGCTTAAACCAGCCAGTCAGTCAACCAACAGCGAACAGCAATCAACACACCCCAAAGTGCCAAAAAAACCTTAAAGAAAATATAAAAAAAAAGAATAAATGAATGTATAACAATTTAAGTTAATATATATAGAGAGAGAGATTAACATTGTGAACAGTTATGTAATATTGTAATGGTTCTATTCTTAAAAAAATAAACAGATATATTTAAAAAAAGGTGAAGACTCCATTCTTTGTCCCCTGAAAGTGGTCAGATTCTACAGTATGAGTGTTAAAAAAGGACTAGCATTGAAAGCAAAATCCTTAGTGTTGAATTACAGTGAATTACAGTGTTCATTTAATTCACAGCAAAATACTTAAACATGAGTTACAGCAGGATGAACATCCCACACCCATTTCTACTCTCTTAGCAAAAAGTTATATATAGTACTAAAGGTTTTATGATTTGTAACAATAGCAGAACCCTTTTGGTGCTATATGCCATTAGTAAAAAAGTTCTGTAAAGAACCATATATAACAGGTTTTCCATCATAGTCAAGAAACATTAATTCATACAAAGCACCATTTAAGCATTTAAATAGTTCTTTATGTCCTTCCAGTAAAACCAGGCGTTCCTTGAGGAACTTTTTAAAGGATGCCAATTATGCAGACAGGAACTGTAACACTGTTTGTCTTACTGACTTGAATAGACATGTGTTATCCTGGTTTACCTTATATATGATCTTTGTCTGTATGTTGCTATGACAGATTTTGTGACAGTAGCCCTCTCATCCAAATACATATTTTAAAGCAATACCTTCCGCAGACTACGCTGGACAGTGCTTGCCTGAGAAATACAGATTAATCAATGAGCAGCAAACCAACAAAAGCAACAGTAAAAGTGGAAAGCTCCGGTTCCCCTTGAGACCATCCACTGAAACAAGAATCCACAAGCCTCTGAGCGAGAACGAGTGTGAGAGGCTAACCGCTAAGGAAATTTCTAATGAAACTTTAAGAAAGATGCAATTGATCGTGATTACACAAAATTATTACTCAAAATGAATCATATTACTTTAAATACTTGACAGCTCTGATGATTACATAAAATGATATATCTCAGCAATAACTCAGCAGTCAACTGTTGAGTGAAAGGACAGTTTAATAAAATATGTTTAAAAGGAATGATAAAGTCCAAAAGGAAAACAAAACCAAACAGAAAATGTCTGTTGTAAAGACAACAGTTAAATAACTGTTGTATGATTAATAAACCCCAGAAGAGCACACTAAACATGATGAATATTATTAGGATATAGATCACATGATCAATACATCTATTCCTACAGAGTTACTTAAAATACATACAGGACTAGTGTCCCAGACAATGATTAAGCCTAGGCTTAAACTAAAAGTGGTTAAAAATCTCATCATATCGGGTCCCAGGACAGTTTATACATACAATTGTATGCAAAAGTTTGGACACTCCTGGTCAAATTATGTGAAAATAAGTTAACACATCCTCTACAGAGAACACATTTAACATATTGGAAAAAAAATAAAACATAAAATGTGCTGTAACTTTTCCACAGACCATATTTTAGTTTTTTTTTCCTCAGTATGTTAAACTCAGCATATAAATGAAAATTATGCACTAAAATTTGCTGAAAAATGCACTATTTAAGCCTGTTCATTTTAGAGGATGTGTTAACTTGTTTTCACACATGACTGCAAAGGTATTTCTATTTGGCCAAAAAACAAAACGAGGATGGCAAGTTAAAACACCAGTCTGTTTTATTCCCTGCAGCACAACATGTGTTTCTGAAGAGTGTTCCAGTGTCTTATCATGGGCAGTCTTGGTCAGTGAAATGCCCAGACATAATTCCTTTTGTATAGGCTTGATCTGAGAGACTGACTCACAGCCATTAACGCTGTCCCCAAATGTCCCCACACACAAATGTTATGGCAAGTGTATTGTGTATGTTTAATATCTAAGACTAGCATATTTTATTCTTTTCCTACATGTGCTCTTTCCCTCCTTATGCTGGTCTGCGCTGCTGTAAAATAAAGAGGTGTTCTTGTCTTTATTTGTCATGACTGGGAGACTTAATGTTTATTGTGGTGCCATTGTTTGTAACAGGTAAATGTGAATGAGTTTTAGACAACAAAGAAATAGAGATTTCTGTCCCAGACAGTAGTTTGTCATTAGGGACGGCTATGGGGGCCTGAAAAAAAAAGAAAAAGAAAAAAAAAGGCTGTTTTGCATGTGATAATTTGACTGCTGCTTCTTGTCAATATAGCCTTTCATTCTTTTTCCTCCCTAGCCCTGTTGTTTTATTGAAGCAACACCAGTCGGACTAGTCACAAAAATGTGAAATTTAGTTAATTTTACATTTTTATTGTCCATTAAATTCTAATATTATTTATTGATAACGACAATATTTCTTAAATGACTATAGAGAAAGACTGATTGAAGGGCCCGTCTCATGGAAAAACATTTTTTTTTTTTTACTTTTTTAAAGTTGATGTAAACATTGTTTACAGTTTAAAATGGTCCCCATATTAATGGGGGCCCCACATAAATGGCCCCCACCTATGCAATACAGTCTACATATGGAACCTGAGGACACAGTTTTCAGTATATATATATATATAAAATCTGGACTGCTTTTCAGTGAGCAACAATACAGGATAGCCAATCAGAACAAAGGTCATTTACATATATAAAAGGTACCCTAACCAACCTATTTAAACCTAAGAGATAAAAAAGTGGACATAAGATGGAAAAGAACAAGTAAAATGTAGGATACCGGCACATTAACGTAGCCAATTTTTCCATTTTTCTGAACGTCATCAGTTTCAATTGATACCAGGCGCAACAGCAGCGATCACGTTCGCTCAACTTTGATATCCTCATGACTTTTCTATTATTTTATTAGATCTCAGTAGTTAATTTGTGAGCAAAGACTGTCAAGCCATCATGTAAGAGTTGCTGCTTAGCTAACACAGATTTATTTTTGGTAACTGTAGCCGTCCCTACAACCGTCAATGTTCTAAGTTCCTATTAACACAGCTATGACATAACGATGCAGATGTCGAGTCTGCTCTCTGGCTCGGACAGTTATGGAATCATAGTGATATCACCAGCCTTTTCAGTAGCATCAAACAGTGTGCAAAAACCAAGTGTGGCACTTCTATTAAGAGTTTCTCACAGTTATGAAAGTTTAGCTGGTGATAGAAACAAAAATGAGGAATGAACAAGTTCAGGAAGTTAGGTGTTGTTTGTGTGTGTTAACAAAGACAGCAGGAAGTATAAGGAAGACTCGCCAAAAGAGTCTCATTGACACCCTTAGATTACAGTTACCTTGTCTCGTTAACACACACGAGATCATGAAAAAAGACCTGTAAAAAGTTTATGAACTGTTATGAAAGCTTAAAATTCAAGTAGAACCAGTTGTTAGTCCAGTTTCCGAAAATATTAAGCTTAGTTCTGTGTATATTAAGCTTAGCACGTAAAATGTTTGTCATATTTCAGTTAAACAGAAGTGTAAATACAGTGTCCACTGAAAGACATGGCACGTCTCCTTATTTAACCAAACACTTTAAAAGATTGATGCTGATTTCTGATGTCTTTTCACTTTGGTCCACAAAAGGGTGATGGTCTCCAGCTAGCTCACGTGGCACTGCTGGGCTGGTCACTGTCTACTTCAAGTCCTTCCCCAAGGATCTGCCTCACTTGGTCCAAAGAGTCTGCCTGACGAATCTGCTCCAACTTCACCTGAAAAGAGGAAAGTAGTACAGAAAGCTTCAGTATTTGTTAGCCTCAGAAGATTTATTGTAATACAAAGCAGCACACAGAAAATATAGTCAAATATAACTAGGCCCTTAAACACCAAGGGCCCATACAGTACAGTGCAAAAGTCAGAGACCACCCTGCATTTACTCAGTTTCCAGTCAAGCTTTCATCTTTGAGAGATAGGAGAAAATCTAATTCCATGCTTGCTTCAGATCTTTCTGCCCATCCTTCCACTGTGAGAAGACAACTCAACTTTATGGGCCTGAAAGGATGTGTAGCTGTCAAGAAACCATTGCTAAGAAAAGCAAAATTTGAAAATCAAACTAAGCTGCTGATGTTATCTGAACACTAGACTGGCCACCCCAGACTCCAGACTAGAGGTTTGCACAGGATCGATTTTTCAGTCCCACGCCCGCCCACTCCAGCAGAAAACCTCCTGCCCACAACCTAAACATTTTGTCTCTCTCCTACTCCCGCCACCAGATTTGGATAACTGGTTTCCACCTGCGTTAGTCATGGCTGAAAATTACTGCCATAGGTCAGACTTCACTTTTGTCATGGTTATTCTCGCATACTCACCTTTACTAAGCACACTTTCCACAGCAGTGGCCGTGTGACTGTCTAAAGGCTCCGCCGTTATTGTAACACAAAATACAATGAATCATGTGATTGGTTGCTTCTATTTAGAATGAGTTTATGCTTCATTATTTTGCTGTTATGTATTATTTATATATGCTAATTATTAAGTGACATCATATTATTTGGACCTTACATTAATTTGTGGGATTTCCCTACACATAACACTGAAAATTTCCCCACGCCACAAGACCTATAGTCCAGACCTCAACATTACTGAAGATGTTTGGAATTACTTGGATTCTGAGGAGTAGAAAATGCAAACAACTTCTAAGACTGTACTGCATCCTTGCATATTTCTTCGGAAAACCTAAAGCAAGTCTTCTGAAAAGAATGGAAGCTGTAATAAAGGATGCACTAAATACTTAAAATGTAATATTATATGTGGTTGTTCAGTTTTCTGTATTAGTTTTTTTGTGTGATGCTGAAAAATGAATAACTGAAAACACAATAGCCATTTTGACTGGATATTAAATAAACAAAATGGTCTATAACTTGCATATTGCTGTATCTGGGCCCACCTTCGATTCCTCTCTTTAATTTCATAACTTACTACAGGTGTAAATCTCAGGGATAACAGTGAATCAGTTCTCTGTTTCGATTCGAGGAAGCGATTCAATGCATCATGAAATGTCAGATTTCTCCACAATTCTGATTTATTTTTTAAAATGCACCAAATACACAAATGTGATTAGAGGAACTATTTACACATTAGTAGTATACAGACTATAAAAAACGTAAAAAATCAAGAATTTTTAATAAACTATTTTTTATGTGATGATGAATGTACTCATTTGAAAAATATTTTGATAGATTATTGCCCATCCAAAATAATCAAATATAACATTTCAAAATCCATGCCACTAAATCACAACCTTCAGATCACTGCTGCTGAATCACTACCTTTAGAACACGTTATATCTCGTAATTTATAGTAGTTACTAAAGAATAAGTGTCCAGTGAAGTTAATATAAGACTGCAGTTTAAGGGCTTCATCTGTTTGTACAGACTGATAAAAAAGTGGCCACAGGGGCAGAACAGTGTTTATGTGTGCTGTCAGAGCTAACTGAGGGAACGGTCCTGATCCTCAATCACAGCTGTGTATACCTGCAATGACTGCGACAGCTGCACAAAGTCCCTCTGCACGGCCTGACTGGTGTCCAGCTGAGAGCGCAAACTGATCACCTGACTGCGCATCTCTAAACACTGCTGCTGAAGAACCGTCTGAAACAGACAGAGACAGAGAGATAGATGGGGAGAGAGAGAGAGAGAGAGAGGGAGAGATTGGGAGAGAGGGAGGGAGGGAGAGAGGGAGGAAGGGAGGGAGGGAGAGAGAGAGGGAGGAAGGGAGAGAGAGAGGGAGGGAGGGAGAGAGAGAGGGAGAGAGGGAGGGAGAGAGGGAGAGAAGGAGAGAGGGAGGGAGAGAGGGAGAGAAGGAGAGAGGGAGGGAGAGAAGGAGAGAGGGAGGGAGAGAAGGAGAGAGGGAGGGAGGGAGGGAGAGAAGGAGAGAGGGAGGGAGAGAAGGAGAGAGGGAGGGAGGGAGAGAGAGGGAGAGCGGAAGGGAGGGCAGGAGAGAGGGAGAGGGAGAGGGAGAGGGAGAGGGAGAGAGAGAGAGAGAGAGAGAGAGAACACATGTTATAAGAGACAGCGGGATTACACAACCATTTGAACAGATATAAAGACAGAGATCAATTCTACCTTGTCGTGGCTCTGTGTCTTGCTGTCTCTTTGTAGGTGTGAGAGCGCCACCCGAAGGCCCTGCAGCTCAGTGCGACACTCTTGCAACTCACTCTCCAACTACACACACAAATACACACATTATTAAAATACACTGTAACTAACTGAAATCAAATTAGATAAGTCATATGAACACTGCACTCTCTTTCCCTCTACTTTGGGGGGAGGGGGGCTAAAACAAATGGCTTTTCAAACAAAACATGTTAGTACAAAATATAGATTAATAAAAGTCTTTATGTAGAGACACCCCAATGTTCAGAGCAAGTGTACGCCAGGATTGAAAAGCATTTAGCTAAGCAGTTTAACTAAGGTTACAATCACATTACAAGCCACATTGCTCAATTCAGTTTTTTTGCTCAGGTCCGACCTTTCATACTTCCCATTCATGAAGTGTCTTAAGTCTCCCCGAAACAATCTGCATGCACCAAGCCTGATCAACAATGTTCACGTTAATGAACCACATGCGTGATGAACAAACTAACTAGCAGAACAAGCCTTTTTACTGGCACTATCTAGGTGCTGCTGCTACTAATAATGCTGCAAGCAACATGAATTCTGATGTAACTGTTCTAAAGCAACACTTCGGTTAACAATTTTGTTAAATTGAAAGAAGTAGCATTACTGAATCAGGAGAAAAAAAGGTTCAAATATGGTGTGCATGCGCTGCGAGTCGCCCTGTAAAGCCCAAAATAACAATTTAAAAGTTAAAGGCGTTAGGTTGGATTTTCTGGGGTTTTTTAGCTCCTGTCATACATTTTTACATATTAATGTTATTTACATATATCCTTTGAAGACATGTCTTCCACCACGTTTTGACTAAGTTCTCTTTGAGTACTGTTTCAACATGCTTGCACTTTGTGTGTAATTACATTTTTACACCAGAGAGGTCTCCAAATTCCCAAATATTACAAAGTGCAACTTAAAGGTCGCACATGCACAAATCGGATACGTATACAATCTAGAACACCACATGAAAGTTGTTCCGATCTGATTCAAAATGATCAGATTTGTGTGTCCATACAACTCTGAAAATATAAGATTTGTGTTACATTAAAGCAAAAAATCAGATTTCTGCCGATTCAATTTGGTAATGTGAATGTGGCTCAGGCCTCATTAAACCTTATCTTGGGTGGACTGATCATATGTGAACAATGCTTTGTACACATATGAATCAGGTTCAATGTGCACTGTGACCAAATGATCACTAAACATTTGTAGTGTTAAGTGTTCAGAATGGTCCTCGGCAAAAAAAGAAGGACCATCTGAACAACTGCATTATCACAGAGAAGATGAAAGCAGTTTCTTTCTTTGCCTCTTCTCAATTAGTTTGTAAACTGCATTATAACTCTCTGCGATCTAAATGGTTGTAAGAGTGTCAAACTGGGGCCTCTCCGGGCCAAAGTGCTGCAGAGATTAGCATTTACCCTGATCTAACGCTCTGAATTCAGTTCATGAAGGCCTTGCTAATTAGCTGATGAGCTGAATCAGGTGAGTTCAATGAGGCAGTGTGCTGAAGTCTGCAGTGTTTTGGCCCACGAGGACTGGAACGTGACAAGTGATGTGTACACGAACAAGGACTTGCAGGACATTTTTGTTTGACAACAAACAAAGCAAGCAACTGATGTAGTATATGTGCATGGCACTGTTCCTCCAATCACAATGCCTGATCATTTAAGATACAAGGAAATACCAAGTGTGAACATCCATACATCTATACATATACTGTCCACTTGATCACTCAAGTTAGCAGATCACCCAATGTAGATGTTAATATCAGGTATAAACAGGGCACAAGTATAGCAGTAATAGCTGGACCTTGACTTCATCTTGGCTCTCTCATTCATGTTTATCAGTCACAAGAGGAGGAAAAACATGGGGTTTTACTTTCAGGACTGGGGAGAGTAAATTATTAACTTTTCCATTACATCACATATAATGGACATTGCTTAAAATAACTCCAACAGTGTTCAGCTCAAAAACACCCCACACGTACTTCAAAAAGGGGTGCTAAGATATGTTTGACATAAATGACCTTGTGCATCCTTGTTTATAAATCCATACTAACCTTATCTTTTTCGCTTTGGATGCGATCCGTCTCTATTTTCAGGCTGGAGAGCTGGGCTGAGAAATGAGGGAAAGAACAAACACACTGAATCACACATGCTCACAGCAGACCAATCATACTGGGCCTATTTTCCCAAAAGCATGGTAGTGTTTAACTAACAGAGACAATATTTATGATTTGTTCTACAAACCTCATTTCCAAAAAACTTGGACAGTGTGTGAAATGCAAATAAAAACAGAACAAAGTGATTTGTAAAATTAATTTTGCCACCACAAATGCAAGTTAAGACTGCATTATGCACAGCAGAAGCCATGCATCAGCAATGTACAGGGACACTGCTGACTTGCCTAGGCTCCAACTCATTTGAAATGGACTGATGAACAGCAGAAGTGTGTACTGTGGTCTGATGAGTCAACTTTTCAGACTGCTTTTTTTTTTTTTTAGAAATAATGGACATTTGGGACAAAGAAGAAAAGGACCAACAGGACGGTTACCAGCATAATGTTCAAAAGCCAGGATCTGTCATTGTATGGCGTGTATTAGTGCACATGGCACCATTAACACCATTAACTTTTTTGAGCAACATATGCTGCCTTCCAGACAGCGTCTTTTTCAGGGACGTCCTGGACAACATGACAAAAACCCAGCCACATTCTGCAGCATGGCTGTGTCATCTTATGGTCAAGGGGTCTCAGTTTGAAAATGTGTGGTGTTTTGTGAAGTGCAAAATATAACAGCGAAGGCCAGGTATGGATATGCAGCTAAAGACTTCTGAACACTTTCGAAACTGAATCAGTTGGGCTCGTAAGTGTTGTTAAAAGGAAAGGTGATGTAATACAGTGGTAAACATGCTCCTATCCCTCCTACTTATTAGTACTGTTGCACACAGTACACAACTACACACAATGTATTCATTTATTTATTTATTTATGTTTGTTTGTATATATGTTTGTATGTGTGTAAGTAAGTATGTATGTATGTTTTCAACTCACCTTCTAAGACCTCTGTGAAATGGAAAGAGGAGAAAATGGAAAGAAGGCATCAGTTACTATATGGAGCACAGTTTAAATACACACCAGAAAAACACTGTTCGTTTGAAAATGCTGAAGTGTATGAAGGAAACAAAAAGAAATGAAAGGACAAACCACTTTCTTCCGTGCGCATCTCCAACTGTTCCTTCAAGTTCACTATTTCAATACGCAGCCTCTCTTCAGAGTGTGCCCCCTACACAGACAAACACTGACTTAATTCATCTCTCCTTTTCTCTATTTCTCATACACCCCCTCCCCCCCCACAGCCTGTCTGTTACCTGTAGAAACAGCGGTGGGTGTTCATCTTCTGTTGTGCTGCTCTCATCGGCCTCTTCTCCCTTCAGCCTGGACAGCTCACTGTACACTCTCCTCTGAGAGAGAGACAGCTCTGTCTACACAAGACAAGGTGCAGTTACAATCCACATCAGAGTAAATTGCTTTTTAATTGTTATTTCAATACTGACCTTTGCATTTGTGGCAGGGCTAGGCAATATACTATCATTTTTTTTTAATCATAGCTCTTGCAATTTGACAATTGCGCTCTCTTAAATTACACAATATAAAAATAATACATTTTTCAGCCCTACTACACCCCATGCAAAACTCCCCTGCACAGAGATGCATGTCTAAAATTTGCACACAAGCATTTACATGAATCAGAACTCAGAACTTTCTGTTTGGCAAAACAAAAACTAAAACTCTTTGGCAATAATTCAGCTCATCATGTTTGGAGAACAAATAATTTGTTGTGTAATTTAAAAAAAACCTATACCCACAGTGAAGCAGTGGTGAAAGGTGAAAGCAACATGACATAGGGCAGCTTCTCCGCAAATGGTACTAAGGCATTACATGTCATTGAAGGAAACATGAATGAAGGACATACTGGGACACACTAGAGGATAATTTCATCTAATCGGCCAAAAAACTGAATCTGGGGAGAAGATGGATGGTTTAACAAGACAACCATCCCCCACATTCAGCCAAAACAACTCAAGGTGAAGGTGCTAGCATTGGCTAGCTAATCTCCAGACTTCAATCCCAATGAAAATTTATGGAAAATTTGCAATTTTGTGAGTCCAACAGAGAGGTAACCTTGGGAACCCCAGATGTTTGGCCAAGAGGAACAGGCCAAAAATGAACCACAAAGTGAATCTTACCATAGACGTCTCAAAGTTGTAATGCATAGTGTGCATTTGTTATCTTAAGCATCGAGTAATGCAATGCTCTCTATTTCAAGCTTCTTAAGAAAACTAGTTTTTAACGCTTAAATGTGCTGGCACCTGTCTACCTCAATGAATGTTTGCTTATGTTCCAACAGGTGATATTTTTCTGTTATTATGTTTCTTAACTGTCTGAACTCATTACCTCTTACAGTAAGAGAGTTAAGTTCAGATCTAATTTTTAAGAAACATCTAGATACATTTTTTAAAATGTTGCTTTTATTTAAATGTTATGGTGCACATCAATTACACTGCACTTTTCACTTTACCTTTGATGTTATATTACTGTATGTGATTTAATTTTATTACTATTTTATCTTATGTTTTAGTTTTTCTTTACTTTTTGTAAAGCACTTTGAGCTGCTGTATGTATGAAAAATGTTTTAGAAACAAAGCTAGTTTTATTGTTGTGTGCTGGGAGCACACTGAGCTATTCTCACATAATCCATAAGAGTTTCTGGAGTTTCTGGATATCACTGAAAAAAACATTACTGGTAAAAAAAAAAAAAAGGTCTAAATATTGTATGCCAGCCTTTAACCACGTCAACTCACTGACTCACCAATGTGTTCTGAATATATTGCAAGGCATATTACTATCACAATATGTAGAAATATAATTGTAATATGGTATATCATGCAGCCCTGACATGCACAAAGAAATACCCACTCACACACCTCAGCACTGACCTCAAATAAAAGAAACTCTCTGACTGGATTAACTTCTACTCACCAGTCTGCTCTGTACAGCGTTCTGTGATTGGCTAAAGGATTTCTGCAGCTCCAGGAGGAGGGCCTCAGATGTCTGTACCTGAGACTGGAGTGCTGACACCTGTGTTTCACATACACTTTTTTAATGCAATGTCAAGATGTAGGGTCATACATACATCTCATTATATATATATATATATGTATTGTACACAGTACTGTAAAAAGTTTTAAGAGAAATCTGGAACCATACCTTGTTCTTTAAAAAAATATATATTCTTTTTTTAATTGTGGTGTATTTATGTTTATTTGCATTTATTCTAATGATATATGGTGTTTTTTTTCAAGCAAAAACACACTTATTGCTGAGATAAATGATTTTGAACATTGCGCTTAGGTGTCTACGATTTTTGCACAGTACTGTATAAGTAAGTTCCCCATTTAGGATCATTAATAATTACAATCATTTTTCATAAACTTTTCAGTTTTCATTTTAATCAGTTTACTTTCACTTTTTTTGACTTAATACTCATTCTTTAACTTTCACTTTTCCTCTTTCATCTTACTTTCACTTTTGTATGGCCTAGATAATGGCTGCAAATGTATAGTTACAAAGTTAACTACAGTGGAATGAGGGGCTATAAATGTTGCAATTTTCCCCCTAAATCACTGCCTTATTTGAATATTACGATCCTCTTCACTTTGTAACCACATGCAATGCATCTTATGCTTATTATGGTTATAATAATAAGTACCCATTTTGGGCCTTATCTTTCTGCCCAACAAAGTTTCAATAGACCACTATTTCCTTCCTTAATTAAAAAAATAGAACTAGGGTTGCCATGACTGAGACCTAAAGGTTAACACTGTGGTCTTATGAAAACTGAGAGTTCGAAACCTGTTTCTGGGTTTCTGTGGTCTGTGTGTCCAGCTCTTTCTCAAGCTGTGCCTTCTGCTCTCTCAGCTGGGTCAACTCTCCCTGTAATTCAGCCACCTGACAACAGAGCAAACCTCAGTTTAACAAATCAACCATAACAACAAAAAAACATGAGTATCAAAAAAGGAATCCAATTTTCTCAGAAGTGGCAAAATTAGGCAATAGTATACAGCCTGAGTACAAAACTTGTGACTTTTCACCTCCCAGTGGACTGCTAAGTACAGTAACAAACATCACATTTGCACTAGATTCTGCAATAACCAGTCTATTAGTAATGATGAGTAGTAATGATCACCAGTAATGATGAAGTTTCGTTCAGAAGTGAAAGGGCAAAGGGGAAAAGGTGACGCCATAACAACGCCCTGGTTCTCAATGTTAACTAAACAAAGGATTTCATTGTTGAATCGGAGAAGGAAACGCACACCAGTAAGTGTTGAGTCAACAATTCTCCCGAAAGCACCCAAATATCTTCTACTACTTCACTACTGTCGACACTGCCTGTGGAGGTGGTGCATGACTGAGCCTCAGATGCTTTCAGACGTCTAGTAAAACAGTATCACAAGTCAGACGAGTCATGTCATCTGATCTACATCCAGGCTACTTTTACCTAAACTGCTAATGTCCGGGCCCAAAAGTGGTCACCTATAAGCGTGACGAGAGGTGCTGCAGCACCAAAACATTGTGCAAAATCATATTCAGTATTGATATATGCAGTATAGAACAGCTAAATGCACTAACCCCCCTATGTGTTTCTGTGTACACGTAGCATAAACATTCACTCTAGTTTTGAATGGAAAGGGACCACCGAAGGACAAAAAACATCAGTTCTCACAGTTGACATGTTGGATACGAGAGAAATAGGCAGGCATAAAGACCTGAGTGGCTCTGACAAGGGCCAAATAGTTATGGTGCTGTTATAATTATAATTATTAATATTAGAATGCTTTTTACAAACTGCCTGGTAATATGATGATTACGACTACACTAGACTTCTTTGAATGACTAGTCAATTAGTAAAAATTAAAAGTCATGCAACCCCTAATTCAGAACTAAAGCTGTTGTACTGCACTGACCTGTGCTTGGAGTGCATCCCAATCTGCATGTGTGACCAGCCTGTGCCCTGGTGGAGGCAGGTAGATGGCTTCGGGCACCAGTGTTCCTGTAGAAATCAGGGAGGCAGTGTCATCCTGAGGGTGTGGGCGTCTGGGCAGGGAGGGAGTGTCGAGGGAGAAGGAGGAGAGTGAGGCAGAGTCGCAGTGCTGGGTGTAAAATCCTTCCATATGGAGTCCTGTGCTCTCACTGTCTGACGGCTCAATCATCAGCTCCCGCGGCTCACAGTCCCCCTCCGCACCTTCAGCATCAGCACCTTTGGGGGACCGAGACTCACCCTGGAGTTTCTCAGCAGGTGGGGAGGCCCCCTCCATCCTTCCCTTCTTTCTACTGTCCTACAGTGAGAGAGAGTCAAAAAGGGAGAAAGAAGGTCAAAGAGAAAGAAAGGCTGTGTTTCAAATGTATACTAAGCATTAATTCCAGCTGCATATACAGCAGTGTTTTCCCACACACCCATTATACTCTGTTGATGCACTCTTGTGTGCAAATTCAGGGTGTCAGTGAAGCACTTATCTGTCGTTAAATCTTACAGATATACAGTCAGAATAAATTATTCTATTTATATATTTTGATTATTTTAGCAGACATTATTCAAGTCTGGTTCAAGGCCATTTTCAAAACCCTTTTGCCAGTGATTATGGTTTTGTACACCATGTTAGTTGCAGGCAGACTATGTAATTACACAACCAACCAAATTAGGTTTTTACTATCAGTCATGAAACACTTGGATTCACTGTGTTTCCTCTGCCAGAGCACATTAAAGAAATGGCACTTCTAAATAAGACCCTCTAATAGGCTATAATGTGACCCACTGGAACCAAACAGCTCAGAAACAGATCTAAATCATCATCCTTTGCTTCACTATAAAAGATGGCAGATAAAAACTGAGTTAGACTCCAAACAGCAGTGGTTAGACCATTTGAATGTTTTATGAGTAAAAAAAAAAAAATGTATGAAATGCTGTGACAGGATGAGCTGCCTAACGCTTGATAGTTAAAAGAAAATAAAAGAAACCGATAAAAGAAACCGATACGGCTTAGAGCTTTCCAGTGACTAATGTTGGTAATGTGATGTGGATGATGAGCTCTAGTGATGTTTGCAAGGTTTGTAAATGACAATTCACTTACAGTGCAAACTGTATATCCTCAGGGAGTAGTTCGGTTTGGAGGGAAGGTTGGTATTTTCTGACCGTTCTGCTGCTTCAGAATTTAAACCAGCATATTTTCTTTTCCAGTGGTCGAAGGCAATGTTAAGCTTTCGTGAAAAGCTAAGTTAGACTTGCATTTGTTGTATATGACAACTTTATCCTTCATTTTGAGAAAATGCTCCAGGACTTTTTTAACTTTCAGCCACATTTGTTCTTTTTCTTTTGCTATTTGCTCACACATGGCCAACACTATAAGCAAATTGCTGCCCCCTTCAAGTTAAGTCATTTACTTGGAATAGGCTGAATGTCAGAAATGTAAACGAAAATCAACGGAAATATCTGACAACGATTTTTATTGTTGTTTCAGCCCTGCTAACAGCACAAATCACAAGTGTATGTATGAACTGAATGGGGGAAATTCTGCACATTTCAAAACCCCCTGCATATCAAACTCTGCTAACACAAACAAGCACACACATACCTTGTTATCTGGAGTGAGTCCTGCTCTCCTCCACTGAGCACGCTCTGACTGTAGTGCTGATATTCTGGCCTCATACTGCGCCGCTGTCTCTGAGAAAACGAAAGATGGAAATAGATTCAGAAAGAACATTTAGATGCTATTTAGATGTTTGTAAATTCTATTCTGCTTTTTGAACTTCTTTTAACAGCTTGTACTGTGCCATATTTTTTGATGACACAAGCGATCTTGATAGAGTGGGACAAAAAACACTGTGACATCAGATCAACATACTTTGGCTTCTGTTGCCTTTCACTTTCTGTTCCTCTCCTCACCTCTGAGGGCCTCTTGAAGAGACTGGATCTCCTGGTCGCTATGTTTCTGTAGTTCCTGCAACTCCTCCTGTTTGCTCAGCTCGCAGATCGTTGCCACGCCTTGCCAGTGCTCCAGCTGTGCTCGGCAGTCGACTAGCTGGATCTGCAGACTCAATTCAGCTTCAGATGGACCTAATGGAAAAATTAAAAAGAGACTGACCCAAGCTGATCATTCCCGTGCAACTCCTATTTCATGTCTTCGTTACATTCCAAAAGATAGGGCACACAGGATAAGACACTATCAAAGTAGCCAAGTAGAAGCATGTAGTATATGCACTTACTATCCACTTTCTTAGACACACCTACCTTGAATTTACACTAATGGCCCATTTTGTTAGGGAAACTTACAATATAGGTGCACTTTGTAGTTCTACAATTACAGACTGTAGTCCATCTGTTTCTCTGCAAAATTTGTTTGCACCCTATTTACTTTGTTCCCCCTCAGGACCACCACTGAGCATTTATTATTTGGGCAGTGTTATCATCCCTCACTTTTTTTTAACAAAAGAGACTGACTATGCAAACATTATTGAAGTTTTTAAACATACTATTCACTCTCCAGTCCATACAGTTCACACATGGAAACTAAGCTGCAAAACAGTCCATTCTGAATTAACTGTTCTAGTCACATAAAAACCAACATATACAGCCGACATCAGTTAACCCGCACATTCATGTTGAAGCTATAAAGGGTGTTTCAGCGCAGACTGCTTTTTGAATGAGGCCCAATAGAGGACAGCCATTCAGAGCGGATTCCATTTACATGTCTTAAAGTCTTAAAGTCACAGTAACAAAAACAGCCTGTTTAATTATTAGAGATAAAGAGAGGTTGGAAAATGGTCATGTAAGATGAATAAAATTAAATAGGCCTCCGCAAAAATAGAATTCAATTAAATTACAAAAAGTACAATATGGGCCCTTTATATAACTCAGGACCAGTTTCCCAGTTTCCCACAAATGGATTAAGTCTATTCGTAGCCTAATTGTAGAGCCAATGATGAATCACAATTGAACATTTTTATTAGTCTACACTTAGGCCTACTCTGGATTAAAGGAAAAGGCCTACAGTGTCACTGCTGGGCTGAGAATAGTCCGCCAGCCAAAAATGTCCAGCCAAGAGCGTCCCGTGGCAAGAAACTGACCACTGATGAAAGACTAGGAGACGATCAGGACAATCTGTGCGGCAACAGATGAACTATCGTCTCTGACTTTACATCCACAAGGCACATCACCTAGTTAGGTGTGTCTAGAGTGGACAGTAAGTGGCCACAGTGTTTAAAAACTCCAGTAGCAGTGCTGTGTCTTAGCAGATAAGTGCTCAGTGGGTGTCCTATGGGGGTCCTGATGAACATGAAGCTAACAAATTATGTAGAGAAACAGATGGACTACAATTTGCAATTGTAGAACTACAAAATCCACCAATATGGTAAATGGACATGATAAAATGGACAACGAGTGTAGACTCGGGTAGCTACCTAATATGTCTCATGAAGTGGCCACGCATCACTGATTACTTCAGTTAGTTGGGCTAATGCGGTTCTGAACATGACGAAATCAAGCGATCGGACAATAATGGTGTGGGAAATGGCAAAATGACACAGAGCTCTGATTTCAGGTACAAAACCCAACACAATTCAGAATCTAACTTACTTAAACTACCGATTAAAAGCCACGACAGTAGACAAGTTTAAGACTTAACCACCTGTTGATGGCTGACTATTCTTCTTATTATTACCAAATTACATGAGCCAACATTCATCTTAGCTCCCTAACCATCTCCAACAGCCGCAAAAGCCCAAAGAAAAGCATTAACAGTTGAAAATGAATGAGGTTTAAAAGTTGGCTTCCTATTTGCCAGCTTCTTGCTCAGATTGTCCCGGTCCACCTTAAATGCTGCAGAAGTTAGCTTGTCCAGAGGCGCCACAACGTAACTCCCGCACCATTTAAGGTGGACCGGCGAAATTCCAATACGAAGCTGATTGAGCTTCGTTCAAAATGTCTAACTTACTATGAACAGTTGTAACTATCTAACTGGTTGTTACACCATAAACAGAACTGGCAAACCGAGTCCAGCACGAAATGACGTAACGTTACCACAGCTACAAAGCCCAACTTTTTAAAGCAGTTTCCATGTCGCTTTGTCGTAATGCTAGCAAACGTCATTAGCGTACATACCAGCAGTGTCGCCGTCCTCTGCTTGTCCAGCCGCTGGCTTGTCCGTCTCCTCCATGCTCTAAAACTCTGTAAAGTGGACCCGTCCCATCCGTTTCAGTTTCAGTTGAGCATTAGCAAGCATGCTACGTTCACGGACATGCACCTCTCTTTCCTGTTCACATTTATCCTCACCTAAAGCTCCAGAAATGAAAAGAGTAGTCACACAGCTCGAGAGCTCAGAGGAAACAACTTTCCCCGGTTTAACCCTGCGGATATTACGCAACCATCCTTCCTCCTAAACCTCACAGGGAAAACTGAAAGCGCTGAAACCCAGAGCCGCCGCTGAGTGTTCACCTCTCAGCTTCGGAGAGGAACGTGGACTCCAGACTGGACTAAAAAGAGCAGCAAACTCAGACACGCAGCTACATCTAATCAAACACTGACAGTCGGCTTGACAGCTGACGTTGCAGGGTAGGGTTAGCGGGCCCCCGCACTGCGCATGCCCGAAGGGAAACGCATTCGAGTTTGTATTCCTGCCTTTGTGAGGTGTGTCCATGGTCTTCTATTTGACAGACTGCTCCCCTGTATGTCCGAAAGTTTGTAGACACCTGCTCATCCAACGTTTCTTTGGAAATCAAGGGCTCTAACAGAGTTTGCCGCCCCCCCAACCCTTTAATGCAGTAGTAGCCTCCGCGTTTCTGGGAAGGCAAACAAATGTCCCCCCAAAGTCAGAAATTATATGCTTCCCCATCATCCTGAGGACCTTCGGTCCCCACACAGAGCTAAATACACACGCGGAAACGAACACACGCTGTACGTAAAGGGGAATACCATCGATTTTTCAAAATGTCTTCATGAGTAAATCGTTACAATATAATCAGTCTTTCAGGATGGTTTGATGTGAAATGCTTCGTTCTAGACGTTCTCAGAGCAGTGGAGATAGGAACCTGATGTCTGGAGCAATTCACTCAATTTAATTTAAAAGTTGCCTCACAGAAAACACACACACACACACTTGTTACGAATACCATGTCTGATGCCTCAAATTGTTAGTTTTGCTGTAAAACGTATTTGAAAAAAAAACAAAACAAAAAAAAAACAAAAAAAAACACACTTCTCCTATCGGACAGGCTTGACTTTAAGCTTTAGTTATCTGACTAAAATGAGAAGTCCTGCTTTGTAAAATACCCCCAGTTCCCATCACCACCACTGTAAAGAAATCAGAGCTGGTAAGTTTCTCTACAATGCACCATCCCACATCAAAACACCCTAAATGACTGTTGATCTCAAATATGCAGAATTGTGGAATTTCCTTTTAAGCAGGCACCAAGTACAAGAGCACAAACAGTACATACATGTGTTCCTGATAATACCCAGTATGAAATCCAATCAGAGAATATTTTTCCCCCTCATGGGAAACAAAACCCAGCTAGGGAAAAAAATGGGCCTAAAATGTTAAGCAGGAGCAGTCACTACCTGGAAATGTGGCAGGAAGTAGATAGCTGTATCTCCTTCACTGAAGCAAACAGTCTGCTCCCCCCCAGAGGGAATTTTAGAGAGGCCTCACATATTTCAGATGACCCATTTACCAAGCAGTTACAAAAAAACAAGGAATCCATTTCTGAACTGGACAGGGAATTCACACACAAAACACAACCAAATGCTTGATCAAAATGTGTTTATTATTACAACTTGTTACAATAACTACAATAAGACAAGGGTAAAAATGAAAGAAAAGCATTCAAAATGCATCTAATTATGCTTAATAAAACTTGGCAAACCTCAGAGCATCAGAAGTATCAGAAATCCTTTCAACACTGATCATGTCATTGTAGTCATAATATTAAAACCATACAGTACGGATAAACATTAAGCACAGTGTATGAAGTAACCTTAAAACATACTACTGATGCACAAAAGGCCAGCGGCAAAGCGCCCAGTCTAAAAGCATGATGTCGTCTTTCATGTAAGCTTTATAGCACATTTGGTAGACAGTCTGATGGGCAGACATTTAAAAAAACACTAGTACAAACTATACAGGATTTAACAGTGCATGCCTTGGTTGGGACATGTTCTAAGTGTGTACAGTAACAGTACACTTGACCAACACTTTGTTGGCTTTAGGGGAAAAAAAAAAAAAATACTAAATGTTTTCCCCATAACAGCTAAAGGGTGCTGGTAAGGCGTGATTTTTGGAAGACGGCGCTGAAAATCTGAAGTCTATTACCATTGGTCCTCTACAGTGCAGTAATGCTTAGTGGTGCTTTAGTGGTTTCCTTTCTACTACTCCTTCAAATGTTCTTTGCTTTACAGCCATCTTTTCAGTCATCAGTTAGACCTTCCAATCCAATCTCATCTTAGTTCATATCCTGGTCACCAACACTTTGCCGGAGGTACTCCTCATACAGCTCCTTCTGTGGACATATGAATACACACAGTTCATAAAACAAAATGTATGGATATACTTCTCTTCACTGTAATGCATTTCTGTAGTTTCAACAATGTACTGTGTTCAAGCCAGTATGATACTTTAAATGTGTTTCAGTTTTATACAGCGTCCTGCGTTTACAGTACATGCAGATTATATCATATCAAGCACCTTACTGTATAGCTACTGTAATAGTGTAATATATCAACATAGTATCAGCTTTTTTGTAAAAGTAGACACAAAAAGTAATTTTTTAAGCAGCAAAAGGACCATTGGCATTACTGCAATTACATTTTTTTTTAGTTTTCCATTATTTAAATGTTAAAGCTGCACTAAGATTTGGAGACCTCTTTGGAGGCAATGTGTAATTGCAGAACATGCGGAAGAACATTTTGTAATGCTGGTTGTGCTGTGGACCCTTTCCCTGGGCAGATGAATCTGATTGTGAGTGTGTTGAAAGAGTATTCAAAGAGAACTTACATCTTCTGAGGATGTAAGTGAATTATCTATTGTTGTCATCATATCTTCATCAGTATAATGATTTTGCATGAGACAAACATTGAGCTGGACCTTCTTTTTGAGACTGTGAGGGCAGCTCACAACAGCAAGCACACACACATTTTGTAGTCGGCGCCGTGCTCTTATGCCCATATTAGGAACTCCGGGTCTAAGCTCCATTTCTCCATGGCCAGAATGAATAGGTTTTTCTAAAAATCACCTCTATGGCACCCTGTGTTAAATAAAATGTTTAGATCCCGATACGTTTTGTCCTGTGAACTTTCTTCTCTCAAATACCACTGGATCATCCGAATTACGAGGTCGTTAAAGAGTTGACCACTGTAGTCATCTATTTTGACCAAAAGAAGGGAGGGGGGAAAAAAAACACAAAACAAAAAAAACAAAAAAACTCACCTCAGAGCAGTTTTAAAAGAGCTGGCAGTAACTAAAGGTAAACCAATTTACCTAGCACAACTTGTATCAACAGAAAACAAAACATGAATTGTTCAAGTGAGTGCATCAACTTTGTTTTTGTCAATGTCAACATGTCAATATACAGCAGATTTTAAGGTAGATAAAGTTTTTTTTATTATTTTTTTTTTTTACATACCTGATTACCACCACTACAATAAAGCCAATTTTAGCTAGCTACACAGTGTCATGCTAGCACCAAGCTAACAGTGGTGTATTCATGTTATAGCTTATTATTGTACAGCTCTAGACATGCATGTAACATTTTTACTTTGTATACTGTAGTTTTTCCAATCAATACTTGAAACACAAAGCCTAAGTAAGAGGCTTGTTGACATGTTAGCTTTCGAAAAAGCAGCTGTTTGTATTTTTGGAAAACAAACTGATTCTATGATGTTTTGAAAGGAAAACTCTGTTGCCAGCAAGTTTTAAAATGGTGAACTAAAACACATATTACCTTTTTAGACTTCACGACCTCCTGCACATACTCTAGCTTTTCCTGCAACTGCCGCTTTTGTTTTCCTGAAAGAGTAGGCTTAGTGCTGCATAGAGAAGAGAAACACGAGTATGAGAATGTAAAGCATGTGTACATGTGCCCACTTACACACCCACACTATACTGACCGGGAGGAGAAGCGAGAGAGGATAAGGAGGATAAAGGAGAGGAGCACAAGACCACCACAAATATACAGCTGCATCTCCCCTGACACGGACTCAAACGCCCTCACTACAGGAGCCTGCCAAAACAAAGAGAGAGTGAGGAAAAGACACACACACACACACACACACACACACACACACACACACACACACACACACACTCACACACACACTCACTAACTACCTCTCTAATCCTAATCTAAACTCTCTAAAGTACATTCAAAGCACAGCATGTACATATACATTTCTTGAGGAATTTAAACATGAGTAGAGTTGGTAATGATTCATTTTTACAAATTACTCACTTAGGCAAGCTCTGCCTAAACATGACACTTGAAACTTGTAACAGACATTAAAGTGTCATTTTCTTTATTTCGTATGTTTGTAAGTTTAACAGTAAACCCTTTAAAAAAAGCCTAGCTTATTACTGGAGTCTGTCAGCAGCCTGTTAGCTATCTGCCAAACTATTCAGCATCAAAACTCTTACATTATACAACGCAACTTGTAACTGTGAACACAAGTGCATTAGTGTGATCTTGCTGGTGTGCATTTCCTCTTGTTCAGTGATGCACTCAGAGTGCCAACAGCTCTTCCTTTGTGAAGACTCTGCTCAAACAGCTTTAAACAGGATATCCTCAGGTCAGTGTATCCCTCAAACTGCTAATCACCAAGATATATCACTGACCATTTGTAATCAATCAATTTTTAATCGAGTAATTGTGAGATCCCTACACCCAACTGAAGCATCAGTGTTGTCCAGTTCCATCACTGAGTATGCCTGCACTGCACATTGTAGGGTTTTTCAGACTCCAACACACTTGACTCGACTCACTAAACTTAACTAGCCATGCATGAATTTAAACTGCCTATAACAGTAATTACAGTGCAGCACTGGGAACAATGAACTATATAATTTAATTTTCATTACTGAAATCAGATTTCACTTCAATGCTCCAATGCAATGGAGGTACAAGGCTAATAAAACAAGTCTGTCACTCAAGATTTTGAGCAACAAATTTACATTTCAACTTCAATGGCCTTGCAGCTCCACTGCAAAACTAAAAAAGCAAACTTGACACACCAAACATGTTTTAACTAACCATGTTTGGGGCAAGGGTGAAATATTGGAAATTGATGAACTACTCCTCCATGCTCAATACTGATGGATCATGAGTAAATGCACATACTCACCAGATATAGTGAGAGGGCCTCAGTGCCATCAGCTCCTAGTACCAGGTCCAGCACCTCCTTGGAGAGGCTGCCAAGCACCAGGGCTGCCAGCATCAGTAAGGGAATAGTGAAGCCCAGCAGACCCAGAGCACAGCCCTTGCAGCGAGCCCGCCGATTCTCCACACTGCACTGTCTACACAGGAATAGCACAAGGAAGAAGAGATAATTGCTTGTGTCTAATCTTCTTTACTAGATCAGTGTTCCTGCTCAATTTATTGCCACTGCATCAGAATTTTATGAAATGTCTTGATGTTGCAATCACAAACTCTGCAGAAAGCTTTTAATCTGAAATGATGGTTACAGGAAGTAAGCAAATCAACAAAAAATACAAAATTGTTGGTGAGCAGAGCTCAGTTGAGCTGAAGTGCCAAATGAAACGGTCGTCATTGGAGTGGACTACTCAGACGGTTTTAACACGCTGTTATGGCCTGACCCCCTCACTGCAACTGGAAAAAAAATCCTAGAGGAAACACCACACGCACTGCTGTCTGTAAGCATCTATTTATTAAGAGGTGGTATGTCCTGATCTGAAAACAACCTAGACACATTTATCCAAAGGCAGTAATATTCCATTACACTCCATTTAAACTACTGTTGTAGAGCGAGCAAATTTTCAGAGCAGAACACAAGACCAGCCCAACAGCCACTTTTAATGTGTGCCATCAGCATTCCAACTAAGGTTAAGCTGGTCATCTGTTGTCAAAATAATGTCAAAATGAAGCTAGGTGCAGTTTGAGTGTGCAGCTACTATGCAATTAGCAGTAATAGAATGCAGAGGGGAAATACTATATGAAATTTAGACAGACAGACAGACATTTTTGTGTAACATTGTAAGTAATTGGCTGCCTACCTTACTTAAAAAGGACCAAAGCACAAACCAGAGTAGATGTTGTATCAGCAAATAATAGATATTAAAGCACTAATCTGAACTGGGTGCAAAGAAACTATATTTTGGCATTCCGTATCAGAGAGTGATCTATTTATGGAAAACATGTTAGTGAGTTACCGGTCATTGTTGAGTGTGTCTGTAATTGCCTCAGAGATGAGCTCACAGTCCTTCTCCAGGGAGTTGAGTGTGTTCTGTACTGTCTGGTTGATGGTCTTCTCTATGGTGCGACACACTTCCTCAATCTGATTGACACACCGACTGGGCTGCGGGCACAACCAGAGACAGTTAATACATCAACTCTGAAAGTAACATTTATTTCTTAATACCCAAGATTCTAAAGACTTTTGAAATATTCATAATTTTTAGAATGTAAAGTATAGAACATAAACAATGGTTTATGAGCTATAACAGAATATGTGTATCATGGTGGTACCTTGTTGGGATTTGGGACATAAATAGTGGGCATATCAAAACCACACTTGTTGAGTCCTGGGCGTTTGCACAGCTCCTGCACAATCTGCATCATCACCCTCTGAAATAACAATCTGACATTAGGTTGGACAAATGTGCCTGGTAATACTTTTCCAGTAATCAAGACCATAAACATGGGGGTAAAAAAGAGAAACAAACAAAATTAAGAGAGAAAGGAATGGAAAATAAAGATGGGAAAGTAAAGAAAAGAGGAAACCTGTCTGTCAGACTCTCCTCCAGCTTCATCAGCTTTGCTGAGGTAAAAGCGGAGACGATCTCCATGCTTTTCATTGAGCATCTCCACAATGTTGAGTGTACGTTTGCACAGAGCCTGCCCCATCGGGTCAAAGAAGACCAAGATCAGATCACACAAATCACCTAGAGAAACGAAACAAGACCATGAACACATTAAAATAACCATCACATTAGTAAACAGTGAAAAAGGCTAACAAAGCTAGCGACTTGTCAAGAGATGAGGCAGTTAGACAAGCTACAGTTAGAGAAACTCACCAAGCCAAAGAACGGCCTGGTCCACATCAAAGGGGTACTTCATATCACCGTCCACCAGTCCAGGAGTGTCCACAAATGTCACCAAGCTGAAACGCTTCTGCCGAGAAGTGCAGATCTCAGTGCCAAGATACTCAGACACGCCTGAGAGAGATGGAGATAGTTAGAACTCACGCAGTTTAACTCGGACATTTAACTGAGGCTTGTAGAACAGCTGACACTGATAACTAACCTTTAAACTCCTGAAGAGGTTTAAAGTGAGGATACAGGTGGAGGGTTGCATTACCCTAATGGAACAAGCAGGACAGGTCAAAACCAAAGAGAAAACCAAAACCAACACCACACAAAAGTAAGATTAGAAAATCATGCAACAGTATTTACCGTAAGTGACTCCCTCTTACGACCACTGGTAACAAAAGTGAAGCCCTGGGTCTCAATTGCAACTCCAGTCTTTTGTATGTGCTCCTCTATATACCTTGGACAAAATATTTGGATGAGAAACAAACAAAGAGGAACAAAAGAAAAGAGGGGGGAAAAGATACACACAGAGCATAAATCACTGGCTCATGAAGTTATTCAGCTGACATGCTACTGATTCCCCAGGCACTTAATTAGAAATCCCTACCTTTTAGCTACACCTGGCTATGCACAACTTGCCTCTTTCATCTGCCAACACCTAATCAGTGATTAGTGCCAAACCACAAAACTGCTCTGGGCTGGATATTTTTAAATGGCATGCTACCTGCAACACTACTGTGCCTAATACACTTGTATTAGCACCACACACACTTCTGTGCTGAGAACAATCCACTACTTAATATCTAGTCAACAGTGGTACTGTGGTCAGTAACTGAGCAATCATGAATGGGTTAAAGCAGAGGACCCCAGCCATGGTCCTGTAGTAGCCCTGTCCTACACATTTCAGTGTTCTGGCTCCCAGCGAACCAAATCCAACCAATGAGCTAATTAACAAGCCCTTACTGAGTTGATGGGAGTGTGTTGGAGCAGGAAAATACAAAAACATGCAGAACAGGATGTACTCATTGATCAGGATTGGCAACTGGAGTCATCAATTCCAGTTCCCAATCCTTGCGAACAGTCTTGGAAAGCCAGTGTCCAGCAGAATTTCTTTCCCAACTCAAAACATATCTGTTAAGTCATTGCCAGTAATTAACAGCTTTAGTTGGAATGCTAGAGAAGGGAATAAAACTACCAAATTGTGCTGAAATAAAGTGTCCCAAGGAAAAAAACAAAAACAAAAAAAACCCTGGAAATAAACTGTTATACTTCAAAAAGAATTCTCTTTATTTCTTTCATCACTTTTCAGAACAATGCTAAGTGGTGTTCCTTTCTTAACCTTATGGCATGACTGTGAGGTAAGTCTCTAAAATGTTTTCACCCCAGTATTGTTAACAGACCAAGGAGGATTTTTTTCCTGTTCCCAACTATTTGCTCCATCGTCAACTTCTAGTTCATGTTTTTTTTTAATACTTGTTTTAAACAAAAGCAAAATAAATAAACTGAATATCCAGGTAACTCACGTTACATTTAACTCGGACTCAAAATTCACTTTGTGCTGTCTAAGGTGGCCTGTAAAATAACATGATATTGATAGGCTACAAATAACCTTTTACCTACTTAAGAAAATAATTAAGACCTTCTTAATAGAATATTTGAGAATTGGTGTATTTTAAGTGCAATTCTTGAAAGACAACTTCTTGTGATTGTCTCAAGACTTTTCCCAAGTTCTTTCCAAGGAAAGCTTTTGTAAATCTTGGCAGATTCAATGACGAAGGAAGAGGATGACAGTCTGTAATTGTTCACTTATACAGTAAGTAGAAGTTATGGTTAGAAATGGTACAATACCACTTTTTCTTGACCAATACTGATAACGAAACTAAGCTTTAATGTGATTTCATTTTTACTGAAACATTTCACTTAAGATGACCAACTAAAAGTAGACCATTATTCTGAATCTACTGAACCGTCAGAAAGAAATACACAGCCAACATCACCACACAATGTGAGTGTGAGCTATTTCAGGATCAGTTTGTTACAGGATTGGATAAGATTTTTCTCCCCTTTCAATATCAGATCTGGCATTTTCTGCTGAGCAAAACCCAGTATGACACTGGAGAATCTCTAATGAAGTACAAGGTAGAAGTTTCAAATATAGTGGGTGGAGGGAGTATGACAGAGAGTGCATACATATAACTTACCAGTTAATAAAAGAGCTCTTTCCAGCTGAGTGGTTCCCCATCAGCATCACTGTAATCTTTTTACGAGGTGGCAGCAGGGTCACCCCAACAGACTGGGCTATTGTTATTAGTCCTGAAGTGCAAAAAACATGCAGGGGATTAAAACCTGAGTCTTAATCTCTTACTCCTACTAACATTAACATGTTTTCTTCTGAACAGTCAATGTGACTAACCGAAATCTTTTAAGTAAACAAACAAGTGAAACTAGAAACGGAACGTTCCTGAACAAACTTTACATTTGCTTGTCAAAGCCAGCTAATTGAAAAGTTATTCCAGTGATATTCCTATTCCACTCGTGCATTTAACCCACTGATGCATTATACCTACTAGTACCTTAAATCCACTGATACATTATATACACTGGTATCTTAAATTCACTGATATATTTTGTCAACAGGTACACCTTAAAGCCTTCAGCACCTTAAATACAATGGCACCTTAAATCCATTATTTTCTAATTAGTGTGTATGTGTGTGAATGTGTGTACTGTTTAATGAGTGTCTATGTGAGAAATGTGCACTGTGACATCATTTGTGGCAGTTACATTTTAAACTCTGAACATTTCGCCATTCATTTCCTATTAGGAAAAAAATCGTCTTTGAATCAACCCTGTATGAAAACCGTAACTTTCTTCGCGTTTAAAAACAATGCAAACACTTATTTGGGCATATAAGATCCTGCAAAATTTCGTGGTTCTAGGTCGAAAACTGTGGGAAGATATAGTTACATTTCATACATTGAGTGTAGAATAATAACAAGGTGAAGATTACTAAAAACAGTAAGTTGGCTTTGACAAGCTAACCTAAGGCGGGAGTAAAGCAGCATACAGACCAAACAGCAAAACTAAAACCAACAATGAACTTCATTCATTTCAGTATTTACAACGAACCGTGTAGAGCATTAACGTTAGCCGGCTAACCGGCTTTAGCTTGCAGCAACGGCTTAATGCGACAAAACGGTCCAACATGAATAAAGTTGAGGTTAAAAAAATTAGTGTTCGTTGTATTTTAATAGTGTGGAGCTCACCGCTGTCCGGCTGGGTGTACATGTTGTGGCAGTCCCGGAGGATACGCTCGTCGCAGGATACGCTGCCCGGCACCGAGTCCGCGTTCGCCGCGCTCCGACTCTTCACTTTGCCGGACATAGTGAGCCCTAAAACAGTCGGAGACTACACAGAGGTCAGAGTTATAGTCTGGGAGAAACGGACGAGTAGCTTCCACACAGTCTTTAAGAGCAGATTTGAAGAAGGACGCCCTTATTTTCCCAACGAAGTTTGAATTGCCCCGGTCTGCTCGAAAACGCTGGCCACGTCAACCGGTATTCGCAAAGAGCCTTGGGAAATGTAGTTTTAAAAGCAACAACGCTCTCATCCGATTGGTTAACAACAAACTCCGCCTTATTCCTACAAATATATTATAAACAGGATGTGTTTAAAGGGCCCGCATCCTATATTTTCTTCACATTTGCAGCAGAAACAGTCTTAATTCATTTTTACACGACCATTTTCCACCCTCTCTTTATCTCCTGGAATTAAACAGGACTGGGTTTCTCTAAAGCATCTTAACACAAGGATTATTCTTAACTCTTGTGTGGTGTTGATGTTTTTGTTACTCAGTGGTCTGGTGGACCCACCGCATTATTTATTTATTTTTTAAAGCAATACAGCCATAACAATTCATGTAGAAATACCAGATGTTTAAAATATAACAAGTGGCCAAGTAGGGTTTTTAAACAGCAGTGACACTGAGTTTTTAAACACCTCAGTGTCACTGCTGGACTGAGAATAGTCCACCAACCAAAAATATCCAGCTAACAGCATCCTGTGGGCAGCGTCCTGTGACCACTGATGAAGGACTAGAGGATGACCAACACAAACTGTGCAGCAGCAGATGAGCTATCGTCACTGACTTTACATCTACAAGGTGGACTAACAAGGTAGGAGTGTCTGATAGAGTGGACAGTGAGTGGACAGTGTTTAAAAACTCCAGCAGCACCGCTGTGTCTGATCCACTTGTACCAGCACAACACACACTAACACACCACCACCACGTTAGTGTCACTGCAGTGCTGAGAATAATCCACCACCCAAATAAAACCTGCTCTGTGAGGGTCCATGGGGGTCTTGACCACTGAAGAACAGGGTAAAACAGGGCTAACAAAGTATGCAGAGAAACAGATGGACTAGTCTGTAATTGTAGAGCTACAAAGTGCACCTATATAGTAAGTGGAGCTGATAAAATGGACAGAGTGTAGAAAAATGGAGGTGGTCATAATGTTATGCCTGATCGGTGTTGGCGATGACTATGCTGAGGGTTTGTTACAATAATATTAAATATGAGTTACATAATGCTGTTGGAAAAATTATTTTACACATAGAGCATGTTTCTCCCATATTTTCTAATTTAGAAAGAACATTCTAACCATCGAAATCTTTCTAACCATTTAGAAATAAAGACTTTTGGCTGGCTTAAAAGTTTGTTTCATACTTGACCATTTAAGCGACATTTAGACCAGATTTTCTGAATTTAATTAATATACTAGTCGCACAAATTTGTTTTTACCCAGGCAACACATCTTTCATTTGTAATGTTGTGTATTCACAGTATGTACGTTTATGCTTGCAACACAGAAAAGAGTTATCAGTCAAAGTTTTATTCATCACATAATTTAATGTAAAGATCTCTGATTAATGTAATAAACTTTAATGATTTAGCATTTCAAGACATGTGCTACTCAATCACAAAAGCATTTTCCATGGTGTGTCCTCTAACATGATTATAAATGTCTCTGTACATGCTGCTCGACGTTACGACTATATTTACAGATCTCATAGACAAACAAAGATAAAAAGACAAACAGAAGCGAAAGTCCCAATTACATTCTACAATCTTTTTCAAGAAGTCAGACGCAGACCATCTCTTTAAGCTGTAACTGATTAGCTCTGATCTCTTACACAAGCAGCCATTCTTTTGTTGGGATTCCTTTGTAACAAACACAAACAATTTGAAGAGGAATGCATATTTACCCTTTCACTACAATCCTCCCCCAAACAAACAAACAAACAAACACAACACAACACACATGCACACAAACATATTGCACTTAGTCTCTCAATCCACTCCACACAGAAATAAAAGGGATACCTCAAGTGGCAAACACCACAACGTAATGATATTTGAGTAAAATACGTTTTCATCCAAAAATAAATCACACTATTACTACCTCGTTCTTTTAAGCCTAAATCTGCAAAGTAAAAGGGAAAACTTGTGACTGGACCTCAACTTTTGTTCCAGCCTTGTGAATTGCACTTAATGGGCTGGAAATGAGAACTTGTGTATTCCCAACACGGTTTTGGAGATTAAGTGGCTGCAAACAATCACTATTTCTCACATCCATGTATGTACATCTCCATCTCTCATGGGTCTTCAAAACGTTCCTCACTTCCCCCTCACATGTAAAACTGGTGCATTAGGATATCAAAGTGGAAAAAGGTGCTCAATAGTAATGTAGATAATATACATGTATAAAAAAGGAAAGGAAAAAAAGGCGCATCATGCTGTTCTTGACAAAGCTTTAAGCTGTGGACAGAGTACGATGGCAAGCGCTGAAGGCCTTAATCCCAGCCATTGTCTTTAATCATGTGGGAAAGTTCAATAATGTACTTCCCCTCCTTATACTTCTGACTCAACTCAAAAGCCTGCTCCTGCAGAGACACAAACACAGAAATAATAAAGTCAAAGAGGCAAAACATGCTGCAGAAATTTCAATACAGTGTTTAAAAGGGAATGCACAGAAATAAAAATCCTTGGCCGAAGCCAAAAATCAGGACACGCTGTGCCAAAAACCAAAACCAAAAAAGAAAAAGCTGACAATAATAAGCTTACATAAAATACGTTTACAGGCTACCGTATATACCAAGAAATCAACAACAGAGAATGGCTGGCCATCCAAGGCAAAGAATTTTAGTATTTTTTTAGGTAAGCTTTACATTTCAGCACTGTTGTCTTTGCATATTTTAGTCATTTAAAAAACCGTCAACAGATGGCATCATCACGCTAACAGGGACTTTCAAAAGGAGAAGTTTTTTGGGTGTTGTACCTTCTCTCAGTACTCAACATGGAAAGTGATTATAAATCACTTGTCTAAAACTCCCTGTAAAAACCTTGACATTTTTCCTTGGGACTAACATTTTCAAATGTTGCTCTGCTGCTGCTGAGCCTGTTTGAATATGGAGGGAACAAACAGCATTTTTCTCACTATCTCATTTTCATTACCATTAAAATAAACCGTAAAGTCTTAGACTTTAACACTTCACTGTAGGCCTGTTCAATATCTTTTTTTCTGCCTGGTTTCTCTAAAAAAGCTAGCCCATACTAAGTTACTTTATCTATTTTCTTAATTCTTGGTCATTTGCTGATTAATGATTTGTTGTTAAGACCATTAGAAGCTTAATGTTTTGACTTTTTTTTGCCCAGGAGTGTACATGCAAAGCCCACTCTCAACAATGTATAACATGGGAAAAAAAAAGAAAATTCTTTAAATTACTCCATAACGTGTTTTGCAACAAAAACTTTCACTTCCTCATGCGGACTGCTTCCTTTATTTGTATGGGGCAGGGGTGAGGTAATGCGTTATGATGTGTGCTTACATATTTCCAGCCCAAAGTGGTGTGGCAGTTCTCACAGTAAATGTCAGCCACAGCATGAAGGCCAGTCAGCAGCAGTCTCTCCTCAGCTGGACCACAGCCTACATTTACCCTGAAATGACAGAGTCAAATAGTTGAAATACATTACAGCACCGGAAAGACAGCGAAAGATTCAGATACGTGACTCTGTATAGTCAGATACTCACACAGAGTTGAACAGGTAAGCACGTCCCTGGCTCCCTTGAAACGACTGCAAAGTACAAAAAAACCATGAGATGAAGTCCAAACACTTTTATTATTAACCTGCTCAGGTATTCATTCATATACTTCACCTTGGAGATGAGGTCATCATGGTTGGCCAGGTGGGCGCGGCAGTGGATACAGCTGTAGCGGCGGTGGCAGGAGTCCAGGTACGCCTGGAACGTTTTGGCCTTAGTCAGTTTCACCATGGCTGGAAAAAAACAAAAGATAAACAGTCCTCAGACTGAATTCTAATCCAGAATCATAAGCAAATCATCAAGAAGAACAACAACATGTAAATGGTTCACAGTCAAAAAAGAGAAAGGATTTATACAGGAGGCACAAGTTTGACTTTATGAATATAATTTGTTTGCTTCCATGGAAGACTCTTAAAGTGATGAAAAATATGAAACAACAAACTGTGTGGTAAGTCTAAATTCAGATAGAGTAGGCCCCAAAAAGTATTCAGACAATTTATCCATTTAACCACTTCTAAACTTAGAGTTTGTTTAGGCTACATCATAAAATGTTTAACAAAATAATACCTGTTACAGAGAAAAGATCAGACCGATGGTGGACATTTGTGCGGAGAAAGCCTGGAGAAAAAACTCCAAACAGACTGCACTAAAGCACAGAGGTATAAACCTGAAAGTCTGGGGCTGTTTTATTATGCAATGGTGGTGAACTTGTGTTTATTGATGGGATCAAGAACTCAAAAGTGTACAAAGGCACTTATCATTCAAACGTGCAGAAGTCTGCAAAGAAACTGCTGAAAAGATAAGGATATGAAAGGATAAGCAAATTACAGTCTTGGAATGATCTGTTCAAAATAAACATTTGGTTTCCTTGCACAAAATTAAAACAATTTCTATGCATGGCACAAATGTCCAAATACTTTTTGGTTGCTACTGTACATTTCCCGGTTCAGTGACACGACAGGAAAAAAGAAAAACATCCAGCTGACCTACTTCGCTTGGCTGCCTTCACTGCAGCTAACTTAGCTGCTCCATATATGGCACATTAGCAATGAGGGTAAACGAGGATTTAGCTGTACAACCTAGGAATTTTAGGCCATGATGAGATAAGCAGCACTTGACGAGAAATCTATACCGCAAAAAACAAGTATTAAGTGTTCCAAACCCGCGGTTTAAGATGATTTAGATAATGTTATTCTGTGTTGCTGGCTAATCCTGAGGGCCTCAGTGCCAATGCAGCTAACACACAAGAAGCAACACGTACTGTCAGTGCAGGTCGGCAAGCTAGCAACTGTCACATTTGGATAAAATAAAACCCATTTTGTCTCGGATTGGAATGAAAAAGGGGTTTTAAAAACAGTTAGCGACGGTACGAAAACAGTACATATAAACAGTGTACGAGGTGGCACCGTTAATGTCGTTTAGGCGCCAACAACCGTCTAAATATTTGAAATATTTGAAAATGCGACTCACCTAAACGTGATTTAAAATGACTTGCGAGGGTAGAGTAACAGGGCTGTCCCCAGAATAATGTCCGATCAACGGAAAGGCATCAGAATCAGAAGTGTCTGCTGTTGGGAAGAGACAAATGATTCCGCAACAAGCGACCAAGTAAGCGTGGAGGCGAGCAGCGCACTCGGAGCGCTCAACCAAACAAAACAAGCAGGCGCCGCTGCTGCTGCTGCTGCTGTCGTCGACTTCCCTCCTTTTCGGTTCGTGTTTTCAGCGCGGTCCCTGCTTATTTCTGTACGTGACTGAAAAACGAAGACGTTAAATCCAAAAACCGTCACGTTAGCACTCAGAAATACGTCGCAACCGAAAAAAATATTTGCGCAGCTGAGTTTGTTTACTGAAGTAGTTTCATATACGTCATGCGTGCCAAAAAAAAAAAAACAAACAAACCACCGTCGACCAATCAGAGTCCAAAGCGGGACTTCAGGTTTGTGGGTCAGCCAATCAAATGCAGTCTTGCCTGTGGCTCGAGTCACCTTTTTTGTTATGACTTAACGTTCGCTAAATACGGAAGAGCTGAACTTCGATTACGGAAATTCAGGAGTCGAATCCGATCCCGATTCCAATTGACGGGAATCGATAGAGTCGATTCCAAGAGTCTATTCCACACAGTAAAAACACAAGACATCAAGAAGAACACGTCATAAATGAAGACTATTGTATTGTTGTATTTGAACTTAGCAAGGTAATTTGAAAAGATAATGCTAGTTAAATCAGCTGACTCGCTTTGGCTGGCTAAGTTGTCCCTTTGTCAAAATGGGTGGATATATTGAGACCGGCAGTGTTGTTTGATTGTAAGTAAATTATAGAGGGACTATCGACGTGTATGCTGTGGACAAAACACATTTTTGTGACAGGATGTCTAGACAGCAGGTGCAGGAAAACCTCAACGTCTTTGTTTGGAATCGAATCCAAAGCTTAGAGTCGACTCTCGATTCCCGAATGATCGGAGTTGAGGAATCGGTTCTTTTTCAGTATCAACTCCCAGCCCTGACTGCAAAAGTTTTAATGGGCAGATAAACTGAAACAATGTGGCGTGTCGTTATTTCGAGTTAATATCATGTTATTTCCACTTAGTACGTCTGTATATAGACCTATTAAGTTGCAATTTAACATTACGTTTTTTCAAAGTACTTAGTTTCGTTATATAAGGGTTGTATCGCCTTTTTGTCTTAGTATTGTCTATAGTATTTCTACTTAATAATCATGATAAAGTTATACCTTACCTTCATTTCCACTTAGGTCATTTAATGTTAATGCTTTAACCTGATATTTACATTATTTCACCAATAATTTATATCCACCTATTCAGCTTTACTTATATAAATAATTACCTTTATTTCAGCCCCCAAAATAGATCCACATATATCCATTATGACTAAACATAATGCTCCATGATCAACATGTCCTTCTGGGCAAACATGACTTTACTGCCTAAATAAAATATGCAACAAAGAACGTCAATTGACTATTAGTCAAATAAACTACTATTGAATAAGTAGGAACAACATTACAGTTCAGTATTTTGCAGCATATTTCTTCTTGTTGCAAAGTTCATTCTTAATGAATGCGTGTCACCTCATTTAATTGCCTCTCCTCTCTTTGGTGCCATAACACAGTGGGTTAGATATAAATGCTGCCTTTGTTTTGAAGGGAGGACCAGACTGGACTATGTACTGCATGTACTAGGAGAATTAGGCAATCAAGGAATGACATCTGCTATCTTGGTCTGAATGTTGATAAACAGCGTGTTATTGTCACCTGGCTCCAGTACTTGATGTCCACCTGTTCTGTCCCTGCACTTGATTATCTAATATTAAAGTCCTTCTTGAGCTGAATTAGGTGTGTCACAATAGGAAATGTAAAAAAAAAAAGTACAATGCAGGTGCATTACACAAATGATTATGGGAAACAGTAAGATTAGAAAACAGTTCTATATAATACACTTGAGGTACTAAAAGGGCCCATATTCTTAATTTTTCCTTGTATTTTATTGTTTGCCCTGAGGCCCACTCATGACATTTGTGTGAGTTTATGTAGCAAAACAGCAAAAATTCATACTTTTCAACCACTTTTTATTCCTCACAATTAAACACGCTGTGCCTTTAGGGCTGATATATATGTGAATTACTGCTGGCTACTTTGTATTGTGCCTCACTTAAAATGCAGTCAGCGCTGAAACACTCCTTACAACTTCAGTGTGAATGGGCAGGGCTAAACTGCTGTAAGCTGAATAGGAAGATATGTAATGTATGATAAGTAATGCAATTTTCATGACATCACAAAAATTATGAATTCAAGATGGGCCATTTTTCCTTCTTAATTTTCATGTACAGTAAAGTTTAAACACCCCCAGTCAAATTACATGTTTTGATGATTTTCTAAGTGACAATAAGGTAACACATCCTCTAAAACACAAAAGTACCATAACTTTTGCACAGGCCACATTTTATTTGTTTTCCCCATATGTTAAATTAGGCAAATAAACAGTAATTGTACATTAATATGTGCAGAAATGTTCTCTGTAGAGGATGTGTTCACTTATTTTCACTTAAAAAAAAAACAAAAAAAAAAACATGTAATTTGACAAGGGGTACCCAAACTCTTGCACACGACTATATGGACTGGGTAGTGAATATTGTGTGATAAAGCTTTAGCATTGTTTGCACTGCTACCTCAAACTCTTCTATTTCAGAAAAGGTGAGGGAACTTTGATTTTCTCTGATATGGGCCTTTTAAAAATTTGCATTCTACAATGATGCCCAAAATAATCAAGAATTGCATTACTGAACTAATCAAACCAAGCAACATGGCAGAAAACAGATCATAGAATCATTATAATTACAGTTAATAATAAGTTTTTTACATCATTTGATAGAATCTCCAGAGCTTTGTGGCTACATTAAGAACTCCTGATCAAATCCATGCGTACAGAAAGGTTACATAATTTTATAATTTTACAGTATGTGTATATGTAAAGAGTATATAATACATGGAATGGTCACTAGTCACATACAATGTGCGTTTATGTAAGCATGTAGTACATCATGTTATTCATGTTTCTGCTTATGCCTTCTAAGGTAGTTCGATAGCAGAGCGGGGTAGTCAGTCATGACTCCTGTTGCTCCCGCTGCAAATGCAGCCTCAATGTCCTGCTCTTCGTTACACACAAACAGATGAATCTGAGACAGCCGGAGAAAAAGAAAGAGACAAAACAGATGAAATATAACCCTGATATGCATTAGTTATCCAGTAGAGTAGGCCGTAGATGGTTATACAGTAGACTCTTATCTGAATATGTTCTCATTTTTAATGGAAGTTGTATGGAAGTTTTAAATATGTAATGAAGTTTTAAATAAGATCACTTTCTACCTGAATTCCTCTGTCTTTAAGATGCTGAAACAAGCCTTTCCTCAAAGTCAGTCTATAAAAAGAATGGAAACAATTATACATAAATAAAGGATTCTGATATTCAATTAACAACGTTTTAATATTATTAGCATTTGACCTAATCCAGTATTACTGCTTAGGACGTTTAGAAAGCGTAAATGTTTCACTTACTTTTCAATTAGTGAGATGACCATTCTGTTCCTCAGAATAGCAGAATCAGGTATGTATGTCCTGGAAGAAAATTCAATTGGATACATGACTAAAGCATGTATTACAAACCTCAAATATTCCCCCACATTTTCAATGGGAGACAGGTGTGGGCTGCACACAGATGAGTCTAGCACCTGCACTCTCTGATTACTCAGCCATGCTGTTGTAACATGCAGAAATTGGCTTGCTGTTGTCATATTGAAATAAGCATGCACATCCCTGAAAAAGATGCTGTCTAGAAGGCTGCATACATTGTGTAGCTTTCAGTGTTAATGGTGCCTTCACAGATATGAAGTTACCCATGGCATGATACTTCCATACCATGACAGACCCTGGCTTCTGAACTTTACGCTGGTAATAATCTGCATGGTTCTTTTCTTCTTTGGCCAGGAGAACACAACTTCCATTATTTCCATAAACAATCTGAAAGGTTGACTCGTCACACCACAATACACGTTTCCACTCTGCATCAGTTCATTTCACATGAGCTTGAGCCCAGAGAAGTTGGCAGTGTTGTTGTGGTATGGCTTCCCTGTGTATAGTACAGTCTTTTTTGTAATTTGCAGATGCAGCAGCAAACAGTGTTTATTCACAACAGTTTGTCAAAGTATTCCTGATGCTATGTGGTGACGATCATCAGCGAAGCATGCCGATTTCTGCGCAGTGCCATCTGAGGAACTTGTGCTGTCTGAGGGTCTTGCCCTTTATACACAGATATTTCTCCAGATTTCTTGAACCTTTTGATTTCTTGAATATCATGCACCATTCAGAGTGAAATACCTAAAATTCTTGCAATTGCTTCTTGAGAAACGTTGTTCTTAAACTGTTGGAGTATTCTTCAAATATATATTATACCCAAGCATGATTGCATTACCTGTTTAAGATGTTTTTTTTTTTTTTGTATTAAAGTATTATAATGCACACCATATAAAAGGGCACTCCAGCCAAAATGCAAAATGTTACCTTCTCTATATTGGTGGTAAATATGCCAGCTCGCCTCCTGCAGTGGTGCCATAGTAGTCTCTCAAACAAGATATACTGCTTTAAAGACTAGAGCTAAATCCCCTTGTAATGATGTATCTTGAAGGTGGACTGTAAGAAAGTTTTTTCCCCCTCATTAATTGGAAAATGCAAAAGGAGGCCAGATAGCTACTGATAGGAACCCAAATATCACATTTGTATTTACATGTATGCCTCTACATCAGTAGCTGCACTAGCATTCAGGATTGCTTTATCGCTGTGTGGAGGGTTTCCCAATGGTTGTATGAAGTATTTGTGTAATGCATGCTGGGTATTGTAGTGAAAGAACGCTAATTTTGTGAAGACACAAAAAATAATGAATTTTGACAAACGGATGAGGTTACAGCAGTGGTCACCCTGCTCCTGGAGATCTACCCTTTTACAGACTTCAGCTCCAACCCTAATCAACCCCTCCTGACCTATCAAACTGTCGCATTCAGAAGTCAGTGATTAACTGAAGGAGGTGTGATAGTTTCAGGTTGGCGGTGAAACATGCAAGAAAGTAGATCTCCAGGAGGAGAGTTGGTAACCACTGGGCTACAGAATATTACATGACTTGACAAACAGCATATTAAATAGTAGTTTTAGGCCTGCATGCCCCTATAATGCTGATGTAGCAACAGTATCCAAATATTGATTTTTTTTTTTGTTATTTCTGCATTATTAAATGGTTAACATGGTATGAAATGCTCTGCTCTAGACAAACCTACAAAGTCTGAATTGTTCACAGTGGTGGTGATAGGAACGCCTGAAGAGTTTAACGCCACTAAAAGCTCCCTCAGAAAAAGTTATTACATGAGATAAATACACTGCCTGATGTCTGACATTGTTTAACAGTCATTCTGTGATAAAGTTTTGGTCTAAAACATATTGTAATCGATTAATTTTAATCCGTGGAGGAATACATGAAGGATATTCTAAGGCAAAATAGACCCCAAAGAAAACTTATTTCTTTCAGATTGACCATTATTTTTACCATCATCAACATTACATAAAAACTCAGAGGACACGTGTAAGTTCACTGGTGGTTTTGGATAGTAAATAAAATGGCTATATTTCTGTTGTAGACACTGCTTACTTCCCTCGGCTATTTTCACGATCAGAATCTTATTTTTCAATAATACAACATGTTTTCAAATGTATTCCTCTGCTTGCTGCTAAATGATCACGCTACTCAACTTTTAGCCTTTTAACACCAGTGATATCACCTAAAAGACAAAGCCTCCAGCCCTATGTTAAATTAAGGGTGTCGGCCTAAGTACTTTATTAAGCTTTTTTAGGCTGTTTTTCCTAGCCCTGGGGTTAGCCAGATATCCTTTCGTTAACTCTTCTGGATATTAAAATATCACATTTTTTACATTTGTCACCGTCATAAGGAAGCCTAGAAAGGTTTGTTTTCACATTTTCTGTTGGCTATTTTCAGAATCAGAATAATTAAAATAAAAAACAAAAAATAATGTTGCTAGATTTTGTTATGACAAGTGACAACGTGCACTGTGCATAATTAATGAATAAATGGGAGGGAAAAAAAACAAAATGAAATGCCCACCTGTTGATGACCTGAGGCAGGTAGTACTGCAAGAAGCTCTCTCCCAGCGGGACAAAAGGCAGAAGGCCTGTGTAATAGAGCAGCAGCAGCTGCAGCCCACGCGTTTCTGTGAACATGTACGGCATGGAGGAGTTCTAGCATAGAGAGAAAAGGAAAAGGAGGAGAGAAAGAAAAAAAGGACCAAGAAAAGAGAGAGTCACAAAAACAAGCAGAAGCAAGAGAAAGGAGAAACCACAGCAACATCTATTTAATGGCCCAGTTCTAAATGACTTCATTAACTGATTTCTGTGTTGTGAGGCAGGGAGAACACACACACCACTTTGCGACACTCCTTCATTATGTCAGATTTCACTGATGCCCAGACTGTGATGTCCTCCCGGTCATACTTCTTCACCAGAGCAGAAACCTGAGAGAAAAGCAAATAGGAAGGTATTATTAAATAAGATATTATAAAGGAAAAAAGACATCAAATGTCTGATTTTGGTTTAACACCTAGGTTAGGTAGGAAAGCAGGGATACACTCAGGTCCATAAATATTTGGACGTCAACAAAGTTGGAGTTTTTAAATAATAAATGTGAGCTCAAAGTGCTGACTGTTTAGCTTTAATCTGAGGGTAAAAACATCCAAACAGGTGAAAGGTATAGGAATTCAAACCATTTTAATATATAACACCCCCCATGTTTAGGGGCTGTGGTAGACAGCTAAAATAGTAAAAACTTTGTCAGTGTCCAAATATTTATGGACATGACTGTGTGCCATTTCAGGGCCGATAATGTTAACCACAAAAATATCTAGACTTCTAATTAGTGAATTCAGCTACTTTAAGATCCCACTGCTGATACAGGCGATCATTTGCATATAACTTGTATAATATCCAATAAAAATGTATTGTGAATAGAATGGGGAATTCTGGAGAAGATGCACATAAGCCTAAGGTCATCATGCCCAATGTCAAGCATCAGCTAGAGGAGTATAAAGCCCCCAGCATTGGGCTGTGGAGCAGTGGAACTTCATTCTCTGGAGTAATGGAGCTCCATCCAATATCTTTAGGATGAGTTGGAGTGGAGTTTCTGATCCAGATCTAATGATGCAACATCAGTACCTGACCTCACTAATGCTGTTCTGGTTGAATCCAAGCAAATCCTCACAGCAGTGTTCCAATATCTAGACGTAAAGCCTTCTCAGAACAGCATAGGCTGTTACTGCATGAAAGGGAGGATAAACTCCCTATTAATACCCTTGATTTCAGAAGAAACACTGGATGAGCAGATGTCTTCAGACTTTTGGACATATAGTGTATGAAGTGCATGAGGCAGAGTAAAACTCTAAAGATGCTAGTTGCTAATGCTAGCTGCCTCATATTCATTAGGCTATGCAGAACTGGAGTTCTGATGTCTTCTATTGAAACTGTGAAAAGCTTGACCGCTGACATTGTCACCCTGCAGAATTAGAGCGTATATGTGTCATCATAAGTAAAAAGGAAATGTCAAAATATGGAATGTAATCATCAGCTGTAATTTTAGGACTGGACTGGTAAGAGCAATTCAGTTTTCCATTTATCAGCGAATAATATATCAGCCATTGATGTACCGTGCACCCCTAAAAGTACTGAAATGTCTTGTCTTGTTTTGAAATGTACCTAAAGTTTGACCACTTGCCTTTTCAATCAGCTCTCTGTTCTTCTCCTTCACTTCGATGTTGACAGGAATCTTGGGAAATGTGCGAAAGACGTCCTCCAACAGGGCAAATTTTCGGTCTGAACCTGTGCCGTAGTGACCTGTGAAGAGACAGCGTGTTAGAAATGTGTCACAAGAAGGAAACACTGTGTGTATGTACTGTACATATGCTTTAAAAAAAAACACCTGCATAGAAGGTGACCTCAAGTCTTTCTTTATACAGTGGCAGCTCCTAGAAAAGAATAATCAAAAAGGTCAAAGTGAGAATTCATCATTAAAATTTTATATTGCTGTTATCAAAGTTGACAAAGCATGACATATAAGACATGCAGTGGATATAAACATGAAATTCAGGCCTTTGAGCTTGATGCAATGGAATAAAAATGTGATGTTTTTAAGAATTTAGTTTAATGGCAAGCATTTTTTTACACCAGAGAATGTGGCCACATCAAAATGAGAATAAAGCAGAGGAGAGAGGGGGTAAAAGAGGGAGAGATAGAGACACAGAATGAACAAAAGCCAGGTTTCAACTTCAAACTGTTTACAATAGCGCCACTGCTGGACAAAGTTATACCTAGGTGGTGATTCACATAAATTGGCAAATGAGAATTCCACATTAAGAACACATATAATAATATATAATCTATATAATATATAATCATTCTCATCTCCTTCATACCCAATAAAACATCATGCCTTAAGTTTCAAAGTTTCCTTTTAAAAAATACAGAAATTCCACTGCACCAAGCTATGCTTCCATTATGTAATGTATATATAAATATAAATGTGTGTGTATGTACATAAGTACGTTGCACAGTTTGTTATCAATGGTCTAGACCCCCACAGGACTACCACAGAGCAGGTACTATCTGGGTGGTGGATCATTCTCAGCACTGCAGTGACACTAATGTGGTGGTGGCATGGCAGTGTGTGTTGTGCTGGTATGAGTGGATCAGACATAGCAGTGCTGCTGGGGTTTTTAACACCATGTCTTCTTGCTGTTAGACACTCCTACCTTGTTGGTCCACCTTGTACATGTAAAGTCAGAGATAGTAGCTCATCTGTTGCTGCACAGTTTGTGTTGGTCATCATCTAGTCCTTCATCTTTTAGGTTGTCAGTCCAGCAAAGACACTGAGGTGTTTAAAACTCCAACAGCACTGCTTTGTCTGATCCACTCGTACCAGTGCAATACACACTAACTCCACCACGTCAGTGTCACTGCAGTACTGAGAATGATCCACCACCCAAATAATACCTGCTGTAATTGTAGAACTACGAAGTAACATCTATATAGAAAATGGATCGGATAAAAATTTCAATGAGTGTAGACAAGCTAGGTGTACCTAATAAAATGACCACTGAGTGTACATCTCAGCCATTAACAACAATCACCACTTGGTCACGGCTCATCAGAGTAACGGTGTGAATTGTTTTTCGCCCAAAAAGAAAAAATGACCATAATATACTGCACAATGTGTTACAGTGTACATCCCAGGCTTTTTCTACAATGGCAGATGTAACTCAAATGTTACCCTTGACTTCTGACCTCAAAATTAATAGAGGAGATGCTGACATCATGCCCCGTCTGCCGCAGGAGGTTGTCATCATGCGATACAATCAAGTGACCATCTCGAGTCATGTGACAGTCCAATTCGAGCATCTCTGTGCCCACCTCCACCGCACTGTAAGAAAGAGTTTGAGAGACAGAAATGAAAAATAAGCGAGAGAACTGGTGCAGCTATGGATGGGCAGTACAACTATTTGTCAACATTATCATAATGGATTACATCATGATATGGATGATTATATCATGGGTATCATCAGTACTTCTAAACTACATGGATCATAAAAAAGACAGATTAATACCAATTATAAACAATAACAACTAGTGTATAGTAACTGCATAAACTGCAACAAGTAGCTGATTGGATGTCAGCCCATTATCACATTGCCTTATTTTATTGATTTCATTTTACCAGATGTTTTTTCTCATTTCTTCTTATTTTGGGGGGGGGGTTCCTTTTTTCTTCAGAGTTTACTTATTGCCAATTCCACCCACTAACCAGGTCTCCCCTATTCACATGATGTTACCAGGCTGGGAGGGTGACGATTAGCACAAACGTTCTTGTGACACATGAAGCACCAACACATTTTTTCGAACTGTGATTAACGCAATGTCATCGGACAGCTCAACGCTATCTGCCAATTCTATCACAACAGTTAACAGACATGCAGAGTGATAGGGGGAGAGGGAGGGCCATCCTACCCACCCAGAGAGAATGAGGCCAGGCCCTCTCAACGGATGGCTGTAATATCAGCAGAGATCAAACTCACCATGTCACAGAGTTTGGACAGTTGTGCCAGTCAGGAGACATTACTTTTTTAAATTTTGCAATTGCTACATTATACAAAAATCACTCCACTCAGTTTTTCATAGATTTTTTAAAAATGTGAAAAAACTGTTTCGCTTGTGCATTTTGTCCATTACAACTTCCAAAATGTCATGACATGTATCATGTATTGTGAACATATCTTTTTGTGATGTTATTTTGCTCATCACTATTAAGTGTAGCATTGCTGCAAAGAGGGCCAGAAAAAGGAGTAATAACTCCAGCTATGAGGGGAGGCTAGGAAAAGGGGAGCTCAGGGGAGCTGATCTGAGATCGTTTTTTACTCACTGTGTAAACGCCTCCATGGTACTTTCAATTCTCTCGCCAGAGCCTAGCACAAAAGAGAGCACAAAGTCAGAGATAACATGCATATGATTGCACACAGTTATACACACATACTCCTATGACTAAACATAGTGTTTAGTGGACAGCTCAACATCGTTTAGCAGGGGTGTTCCACAAATATCTGGGCCCTGTGCAAATGCAGTCTCTGTGAGCCTCCAATATACATTCTCAACCTTTCCAGTATTCATTAAAGGTGAATTAGGCAATATGTTCTTCTTTTCTTGGGGTAGTTCGAATAACCTGGAAAATATGCAGAATATGATTTTAAAAAACAATTGTCTTAGCAATGGCACCAGCACAGGTGCTGAGAAACGCCTTTTGGAAAACTGTACTACGGACCGGAGGACTTGTCTGTGTTTACACTGACCTTGTGTCAGTTATTTTACAAGACCTGCCCCTCAGTGTTAGTTCTTGTATTTGGAATACAAGATCCTGGTACAAGGAATTTGTCACTTATAGCAAAACCATTCTTCACTTAAAGACAAAGCGGGACAGATGAGACGTACTTGCAATGTGAATGTGTGAGCGGGGGGGCGTAGGGGATAGGGGGGTAGAGAGAGGTTGGACCGCTGTTCCGACCCCCCTAAATTTGGAAGCCAATGAAGTGGCAGAAATTTTGGGGTGGCATCTGTGGTGGCCAATCAGACATCAGAGAAGGCACTGGCCATTCTGGCTGCCCCTTTAAAAACGCACGTTGCCCCTACATCACATTATTCTGCCCCATCTCTGTTTAGGTAAAACAGAATTCTAGTACTTTAGGGAAAAAACACGTTGTGCTGCCAAAAAAAGGAGTGACAAGAAACATTAGAGGAGCTTTTTCAAGATGGAGAGAATAAGTACATGCAAAGTGGATGAAGTTGGATACAGAATTAGTGCCGTTCCTCCTCTGCAGGATTTAAACCCAATATGTATAAAGCGTTGAACTGTTTGAATGGCCAGCTTTACTTAATCATTCAAACATGTAAATCATCCAGAGAGCCGTGTAAAGTAATGCTTTGGATGAACCACCTTCATAGAGATGGCTCTGGCCAAACAAAGCTGACATACAAAGAAGCATTTGTAGAGCACTTGGACAGCATGTTTAGATGAAAAGTCTCTATGAATAAGTAAAATGCAATGATATATCATCATAATTTCAGTTGAATAAATTAATACTTTGCTGGGGGAGAGCAGAATTGTAGCCCTCTCTTGATGCTTTTATCTGATAGCCATGGTTATCCACTGTTATTAACAACTTGTGAAATTGTTGTTTTAGCTATGAAATGCAGGGCACTCAGTGTGTTCTGTTGACCACTTGTCTATACCAAGTGTTTTGATCTATTACGCAACGTTAGCACAATGTCATACTTTTATCATCTATAGCTATATAACAAAGCCTTAATAAACAGCTTAACTCATCACGAGAAAGGGAAGTCATGACAATCCTTAGTAATGCTAGAAATCTCTAAATGAAAGGCGGATCCAAAGACTAATAAATAATGTTCTAGTGTTGTTGTAGTTCACCTACTTAACTGTTAGAAATTAAGTATCATTAATCTTGACTAATGCAGCTTTATGTTATGGCACTAAATAAACTAAGGCTCACTTTTTAATCCATGGCCCTTGTGGGCCCCTCCACCTAAGATCCCTGGGTAGGTCCATTATTTCCCCAGCTGTGACACCTCTGCTGTTCCGTGAATAAACAAACAGTGCATGTTTGTTGTAACCCAGCTCCTGGTACACATGTACCAGGTATTCAGTGTTCATAATGGCTTCATTTAAGTGTTTGACAAACCACAAATGTGGACAATCTGGTGTCTCCTGGGGAAGCTATTGAGAAACATTGGCATTACGTGACATTGCAATCTTTCTCACCAAGTGTTTCGTAATCCTGCTCCTGGTAACTGACAGCACTGCAAGGTTTCTACCATTCCGTTCCCCAACACACCTGATCTAGCTCATGAAGGGCTTGATAATCAGTTGATGAGCTGGATTGGGTGTGTTGGGGCAGGGAACAGTTGAAAGTGCTCACTGTTGTAAGTCACCAGGAGCAGGATTAAGAAACCATGTTCTAATCTGATGACCAACTAAGCCCTGAGCTCCAACTATGCTCTCAACCAGTTCCATTGTCTGAATCACTGAAAGCAAATGTCAAGCTGAAAACAGGTGACTTACAGTTTAATAAAACAAGTGTATTTTCGTTCATTAAAAAGACTGAAACTTCGTATGACCCAGAGGATTCAAATACTATACATGGTGGAGGGAATGGGGAGCAGAGGATCCACACAGCACAAAAAAAGCTAAGGAAAATACAGACCAAAAAACTATGACAAAACTTTTTTTTTTTAATTCATTGTTTATGTGATGAACATATTTACATATATCTACCAATTCAGCTTACAGCAGTTTAGCACATTACATGTTTAGGTAATAGACAGTGTTTCAGTCTGTGCTTCTAATTAAAAGAGGCACAGTACAGACAGCCAATCAGAGTTCATTGATATATCAGTCTTAAAGGCACAGTAACAAATCAACCTGTTTAAATTTAAGACAGAGGTCTTGAACTCCAGTCCTGGAAGGCTAGAATCCAGCACAGACTCATAATTCCCCTTCTCAAATCACCAAACTGTGCTGGACACCAGTGCACCTGGACTGTAGTTTAGCACCCCCTGCTCTGACGGATATATAGAGGTTGGAAAATAGTCATATGAAAATAGTGTATATAAATCACAGCTGTTGTTGGTACTTAAACCCCAACAAACGTCAAAAGTGGACCTTAGACGAAGAAATGCAAGAAAAATGTAGGACATGGGCCCTTCAGGAGTTGTTCAGGTGATCTAGACTTAACTTGTCTAGCTGCGACCATCATAAATCAAGAGAAATCTGATCTAAACCCAGCCATGTAACTCTAAGCTGCTTTGTGACCTTAAGGCATCTCATTACTGAGATATTAACCCCCTTAAATGGCCAGGGCCTGCCGGCGGGCCCAATTTATTATTACACACTTCTGTAACTAAAGAATAGCAATTTGCACTGAAGTCCCTGTAGTTACTGAATAAAACACCTTAGTATGTAATAAGCCTGGGATTTTAAGGGGTTAAGGTTCTAGAACAGAGTTCTTCAACTCTAGTCCTGGAGGGCCAGTGTCCAGCAAAGTCTGGTCATGTTCCTGCTCAAACACATCTGGTTCAACTCATCCGCTAATTGCCAGTTGTCAAGTGCCAGGTGGGGACACTGGCCATCCGGGCCTAGAGCTGAAGAACCCTTGCTTTGCTATTTCTTATAAGGTCTGACCATGCATGATGTACGGAAGTAGAGTGGGTCAGGGAAGGTCAGTTCTAGCCCTACCTCCTCTGTGTGAGATGTGGGTACAATAGAAGGCAGCCTGCTTCTTCTTGTGCAGAATGTAGGGGTTCTTCAGCAGGTAGAGGGATGCGAGCGTGTAGCCCCCTACTGCAGGGAGGAGGTAGTACATGAAACTGGACATAATTCCCACAGTTGGTGAATTAAAGATGATCCCAAGGAGGTCCAGGCCAGAGATACTGACAGCAGCACGTCACTGCAGAAGAAGAGTTCTGTGGTCAGATAGAGCTTCATCTTGGACTGATTGGTATTGATCAGATATTTGTAAGTTTGTTTAAGAATACATAAAGAGTTAACTGAACACATATAACACATATAATTGCTTACCTGGTTAGGATCAGCCTGCCTCTGTATCTTCCCTGTCTCTCTATCTTCAGTGAAGGAGAAGGTAGAGAGATCACCCTTTCTCTGCTGTTTTAGACACTGTATCTCACTCTCTTTCACTCACTCTCTTTGATTGTGATCCGGTTCAATGTGTTCCTCTGCCACTCCCTTTCCCCCCTATGTGTACCGGCCCTCTCTTTACGACCAGCTCTCCTGCAGGGTAACCATGAGAGTGTTGCGATAATGAAATGAAAAAACCAGAAGAACAGGAGAGAGAGAGAAAAAACACTCACTCCTCCCTCCCCTCTGTTTAACTGCACACAGAAAATCTGACCTGACTGCTGTAAAAAATATTCCCTCTCTCTCTCTCTCTCTCTCTCTCTCTCTCTCTCTCTCTCACTCTCTCTCTCTCTCTCTCTCTCTCTCTCTCACTCTCTCTCTCTCTGTAGGTGTATGTGGTTAATGTTAGACTGGTTCTAGTTATAGTTAGTCAGTTATTACCAGAAGAGCTCTTATTCTCTTCCCCCATTGACATTTATGGATAATATACAGCACGATGCAATCAGTTGAAACGACCATTAAGTACAAGTTATTCATTTGTGAGCATCAGGACATGAATCAGAACACTTATATATAACAGAAAATGACACAGAAGTCTCGATTTTCAGTATGAAGTGTGTCCACTCTTTGCCTTTATTACAGCTTCCATTATTTTCAGGAACCCTGATTTCTGTTTTTCAAAGAAATCTGCAGGGATATTTTGCCACTCCCCCCAAAGTTCAGTCTTAAAAGTTGGTTGTATTTTCTGCCTTACACGATCCGAGTAATCTCAAACACATTCAATGATGTTGAGGTCTGGATTCTGTGGTGGTCAGTCCATTGCTCTGAGAACACCAGCAGACTCCTTCTTTGATTTGCAAATGTTCCTCAAGTTTCTCAATAAGATCTTCTTGTCAGCTACACATCCTTTCAGACCCTTAGTGGATTTTCTCCTCTCTCTCAAAGATGAAAGCTTTAAGTGCTGTTTATTAGATGATGACAGATTTGGTGTCTACCAGGTCTTGCACAGTTGTCAGAAGTTCCATTTTCTCTCTATCATTTAATTTCGACTCCGGTTTTGGACTCTATTGGTTTCCTTCGACTTTCCTCCTCTTTATGCATGTGGATAGTTTTATTTAATCTCCTGAGAAATGACTGCTTAAGAAATAATAACTTATACTTAATAGCCATTTTGACTGCAAACTAAATGTAGGGTGGTCTCTGACTTTTGCACAGTACTACATGACTGGTTCTAGTTAGATACTGGCAGCAGCTCTCTCTCTATTGTGTGTACGCAAGCAGGTTCATAAAAGAATGCCGTCATTGTTCATCTATGAATTGCTTGTGCCTGTGTTTTGTCCAGATTTAAATCAAAACATTCTGGGGTGTGAGTGTGAGGTGTCCAAACGTGTGTGTTGCTCTCTTTCAGGTGAAAATGTGCTTAATGGAGGGCGTGACTCAGTGAGCTGTCAACACTGTTCAAAAGTTCTTGCTGCTGCATGAATTTTGCCTTGTACTCATCCCTCCATACCGTGATTTTAAATCTCATAAACAACAACAGCAAAGTGTGAAGATGAGTGATGATGAAGAGGGAGAAAACAAGAAGCGGCAGTACTTGCTGGATCAGTGGAACACTGGGGTAGATTTGGAGTTGCGTTGATGCATGAGATTTCTCTATGTTGTCACAGTTGTGGGTATTTAACAAAGGTTGGGCACAGCAGGAATGTATACTCTACTATGCACACACACACACACACACACAGCACACACACACACACACACACACAGCACACAAGCACTGAGTGAAAGTTCAGTCCATCAGCAGATTTCTGAGGTTTTTGTATTGTTTAGGTTTGTATAGAATTGCTGAGTGACAACCAGCTTGCCACTGTTAGAGAAAAAGAGGAAAAGTCACATTCACTTCCAATGACAGAGAGAGAGAGAGAGAGAGAGAGAGAGAGAGAGAGAGCAATACTTCAAACTAGGGATGCGCAATGATATAGCTTTAAAATACATCGTCATCAGACATATTTTTAGACTACACACACACACACATATATAATTTCAATGTTTGATCATGCACTTCACTAAAATGTCAGTAGTTTACTCATAACATTAGAATATAATCAATGTTACATTTCTGTGTAACATCAAGTTTTATTTTCTACATTTTATTAATGTTTATGTATTGTATTGGTGGGTGATTCCATGGATGGGGTGCCATTTGTGTCCCACTGATATTATACCCGAACAAAAATATAAATTGCCAAATTTTTGAGCAGTCTGATCCACACTGACTTTAAATCCTTGTTAAACCTACATAAGAACGAGCAGGGAAACACAAAACTGGTAAAGCAGCATGTAGGCTAAGGCTAGCGGCAATACAGGCCTTGAGCTAAGATGTAAAACTTACGCTGTCAATTACAAAGCAATAAAGCAAGATTTGAATACTTTGTGAATGGCAATGTTTGTAGCTGCTTAAAAAAGATCGGTACATCAGATGCGCTAACACAGTGCATGACTAGCAGCAGAATTAGCTTTCATCAACTGCCACGATCCACTTTTCCTGTTGCATAACCCCAAAATGTGGTTGACTGCCAAAATATAAAAATTTTAAGTGCAAGCGGCTCTTGCTCATAAAGAAAACTTTAGCAGTAATATGACGACACGTTTACTGATAATGAGTGAGCTTGGAATTTGTGTTTGGCATTATATTGCTAACTTTGCTAGTTTGGTTATGCTCATGTACTAGTTTTCACTGTAGAAATCACAAATTCCCTTTTTGACATGCGCAAGAAGTCTTGTGAAATATAGGCACTGGTACTGGTATCAGTGATGGGAAACTAGCTTTGCTATGACTTGGTACTGAATGTAAACCAAGATCAGTGATAACATCCCCCCCCCCTCACTTGAGGAACAAGTTAGCACTTGGGTAAACAGAGTTTAGCTCTGGTGTAATTGGAGTTACACACATTCCTCTTGGTCATAGTGCATTTAAAAAACATAAGAAATAGCATGATCCCTCCTTGGCTGCCACTATAGCAAAGATAAAACAGTAGAATGCTTTTTTGTGCAAAATGACATGAGTTTTGTTGTGCTTTCTGATTTACACCCTTCACTGTTCAGTCTCTTTAGTAAAGACCCTGAGGCCACATTGTAAGCCCTTGCCAGAACATGTCTTCGAAGCCGAAGAGTGACTGAACTGGATAAATGACTCAGAAGCTGGAAGAGGTGAGACAATGTTGTCCAACCACGCTCAGAGAGATTGCTTTATTTTGGGTTTGCCAAGGCTTACTGCTCTATTCACTATTAAAAAGCTTAGACAATTAAAAGAGGCCATTATTATATATACATATCCATATGTGTGTGTATACGTCTAAAGGACGAGATTGGAGAGGCTGGAAAAAAGGGTATATAAAATGTAAATTATGACTCCTTTGGTATATAAAACTACACGTGTATAAGTGGAAATACAACAAAAATGAAGGATAACACAATATTTTTGCTATCTGTCCAGTTCTCTCTCTGAACAGTAGACGTCCGAGGGCATTTCAGTTATGTAATACATTTCTCATCTCAGCCACCACGCCTGACACTGAAGAGCCTGAACTACCAGAAACTGTTGAGACTTGCCGTCTACTTGAGTAAGGACAGCACAAGCAGTCTGAGTTTGAAACCCTCAGGGACTGGTATTGGAATTAGCCAAGGCCTACCAGAATTATAAAAATTCAATACTTAATATTTTTACTTTTAATGATTTTAATAAGATGAACAGTAGTGGCGGTTAAAAAAAAAAGTCAGATGGAGTTAGCAACCCTACAGATAACCAGCTCAACATATTAGGGCTTGTTGCATAAACACAGTTAGCGTAAGTTAAATTTACCCAATGACTCATGCTGAGAGTAATGTGACAATGTGTAAAACATAGGATGGCGAATACTAAAATGGAGACGGTCGTGCAGGAGATGATGACCACAAATACACGGCTACAAAACAACTGTAAAGCAACTGCTTTGTTTTGTTATTCCTTACATTTTTCATATGTGAAACTGTCCTTCCCAACAAAGACGATGAGGAGAGATAAAAGTCCATCATTGCCGAGAGTCTCATGTTATTGTTAAGCTTTTAGCAGTGAAAGCTGGGAACGCAGTGGACAAATACTTTTTAAAGGCATCAATCCTACATACCCCTAGTTGTGAGTCATTCTATAGTCAGCACCAAGACCATATAAGGAAATCCAGGTGTTCTCTATGGAAAAAATCCATGTCATTTTTGGAAATTCCTGTTGTCACACCATGTGGTAAACAAAAATGCTCAAAACCCCAATACTTTAGTTCTATGTACCCAAGTGTCACTGGATCCTCTGAATTAAGAGGCTGTTTCGCAGTCAAAAAACAAGTAATGCTACATACATGCTACAAGCAAGATAACACTTCTGTGCATTGAACTGACATGAAGGTAAGTCTACTACTACCTAACTACTCAATGTGTACTACAACTACCACATTTGGCAAAGCTTGCTGGTCTGTGTGGGGTATTTTGGAGAGGTTGCCACTGTTATGATGGCCATTCAGCAGTGTTAGCCTGCATGCAGCAACATTTGTATTTAGACTCTTTATCAACCTCGCAATTAAGAGGATCTGGCAACAAACATATCAAGTTTGGAACATTTTTCTTTACCACAGGGTGCGATTTTCAAAATCCCCATTCATTTTTCTCATAGAGAAATTACAACACAACCTCAGAGGTTTATTAAAACTATCAGTAGTATGTAAGAGCCAGTAAGACTGAGCTGACAAGCTAAAGGCAGCAGCTATATTAAAAATGTAACAGTAACATTATCTATAATGGCCGTGTTCTCTCTCCTCCTTCGCAGTTTTGAAAATGAAGAAAGAGCTATTTTAACAAAGCACATGGACCAGGGTGTAATATTTACAGGCCATACAGTGAGTGCATAACCAATCATTTATCCAACTAAAACAAATTAAATTTTATGAATTAAGTTTGCCCTATATAAAGATGCCCACTTTTTTTTATTAAATCAGGAACACTGTGAATAAAGGCTCCCTTGTTTAAAATGCTGGTCCTTTTTTCCAGTACGACAAGAACTGTAAAACTTTATGGAGCACTCACTTTCATCACCAACTTCATAAAAACAATTCAGTCAAGTCTGACATTCTGAATACCATAAAAACGGGTGGTGACTGAACACTTCTGCAACTGTGAAAAATGTGAAACAGGTTTTCCAACACCAACATGAAAAAGTCATACTCCACAACGTACAGTATCAGGAAGTTTATTTAATATATGTATATAATTCTGTTTCTTTGTTAATTGTTTAATTCATAATACCCATAAGCATGTACATAGACTATAACCATCTGTGGTTCTTATCTTAACATATCTACTCATATCTTTAAATCATCTTTTAAAATAAGTCCTTATAAGTTTAAGGGAAAAGAAAAATAGATTTCCGAAAGTGACGTCACAGCCAATTAATTTTCACACCCAAAGAAAGAAATAAGAGAAAAAAATAAAAACATACTAATAAAAAAAGACAATTTTAAATCCCTTTTCAGTTCTTTAAAAAAAAAAGACTCACCAATATAACAACAGCAATAATTATAAGAACAGCCATTAAAAGGACGAAATTACGAAATCTGCCTCATTTGTAGGCCTTTCAAATCATATACTGTTTTTCGTGTGAGTGATATCTGCAAGTGTTTGTGTGTGATGTGTGTGTGAGTGTGTGTGTTTGTGTGTGTGTGTGTACGATTGTAGACAGTCCCCATGGTCCCGTTTGTAAATAAGCATTACATCAGCAACAATACAGCATAATAGAAAGATCGTTTTCCTTGGTAAATGATTTCCCTCAGGTCAGTGAGCGGTGTGGTGTCACCCCCCCAAGGGCAAGCAGAGAAGAGCAGCTCGAGGCTGAAACAGACAGACATGCAGACACGGACATGGGCGCAATACAGCCCTGCCATCTGTGCCTTCCTGTCCCACAACGCACTAGCAAAGCAGAGGAGTGCAGGAGGTGGGGAGAGAGAAAGAGAAGAAAGCAGAGGAGAGGAAAAAAGACGACAGGACTGAAAATAAAGGACCAAAATGAAGGAAATGAATTTTGTTGTTGTTACATCTCCATTCCTTAACTCTTGTTTCTATAAGACAGGAAATTGCACAGGCAAGAAAAAAAGTGTTTGGTCATGAGACACAAAGTGCAGGTGCACAGATTGAGCAACATCACATATGAAATCTGAAGAAAGGTGCGCTTGTTTTATTTCATTCACTGAAAAATGCCTCAAATTTACATGATTCAAATGTGTTAGTCAGCTGCAATTGAACAAAATCAACATTACATCATCATTAGGGATGCAATGATATAAGAATCGTAGGCCAAAGCTGATATCCGATATTTTTCCATGTACGCATCTACTGAATTTTAGCACAGTAGCTGAGCGTTTCCTAAACATTCTGCTTTTCTAGTCCAAAAAAAGACATATATATATATTTTTTATTTTATGCAATTTAGTAATTAGCTTTTATCTGATACCATGATGATTTCGATATCATTGTGCATCCCTACTCCACATAATTTATGCCAGAACAAGTGAACTGAAAAATAGTAACTGCTGTTGATGGACCACTTTATTTATGTTCAGCTGACTAAAGCATTTCAATTGTGTAAATTCAAAGCACCGTTCAGAAAGGCTTGGTCAGTGGTGGAAATTAAGATAAGCCTGGCCTTTAAGCAAAACAAATACACCCTGTGCTACTTCAAATTCCTCCATTCCTCCCCCCGAGAGCAAGCTTTCCTCATCCACAACTAGCCAAAAGCGTCTGTTTGAATGGGTAAGGACAGTGCATTTTTTGTTGCACAAAAAAAAAAAAATATATATATATAAATAGGCTAATAACAGTTCCATAAAGACAGGGCAAATAGCAGTAACAACTGTGACATGGCACATGCAAAAGTCAGCCAATCACAGACTACAATAAACACAAGGTCAACCAATCACAGACGAGAGAGGCATGAGGTCAGCAAGCCCTGTGGAAAAGCCCTTTCAAAAAGTCTGACATCACAAAAGGAGGATGGGGAATGACCGTGTGCTATGGCTCTGAAAACGTTCAGCTTGGCTATGTTACCTCAACCCACAAAGAGTGAGGAGAAAGAGGAAAAGAAGGAATGATGCAGAAGAAGGGAAAGATACGTTGCATGAAAGCATCAGAGGAGCAGTATTTGAAAGATTACTGCTCACAGTCTGCTGATGTTTTGTTACCAAAAAAAGGAGGAGGGGAGACCATGGCAACAGTAGCCACAGACATAGTAACCAATGACAACCATTGTTAAGAGCAACACAACGAATAAAGAAAAACCTCCACGCGAAGGGATATGTAGGAAATTATATATGACATGAAGCATAAACGGAGTGGGTGAAAACTGATTGAGAAAGAGCAAGGAATAAAGAAAAAGAGGGAGAGAGGAGGAAAGAATGAGGGCGCATCATGAGGAATGTGAACATGACGTCTGAGTTTTGATGATACTGATGGCTTCATTTTCCAAAAGCACTGGCGAGAAAGCGTCTCAAATCCTAACGGTGGAGATCTGATATTTTGTACAGTAAGTAAAGCAGGAGACTATTCTGTATCTCTTGCTCCTTCTTCCCTTCACCTGGCCTGGATTGTTCTCCATTTCCATAGTAAACCCACCGGCTATAAAGATACATATCACAATCTGAGCAAGACCTCTTCACGAAAGCCAAAAACAAAAAGTAATCAAGCTCGTCACATGTAATGTATTTTGTTTAAAAAAAACAAACAAAAAAGACAAAACCTAGAAACATACTCAAATATAAACTCCCAACATACAAAACACATTTTGTAACTGATCATAACGTTCAAATTACAGTGTACAAACAGATCTCTGACATACAATACTCCAAGAGTGCAAAAAACCAAAAAAAAAAATAAACGAACAAAACACAACGCCCCTATATATGTACACACACCCAGCTAGAGCCCATAATAACCATGTGCTCACTCTTCCTCTCCCTCTCTACTCTTTCTCCATTCAAGGGCAATACAGGGAATAGTAAGGAGAGAAAACTAAAGTGATGGAGAGGTGGGGGAGAGTAGAAGGGTGAGAGAGAGAGAGAGAGAGAGAGAGAGAGAGAGAGAGAGAGAGAGAGAGAGAGAGATATGAAGGGAGCAGGGGTGAAAGAGTAGAGGCTGTGCGCAGCAATGTTTGAGATTGTGAGTAACAGCCTCATTCAATGGCATTAACATAGCAAGTTACACGCCCAAACCAGCGCACAGCCGCCCAGCAAGAGAGATGGAGAAAGAAAAGAAACGCTCAAGTTTTCAATGTATATTTTTTTTCTTCTTTTTTGGATACCATATATGTACGTATATCTTTTGTAGCTTGTTTGGAGTTATCTTGTTCTTAGCCATCACGTGGCTTGGTCATTCTCCGTGAGAGCTAGGAAGAAACAAGGGATAAAAGGATATGAGCATCATAAGAGTGCACAAATAATCAGAGATGTAACAAATTCATGTGCCTGCACTTTTCAAAGCTGACATAGCTTTAGCTCCGTCTTGGATTTTCTGGGCCCATGACCAGAACTGGCCAAGTTAGAAATCAACTAATTTGATTTTGCAACACAAATCAGCCAAAATCAAACCAATAAATTGGCTCATTACTTGGTTTGGGCAGGTAAGGAATCAGCCTAGTCGTGCTTCAGCCAAGCAATCAGCAAATTTATTGCTTTGATTTTGGCTGCTTTGCATTGCAAATTTATGGCACACAATAGAGTGAGGCAGCTGCAAGTGCACTTGCGCTGTGTTTGTACACCTATGCAAAAATGCTGTAGGATATTCATGAATCACTCCTACTGCTAAACAGCCAGTTGCTCCTTGCTTTTAATGTGGCACCTAATCTGATTCCATGTTATTTAAAAGGGCAACAGATTTTTCATTTATGAATTTAAAATTACTGCTTGGCCACTTAAGAAGCAAATAAATGTTATTTATACTGCAATACTGGCTAAAATAAAGTACTGGTACTAGTGTGTTTCATACATTCACTTGGTCCACCCAGTGTGAGCTACAGGTATTTAAGAGAATTGGCTAGCAGAAAGTGGCAGACAGTGTGGCTGTAACACAATTGGATTCTGAATTGGCCATAAAAATGGCCAATTGGTGCACATCTAGCATAATCTGCTGAACAAAAATGGCATGAAGACTATATAGCTGATGGATCAGATATCGGGGTGGATGTAACACTCATTTTAGAAGTGCCTAAGCACACCACTTTGTATACTTCTTCCCAACCAGCTATAATCTTATACACACAAGAGAAGCAGCATACAGAGTACAGAGTCAGAAGCCAGGATTAAATTGCTTAGCTATCTACATTTGTATTATTACTGCATATCCTTGACTGTCGGCTAGCTTGCTGCACCAAAATTGGTGAATTTCAATCAGTCTTGATCAGGGTTATTTTGGAAGGTGACGCAAACTGCAATTTCTTAGCGCGACTTGGAGATCTACACGATCTGCAATTCCACAAAACATACTGCTCATAAATATTGCTTGTCTATTATATACACATGTAAAACCCCAGTTTATCTCTATTTTCTGTTGATTAGCTCAAGCACAAGGTCAAGCACTGTAAAATGTGCATGAGATAACTCATCTCTATTAGTGCGTGTAAGTGGGTTAGGGTTGGGTTTCAAATTTATCAGTACCAGTCGGCCCTGATTGGGTAAGTTCTCAAAGGCTAAGTTCACATTAACAGGCTAAAGTGGCACAAATCCTATTCCTTGCCTTAGTGTGACACAGATCTGATGTTTTCAGAGCTGTGTGGACACACAAATCTGATCCTTTCAAATCACACCTGAGCCACTATCAAATGTGGTCCTAGATCAGATGCATATCCAATTTGTGGCCACATCGCCTTAATGAGAACGCTCAGACTGGAACTCGTGTTTTTTTTCCACTGCACAAGCACCATTATTCAGCTAAGGCAGCAGCGCTAGTAAACGTTGGAAAAGCAATACATCTCAACCTATTTTACCTTCATTTCAATCATTCAATTTTGAACAGCTCTGAGCGGTTTAGAGCTAATTATCTTCGTGGTGAAGGCTTGTTCTTTTGGTTAGTTTCCTGTAACTGCATTACTTAAAGCCCACTTCACTGAATCTCACACTGGCCAGTAGAGGTCTCAATACTCTGGTTATTGGATTCTTTTCAGTCTGCAGGGACATAAGTCCAGTGTGTGTGGTTTGTGTACTCTACGTGGTGTGTGTGTGTTGCATGTTTACCTCGCTTCTTTCAGGAGCCTTGGTAGTTAGCCTGGAATCGAGCTGTCTCCTCAAAGATGAGCTCCTTCAGCTTCTCTTTAGGAAGGTCATCTAGCTCCATGTTAAAGGTGAAGGGCTCCTCAGCAACCGGCTACAAATACAGTTAAATTTTACTGCATTATTCAAAACTGCGGCTACAAACACAGTTAAATTTACTGTATTATTCAAGACTGCAAAGTGCCTGGTTTAACAAAGCCTATAGTGGAGAATGATGTAGAAAAACATTAAAAGGTTCTAGTCACTGAACATCTAGGATGAAAGACAGCAGTAACATTGACAATTTGATATATGTTCGGTGGTCTCTTATTTGCCATCTTCTGTAGAAACCACTGTCAATGATCAAAACTAGGCATTTTGGATGCATCCTATGAGAGCAGAGTGGACGAGGAGGGGCAGAGGCTTATGCTATGCACACAGCCATGCCCAAACCACTGTTTTTAAAATTATTTATAATATAATATAGCATAACCTGACCTCACAACTGAAAATCGTGTATTGCTACATGAGGGTGCACATGTACAAGGAGGAGAGGGAGAGTAATATATACCTCATCAGTGGGGTCATAGTACTGCTCCAGGTAAGGGTGGGCCAATGCTTCTTCCACAGTTATACGTTTGATGGGATTGAAGGTCAACATGCGGTCCAACAAATCCAGAGCTAAACAGGGATGAGGCAAGTTTGTTAGATGAACTGCACACAAACATTCGGAACACTTCTTCTTGCATACACTTTACGGCCACTGCATGAATGCATTCTCATAGTATGACACTTGCCAAAAGCATAAATACAAAAAAATCAGAAATACAAAAAAAAAAAAATGCCTTTAAACATTGCGCAGTGCCAAAAAACATTTGCACAATGCATTCACATTTCCCCACACCATTTGTTCACAGCCACCCCCAGCTCACACTCCCACACTCTCCTACAGACACATGTAGACAAATATATACAAGCCAACCAGATAATACACAAAAAGCCTCACACTCTCCTTCCACATCACATCCACAAGAAAATCACGCTCAGGAATGGAATTCATACAGCTTTCTGGCTGTCACTTTAAACACTCTTAAAAAGATACCACAATTTAGTATGATTTACTTTAAAGACTTTTAAGTAGACTAAAGCTGTCAAACAATTAAAAAAGAGTTACTTCTGATTAATCACACTATTTTGTGTAGTTAATCACGATTAACTGCATTTCGTATTTATGAAAAACACACCAACAGTATTCAAAAATGGAGTTAATAATTTAACATAATAACATGCCATAAACATGTTAACTTTGACAAGACTACAGCAGAAGTGAATCATTACTGGAAATGCTTAGTCCAGGCTTGAATCACGTCAACATCTTAAAATAAAAAAGGTGAACAGAACTGCTGAATGTCATCCACCCTGAAAAGTCTATTTCTATATGTTGCATCACTCTGCTCTTCCCAAATTTTTTCCAAAAATAGTTCAGGTAGGCAGGTTTCCCCAGAAAGAACTTTTGTCAGTAATTATTCACAGTTTGTTATATATAAACATTTTTAAAAGCTCAAATCTTCTACTGTATACATTTAAAGCAAAACTTTAGACTTGGCCTACAAATCAGTTTCTGGTCACATTACAACGCAGTCTGTGGGCATACCTTTACTGTCCGCCTTGGGGAAAAGCTTGTTCCAGGGAATTTTGGGTTTTTGGGGCAGAGACTGCAAGTAGTTCCTGGCCTTCATGTTGATGATACAGTTTAGATCATCCTGAGAGGGGGAGCCCAGGATACCTAGCATAAAACATACACACACAATGTTTTGAGTTCATTTCATTTTCACATTTGATTCATTTAAGATCCATCTGATATTGAATGATGAGAAAGAAGAGGTACGTAAACATAAGCAAACTTGTTTTTTAGATCTTCTTTGCCACAAAACCCTTCACAAATGTTGTACAGACAAATAACATGATATAACACCAGGGAAAATTATAACACAGCAAGTAATGTAACTAACGTTAGCTAGACTGTAGGTTAGCAAACTGTGCTACAACTGCTGCAGCAAAGCTAACCAGTTAGGACTAGCTATTATAAATGTCAGCAAACAGGACAAAACAATACTGACCCATTTTTACTGTTTCACAGAACCAATAAGTTAATGTTACCACCGGTCAAGCAGAAACAGAGCAACCATCTCATCCCTTTTCATGCTTTTTAACCCTCAATGTAGCTGAAGTCAGCTTCACCAGCTTCTTGTTCAAATACTCCCCTTCCACCTCAAATGAGACGCCAGAATAGAACTGCTGCAGTTACGTTCTGGAATAGTAAAATCTAAACCAGAAGCTGGCGAATAGAAAGCCAACTTTAGCCTGTTCAGCTCTCTGAGGTCCCTCCACCGCTGAAATGCCTCACCCATGTTAACATGGCTCTTTGCCCTGCCTGATGCAAGAACTTATCCTGTGCACAAGCACATATGACCCTGATGCTGATTGGCTGGAATAGTCTTGCATCTTTCAGTATGAACCACTTTGTTTGTTTCCCATTTATAGAGCCAGTGCTGTGTATGAACACTGGATTTTTCTCCAGCGCCTGCAGAGAACGGGCAACTAGCAGATCACGAGGAGACATTCGCTGAATCAGACAAAAAGCGTAGTGATTAACATCGCTTACTGCACCTTTAAGGTTACGGATACTAAAATAATCAAAAGGTTTTTTTTTCCTGACCACAATATAATCCACTTAAGCCTTAACAAACTGACATTCTTCTTCATTCTGTAAGAAACAAAGAAGACAGAACTGAGTTCAAGGTCACTTTTGTATATTACAGACTATATAATAGGAAGTATCTCATATCTAGCATCTTACTGTAACAAGGCGGCACTGGACTTGACATAAGTGCTACAGTGACAGTAATGTTAAACTTGATCTGTTGTTACAGTATGCTTCTTCCATCCTTAACCACTAAATTAGCGTATTATTTACATCCAAGTGGAGATTTTGGAAAAGTGTACAGTACAGTGCTCTTGCAATGAAGCAGTATGCAGCCTAAACGGAACCATAATCAACTAATTTTTCCATAACAAATATTCTAAATTAAAATGATGTGATTAAAAAAATAAAATACTGAATTAACCTTTAAACATGTTTGAAAACAGCCCACTGGGTTGACATTTGATTAATCAAGCTTCTCTAGAAAACTTTCTATATCCACAACTGCATTTCTGAAACCTCAGGCAAACTTGCTGAGCATGCACTCACAAAACACATATTAAACAAATGTAACTTGTACTAACAACATCTCCTTGAAGCCAAAGACCCAATGCTGGTTTATTTTGAAAGCAGCATCACTTATTACACAGCTGAGTGTTTGCGTGTCACTTGAACGTGGGCAGTGATGATTAAAGATAACGTGTAGTTGCAGTGGCTCACCTAGTATGTGGTTGAGTTGGTCCAAATAGTGCTTTCCTGGGAAAATGGGCCTGTTGGACAACATCTCAGCCAGGATGCAACCCACTGACCAGATATCAATGGACTTTGTGTAGCCCTATCAGAGAGAAGGAGAAAGGTAAAGATCATGAACAGATGCAAACATTTGGATTCAGTGCCCACTAGTGTTGGGATAATTCCTCAAAAAACAAAAACAAACAAACAAACAAACAAAAAAAAAGAATCTGTTACAAATGACTAATTATTCCTCTCAAACTGTGATGGGGAAAAAAAAATCTCACTACTCATTACTTTAATGTTATCTGCATGCTCAAACTTTTGTTTATCAAGGTAAATGCCAGTTGGTCAGCATTAGAAAGCAGCTGACAGTCTTTCAAATGAAAAACAGTTGCTGTATTGAAAAAAGTTTGCGAAGGTCTGTTTTGTTTGAAGCTGATGCAGGCTGTAACTCCAAGATTCAGGTGAGACACCTAATGTAAACTGCTTCAATTTGGTAAATGCAAAATCAATTTGTGACTCAAGTTATATTGTAACAGTCAAAATAAGCAGTTGCATAATGAGTACTTAATTGGTGAATTGCTTTGTCCACCTGTAGTCCTTACCTTGGAATTGAGCATGATCTCAGGTGCACGATACCAGCGAGTGGCCACATACTCTGTGAGGAATCCAGTGTGGTCATGCTCTGGGTCAGCTATCCGTGCCAATCCAAAGTCACAGATCTAAGAAGAAGCAGAAGAAAAAAGAAAAGGAAAATGAGTGTCTCTCACACATACATATCAAACCGTCTTTCCTTTGTGACCATTGAATAGTGAAGCATACGAGAACATTTAATGTCTGACTCTGTCTCTCCATTTTTGTCTTTTTAGTGCATAATTCTGAAGTGTTAGCTGCCATTAATACTGTGTTAAAATATCATGAAGATCTTTTTACATTAACTTGCATTGAAAGTAAGAAATGTTTTTTTCCTTTTCCTGTAAAGTTACAGACAGCATCGATTTAGAACACATTGAAAAATGAGTGAGCAGCTGAATGCAAATACTGAGTTTAGGCTTAATCCTAGCCTTTCCACTGCTCTAGTCCTCACTTCTGTCTTGAGCCTTTTCTTAACCACAATCAGTGTTTGAAAATGTTAACCAGAAAACCTCGACAATGGCTGGCATTCACCTTGAGGTCACAGGTGGTGTTGATGAGCAGGTTGGAGGGCTTCAGGTCTCTGTGGAGGACGTTGGCAGAGTGGATATACTTCAGCCCACGCAAGATCTGGTACAGGAAGTAGCAGATGTGGTCGTTGCTGAGCTGTTGGGTCTTCAGCAGCTTGTACAAGTCCGTCTCCATCAGGTCCTGGACGATGTAGCTGCAGGGAGTCAAGGAACTAACCAACTCACAGCAGCTGACAGGCTGGCTGGGGATAATCCCAGCAATGGTCAGGGACACAACCTTTCTAATCAGTTTTTTATAGTGTTAAAAACGACAAACCTTAAATGTAAACAATTTTACCCTTACTTTAAAAGAAGTTAATCAGCCAAAAATTGCTTGTGCACTAAGCTTGCTTCTTTACTTCTGCTCTGGTGCTACAAGGCTAACATAGTGGATGTTTATTCTCTGCCAATTAGCACTATGCAAGCTGCGTGCCTAAATCAAACAAGTCTGTTTTAGGTTGCATTTTACAATGCAGTTTGAGGGAAGTGTGCTATGATTTAGGCATGCAGTTTGCAAATGCTATAAGCTTGCATTACTCGTTAGCTACATAAGCTTCACAGCTCCGGTGCAAAACTAAAGCACCAAAGACATCTTGGCTGACTGACTGCATTTTTGGAGGGGCAAATTTGATATTTTGCCATACTATTGATTTAAATTACTGTTAAAAGCCTAGCAAAGAGTTAAGAGTGACTCAGTTATTTGATGAAATTCTACAATCTTAGCATTAAACAGGGCTTTAGAAGATGTTTGCTTAAGTCTTGCCAAAATGACACAAGTCTATCAACACCACCCCTGCTCTGCTACTGATGTTAAGAACTAGAAACATCATTCGCCACTGCAGCGCAGGCTTATTCTCCAGGCGTGGCCGGCTGCTTGTATAAGGATACACGTCCCGCATATAGTCAATGTGGCGCGCTCTCAGGATGTCATTGATACCGATGATGTTCTCATGTCGGAACCGCAGTAGGATCTTAATCTCCCTCAGGGTGCGCTGGCAGTAGGTCTGGTGCTCGAACGGGCTGATCTTCTTAATGGCCACTCGGATCTTATTCACATTGTCGAATGCGGAGCTGAGGGCATTGGCGAGAGTGCAGGAAAGAGATAATGAGGCTATTGAGGCTTCCTTCAGGTTAGAAATCCTGAAACTACTTATTACGAGTGGATGATATGGCAAAACTATATCACAAAACAAGTCATTTTCACACTAGACAAAATGCCTCATGGTATTTAGTTTTACAGAGGTTTGATAAATTGGAAAAGTAGTGCCAAATAAAAGTATTTATACATATAAAACTATGTACACAATGTTTTTTTTTTTTTATATTTCACATACAGCACTGCACAAATTTAAATTAAACCAAACTGACTGCACTCTCTGTGATGAAACAGGCAGTTGTCCAGTGTTGTCTGAGTGCTGACGATACAATATGTTCAGAAAAGCATATTGTAACAAAACTTATCACGATAATAAATAATCATCACTTTCACCAATCCTACACAGTTGAACTAAAAATGAAAGACAACAAAGCACCAAAAAAATATTGATATATAGAACCACATACAATGCAATGTCCATCAATCTGAAGAACTATTTCACCATGAAAATATATACAGACTTTTTGGTTCTAAATAGAACAACTACCTTTACAAAAGAACTCTTGAAGAACCAACATTTTTGTTAAGTGCATTAGAATCAACATGAACTGGAAATGAATGCATTTTCCTTCCGGATCATGTCATGTTCCTACATGAAATATAATATAATGGACGGTCTTTCACTTGATGATAGGTGGGGGTGCAAGAAAGGGGAGATGAAACATGAAACTATTGGTTAATAATATTTTTCTCTCCCGCTGACGCACGGTGATGCAATCAAAATGCAGACGACGTTTTGGTGGGCAGGTTACTAGACTTCAATATATGAAAAAACAAGAATTTTGTCTTTTCAATGGAATAGTTTGTTGAATTACGATTAACATAACCATGGACATGAACAAACAAGGTAAAAAAAAAAAGTCATTTAAAGTCAACCTAATATCAAAATTCTTTCAATCCTAGCATGAAAATATTAGTCCACATAACCGTTATAGACATGATCATGGAAATGTTGGTTTAGACTGCAGTAAAAAGAGCAGATGCATGCCCAGCAAACTACTAGATGTTACTTCAGCAAAGAATACTAACTAAGTTAGCAATGCAGCTTCAACTCAAAATCCTGGAAAGTCAAACAGCAGAACAGGTCAGAGTCATTTTTATTGACTTTATCTGGCTCAAATCATCACCCTAACTGATAGACAAAGTTACTCCATCAAGTTTCAATAGTATATTTATATTATCTTCTCATCTTAATCAGACAGTTCGCAGTATGTAGACACCAAATTGCCAGAATACAGTTAACAATGCATGATCCTGCTCACCCATGTTAACCGACTGTCCACACGAACGCACAGTTAGAAATCACAACAGCTTTAAGGCGTTTCATTCTGGTAACAGTCAGTCCTTTGGGAGTTTGGGACCAAAAACAGCATCTCTGCCATCTCACTTCCCCGTTAAAACACAAAATTAGCAGCATCATAACCACGCCTTTCCTACAGGCTGCACATAATGATATGTCAAACTGCTAAACGCTAATGGATTAGCATGCAGGTTTAGTTCACTGGGCTTAGCGCAGCTAACCAGCTACAAACAGGCTCTTGTTAGAGCTTCAATAAGCAAAAGTCGTTCAAAAAAAGTCATTAGTCGCAACAACCACTGACAGGTCCTCAGAAACCTTTTACAGTGTGGTTTAGGTTACAGCGGACCGTAAAACACCGCTGCTGGCTATATAAACGTCAGGTTAGCCCGCTAGCTAGCTAACAGGATGAGCAACAAAATTGACAGCTAGCTGGCTTAACCTAGCGTTCTTGCTGGCGGTTGCAAAAAAACCCTTTTATTTTCAGACCAAATCTCCGAAATGGTATGAAATCATCGCTTTATAGCTCATAGTTTGCACAGGAGGACGTGTTTACTTGTTTTAACAGGTTCCACCTCCTGCCATCAGACTGCACAGCTAAGCTAGCGCGCTACTTAGTTAGCGAATTACTGCTGCTGCTCTGTTGATCAACGCTAAAGGGGTTAAAGGGTGGAATAAAAACACAAATATCTCAACAAACTGTTTTCTCCCTTACCAAACCATTCCGTAGGCCCCCTCCCCGATGTACTGAAGGTCGGTGTAGCGGGGGCCCACGTCGAAATTCTGCCCTTTGACGGACTCCAGGCCGGGTTTTGATCCCGCGGCTCCAGTCGCTCCTCCGGGCGGCACCGCTCCTCCGGCCCCGGCGGCGCTCCCATTCGAGCCTGCGGCTCCGGCTGCCGCTGCGGTGCTGCCTGAGTCCGCCATCGCTCCGTCCGCAAACCGCTGCTGTGGATCAATACGTCTCGGGGGAGGGGGCCTTGTACCGCTCTTCAGGTTAATAACAGCGTTCGTGTATGTATCTGTTTAGTTCGTGGACGCTTGCTGTTTTCCTCGGACGGTGCACTCGCCTCGGAGTCCAAGAGGAGTCGATAAACCGAGGCCCCCTCCTCTTCGATAAAGACTATGCGAGAGTGCGCGCGTGTGTGTGTGTGTGGACGCGGATCCCTCCCGTAGAAGGACGCTGGGCGTGTGCAGATCTGCACCGCCCACGATCATGATCATGATTATAAGACTACTCTGACTACTCTGTTCAAAATCAGATATGGACTCTAATGTTTTAAGTGCATCAGGTGCACGAACGAAACTTTTCTCTCACCCCAAATGGGGGGCTTAAACAGGGGGGCTCAGAGAACAGAGATGCTCCCGTCAGAGTGAATCATTCTGACTTGATAAGGCCGAGAGATAAGAGCATGAGCAATTTGTTGACGTTAATCTTAAAGTATTAAACACGAGCCGTGAAATGATTAAATGTGGGCCTGTTCGTCACTGTCAGTTTTGACGGGATGGCTGATTGTGTGATTCCCTTATTGCCTCTGGAATTGTTTATGAACAGCCCGATTACGTGGCATTTATCAACACCACCATAAAGTTCTAAATATTCTATTATAAAGTTATTTGTGTGTTGTTGTACAACAGAGACTGTTCAATAGCAGAATACAGGAGCCCTCGCCTACTTCACATGAGGCTGAAGTGATCCAGTTTAGTTTGGACTTTTTCCAGCTACGGTCATTAGTGCACTCTAAAGAGGAGTAATGTGTTAAATAACAACACATTTACTTGTGTTACCTGTTTTAACACTTTTATCCCCTAATTTAACTTTTAATTATGAAATTTAAAACTAATTTCATTAATTATTTTAATTTAATGACTAATTGCAATGACTGATTTAATGACTTAATGACTGATTATTTTAATCAAGTTTTAATCATGTTTTTAATTTCTATGCCCCTTTACTTTTTTTAAATGACTGTATTTTCTCATTTTCAGAGCACTTTAAATGACAGCAGTGAAAGGTGCTATATAAATGAACTTGCCTTGCCTTTTTTGTGTCATATTGTTTTCTGATTTAACACATTCAAAATGTTTTTTCTGTAACTGAGCATAGAAATATTTCAACACATTCTGTGTTAAAAGTAATGTGTTGTCTCCAATGGAACACACTGTTTCTACTTATTGACAGAATGTGTTGTTTCTTAACCCTTTAAATGGTCAGGACCCCCCTCCATGGGCCTAAAATTTTATTATACACGTCTATAACTATTCTATAACGTCTATAATATTAGCTCAACCAGTTTGCAAAGTCCCTGTAGTTACTGAATAACAAGCCTTAGTATGTAATAAGCCTGGAATTTTATGGGGTTAACACATCTATTTTAAGAGTGTGCTTTATTTGTGTGATCTTATCACATCATTTTTTAACTTCCAGCCAATTCCAGTGCTATACTTAAAGCAGCATTTTGAAAAAAGTAGTGTTAATGAGTCTTGAGAAAAACTTGTAAAAACATAGTGAGCAAGTTTTTGCTGTGAGTCACTCGTAAAGCCTGAAATAATCATGTAAAAGTCAGAGGCATCAGGTCAGATTTCCCAAGAGTTTTTCAAACCACATAACACATCTTTATATATTACTGTCACACACACAGGCTCAAAAAGAAGATCCGGCTCAATGTTTAAGCCTCAAAGGCAAAATCAACATTACACTGATGAAGATACGATGTCAATAGTAGATCACTGACTTACATCCTCAGATCCTTCACCAAGTTTTGACTGAGTTCTCTTTGAATACTCTTTCAACTCGTTCGTGATCATCAGATGCATCCTCTCGTGCGTGGAAGCATATCTGTATCAAAATTTAAATGAATACGTAATATTGAAAATGGCAATGTATTTGTATGTTTGTGTTTAGATTTCCCTCTCATATGTGCAATGTTGAGCTCAAAAGGAAAATACAAAATCAATACTGTGATTTTAATTTGCCATTTGGTATACTAGTATTGGCATAGCAGGGATGGATCATGGTCTCACATGTAGTGAGAAAGTAAATTAAAGTAAAAGTGAAGACTACTAACAAATGTGTAAGTAATGAAACACTACAAGACACTATAACTGCCACGCCTGCTGTTTTTATTTGTAATAGTAACTTTTATAATATTTAATGGAAAGCAAACTGGCTGCTTCCAAAAAATCCTATGCTATCCAGTGAAAACATATTTTGAAAATTTAAACTTGATAGGCTACGGATTTACTCTGTACGTTCTCTAAGTTCTCTCAGCAATACAACTGTAAACTGCCTATTTTGGGGATGCCCATGGACCCACATTTTCTACACCTCAAACTCGATTTTGAATAACTTACTTTCTGTAGTTGAATAACTTCATACTAAGACTTATTCTTGAAACTTTGAAGTCCAGTAGTTATGTTAAAGCAGGGTTTTTCAACCACTGGGCCCCCTCCAGTGGTCCATAGTGGGCCAGTGATGGTTCTTAGTCATAAAAAATTAGTGAAACAATGGACTTAATTATAAGAAAGAAATATAAAATATTCTCAAATGGTAAACAATCTTAAAACAAGTAATGCAACAGTGGTGCATAATGCAACTTCATATGTTTTTTTGCCCTTTGTCTCTAGAAACAAAATACAGCCGAAGTTTCAAATGTCCACTCATGAGTGAAAAATGTAGCTTTATTTGCCACCGTTCCTGATTTCAGCCTAATTAGTTGTTTTGCCTAATTTGTTGATATTTGATGTTCAGTCATATACATGGCATGTTGTCCCACCCGAAAATTGCTACGTTGAAAACATCTCAAAAATGAGTTTTTGTAGCAAACGTTTTTTTTCCTGTGGGCCCTTATTCTTTCTAGTGAGAAAATTTTGAGAACCTCTGTTATAAATCTCTGCGTCTTCCCCTGCTATTCTACCTTTTACTATGTGGGCTAACATTCCCATGTAACTGCGTAATGCTTGTTTTCTACTACTACTCTGCTCTTGTCCTCTTATCGTTTTTATTACTTTTGTATTTTTTCATTACTAATAAAATCGCCTTAAACGCTGCCTGTCTATCTGCCCCAGCTGTCTATGTAGGCAGTAGGGAGCAAGTCAGCCCAGTAGCAGTTTAACGTCTCCCAGTGAGCGAGTGAACGAGTCAGCCAATCAGGACGTGGCACAGGTTCGTTTGATTTAGCGTCGCTTTGGTTACGTCAGCGAAACGGGCAGAGCTGCTGCTGTTTACTTCCTAGTCACTGCGGAGCTTTTAGGCAGTTTGTGATGAAACGAGTTTTCATAAACTGGGCTGGGTCCGTGCATATAGCGCTCACCATTGTAGGGCTGCCGTACGGCGTGTGTACGGGTGGATACTGGTATGTAAAATGAATGAAGTTGTGTGAAATTCATTCTGCTCCTCTTGATGAGCCTCAGGGTTTTCTTAGGGTGGGTATATCTGTAGCTACATCTGTAATTATACAACTGAAGGATATTTTGATAGCCTAAATCTCCTTATCAGAAATTGGTACCAGCATTAAAATATTAATTTGGATATTTTAATATCCTAAATGACTTTATCAAAGGGTAAGTGGTAATACTGAGCTGAGTCTATACCGTATTAGCCCTATAAACACAATAAACTTTTGAAACGTTAAGTTACAACGCTATGCTAATGATATGCGCATGCTCAGTAGGACCGCGCGATGGGTAAGACGCATTTCTGAAACACCTCTATGTCAGTCAAGAAATTCTTTGATTTGAAGAAGTCAGAGATAAAGATCTAAAATATGCCTTGGCTGAATTTGAGGAACTGAACCTAGGGAGATACATTCTTAACGAAGTGCATTATACCTTTATTCATTCATTCATTATTAGACTTGCTCTGATTTTGGCTCTTTGATTTTTTTTGTTGTTTCCAGCAAAGCCATCAACAGCAGAGTCCCGAGTGTGTGTACTTTAAGTTTTGCCTTCATGTCATCATCTGCCATGCACATCAAGGCCCGCTGCCCAGTGTACCCCGGCTCAGACACCCACCGCTTCCCTGTTCCAGATGATAAGGTTAGCTGGGCAGCAGACTGGCCCGAGTACAGCCCTGTGAACTACACAGCACCATCTGTGCTGAACAAACCTGTCTGGGCTGATCCAGAGATCGGGTGAGTCAGTAGTGCACATTTTTCCTTTAGCTATAAGTACTACGTGTGTACTGGCCGTATATACCCAATACTATTGGGCACTTATTCTAAAGGTAAGGTTTATTCTAAGGATGTAACGACTTAAAAACAGTAGCACAATACCACTTTTTTTCGCAGTAATGATATTGAAAGGTTGAGTATTGGCCAATACCAATACAATCCAATATTTTTCTTTTTAAAAACTACTATGCTTTAAAATTAGCTATTTTTCTTTGCAGCGCTTCACTTAAATTGAGCATCTAGGTGTAAATATAGGCTGTCATGCTTAAACTACTCCACGTGAAGAAATAAGCCACCTCTACAAAACAGTATTGAAAAAAAAGTTTGAAAAAGTGCATTGAAAGTTAAAACTCCATTGCCAGTAAGCCCTTCAGTATCTTCTGAAGGTCTCTCAGTTTACCATCTTGCGAAATGTGAAACAATTGAAACAATAACTGGGTTATAGTTCATGCTCAGTGTCAGGCTCTGTATATTTTGCTTATATTTTAAATGTGCTTTTAAATCATGTTGATATTTCAATTTTTTGGGTTGGGGGTTGAAAATGGAGACATGAAGCAGTTCTGTTTTTGTATCATTTATAGCTCAGTTGAACTGTTTTATAGGATGCCTATTTTACACAAAGACATGCTCCTTTGCAGTCTTTTGTTTTGAAATAAAATCTAACTCACTGCGATCTGTGGAGCATATAGTTAGAGCTCTGTAGAATCAAGACTTCAACACTAAAATTTAATCTTGACCACAGAATCGTATTGAAACTGCAAATATATGTGTTGTTAAAGCCCTAATTGTTTGTTACTGATTGATCACTTTCTCTTTCAGTTCATTTTCCCCACAGTTTAACTCGCTCGATGGGTCTGTGGACAGGAGGAGCCATGAGGGAGAGTACATAGTACAAGATGGTAGACCACTGTAAGCCAAGCACTTAGTCATTTGTCTGTGTTTTAACACATGAGCTCAAATTTCCATACAACAATCTCCGTACTCTTTTTCAATCTCTTTCAGCAATCCTAGGGGAAGAACTGGTTTGAATGGTAGGGGCCTTCTGGGTAGGTGGGGTCCTAACCACGCTGCAGACCCCATAGTAACCAGGTACTGTGACCCAGAGGGGTAGGCATTTACCTAATTGTTCTGCTCCTGCTAAAGGCACCTCTTTAAGGAGCACTCCAGCAAAAAAACAGACTTTAATGTTATTTCACCAGTTATGCAGAATTCTGTAGCTCAACATTGTATCTCTCAGCCTCATTGGCTTGACGGAATTCAGGATTTGTACTGTTTTTATGTTTGCTTATATTAATGTTCTCTTACTACAAAGCCCAGCATGCATTATGCAAATACATTACGCAACGCTCGGGAATCCCTGAGATGCCAACCAATCCTGAATCAAGAAGCTAATAAATATAACCACAATTCTGTCTTTTTTCAGCACTAAATGTACACTGCAAAAGGGATGGAGGGTGTTTTAGCCAGAGAAAAGAAGCCTATCTGAACTAAGGTGTCTAGAAAGCTAGTTATCTTGCTAGTGGTAGCATTCAGCTTGTTGTCCTCATCTCAGAAGTCATTTCTGTTGTAAACCATTCTCTACTACAGTTGCAAAAGATAGCTTTCCTCCAAAAAGCCTTTCAAAGTAGTTGTCAGTTTAAAAAATCTCTCCCTCTTTCAATAAACATCATCAGAAGAGGTATTTCTAGCTTTTAAACCAGAAAATCTTGCTTTAGACACTACTAAGGCACTGCTGTAGATGTAAAAAAGCATGTTTACGAGAGGTGCAGCCATGATTAAGTTTGTCATTTTGGCCAGAGTGACGCTTTAACAAGTTTATTTAAAACTAATATCAGCTGAATTTCGTGTTCCTAAACACGAGCCTAGATGCGTCTAGAAGCAGGAATAACCATTGTCTCTGTAATTATGGCTGTGTTATAGTAACTGTCTCCAAGTGATACTCTTGAGGTCCAAACATTTGCACTAGCATGCAAATTGTGTTTTGCACTAGCATGCTAGTTGTTGTCTTCTCTTTGGAATTTTTTTTCTGTTGTCTCTTCGGTCAGAAAACACTACTAAAGGTTGGCTAAGGGCACAACATGAAGATGACTGTTCTGTTTTATGTGGTTAGGCCACAAATCTCAGGTGGAATGGTCAGGTTCATCTACATCCTCTTCTGCTAACTTCTCTCTTCTGTGGTCTCCCAGGTGGAAGAGGGACTCTGCAGGGCAGCAAGTTTCTCACGCCATCTCTAAACTTCCTGTGCTGCAGTTTGTGTCCATCAAGAGGAAAGACTGTGGAGAGTGGGCCATCCCAGGGGTCAGTATGTATTGTTAGGACATGAACATGACAAAGTACATTCATTTCTGGAAATCACATGTGCTATCATGTCTTAAATTGCAGTTTACATACAGTCGTATGCAAAAGTTTCAACACCCCTGAACAAATTAGATTTTTTGTTGATGTTATAAGTTAGCATATCCTCTACCTGGTACAGATTTTAAAAACAGCATGTTTTATTTTCTAATTTTGTTGCACAATTACTGTTTATTTGCTCATTTTTATGGATCGGACAAAAATAAAACATAGAAAATGTGCAGGAACTTTTGTATAGGCTGTATTTTTATGTTTTTTTTTCTTCACAATATGATACATTCAGCAAATAAACAGTGATTGTGCATTCAGTTTTTCAAAAGTGTGTTCTCTGTAAAGCAGGCATGTTACACTGGGGACCTTCCAGGCCAAAGCGCTGCTTAATTTACCCTCATCTAACGTTCTGAATTAAATGCACATTTAAACAATCAATAAAACATGTAATTTGACCAGGGGCACCCAAACCTTTGCACACAACTGTACATATTCTATGCACTGGCGCTAATCTGTAATATATGTTTAGGGTATGGTGGACCCAGGAGAGTTAGTGTCTCTAACTTTGCAGCGAGAATTCTCAGAGGAGGCAATGAACTCTCTCCAGGCCTCCCCACAAGAGCGGGAAAAGATCCATGAGCGGATCACTCAGCTTTTTAGTGCTCCAGGTTTCCAGGTACCTGTTTCTTAGAAAAAGAGCAAGAAACTGAAAATAACATGATGTTATAAGTGCTGTGTTACAAGACTGTTGTATCTACCCTTCAGGTATATAAAGGTTATGTAGATGACCCAAGAAACACAGACAATTCCTGGATGGAAACAGTTGCTGTCAACTTCCATGATGAAAAAGGTAATAGTTAAATTGGATGAAAGTGTGCCATCAAATATGGAATAAAAGTGGCTCCTTTGCCACATATAAATTAGTGTATAAAAGCTTTTAATTGCTCTTTAAAAATTTAGAATCCATGTTTTCAGTGATATAAAAGCAATCTGGTCGTGGATAAGTGTCTAAAATGATTGTAACATGATGACGCTAGTTCTGTGCAGCCTCACAGGTTTCAAATAAATAATAGGATACTAGAAAGCTGTAAATTAGAAGAGAACTGTTAGACGTGTCCAGAATGATAAACGGAGCTGTAGAAGATTCTAAAAACGTTCTTGTTCATTCGTTTTTTGTATCATAATTATCTCAGAAAACCTAATAATAAAAACCAAGGATGAAGCTGTGGTATTATCGCAATAATATATGTGAGGTCTTGAGATATTGGCACTGCAGTACAACAGTGCATAGTAAAAATAGTAAAACCAGTTAAATATGCTTCTCTGCGTTTACTAGGTGACAGTGTAAGTGAGCTGCCACTGCAAGCAGGCGACGATGCAGGCCAAGTGAGTTGGATCGACGTTGACTCCTCTCAGCCCCTGTATGCTAGCCACTCACATTTTCTGCAGACAGTTGCCAAGGAAAGGAAAGCCCACTGGTAACCAAGAGCAATGACAAGCGCCTTCAAAGACACAAACAAAAACACTTTATGAATTGAAATATCAGTCATAAGTGACTGAAAATGGTTAAATGGTTAAATGGAGCAGGGATCTGAATCCAAATGTATAGCCTGATGACCCATCCTGCGTTGTACTGTTCTGTAACACTTTCTGCACACTACAGCCTGGAACTGCAGTTCAAACTGTAAAAAGGTCTTTCTGCTTGATTGAGAACTGATAGACTGGGATAGAACATTTTTTCATGATTTAAAACACACTGACACTGATTAGATCCAGATGATCCCTTATACTTGAACTCATTGAAAAAGATGAGCAGTTCCTGAATTATGTAGAACAGCAGGATGAAATTCAGGTTGACTTGTCTAGCTGGCAAATTTACACTCGTTGTGGAAAACACTGCCACAGCATTAAAGGGGAATTTCACCATTTTTTTCAAAAGTTCTGCATAATTAAACCATTGAGACGTGAAAGTCATCCAGAGTGTTTTGATGTGAAATGATTCAGATTTCTTTACAGTGGTAGTGATGGGAACTGGGGGTCGTGATGTCTACAACACAAACATGGTCATTATTTACCCAAATGACCAGTATACCAACACGTCTTCCGAGTTGAAAACTCAGTGTTGATAATGGTAAAATAGTTTGAAATCCAAAAAAGGGAAGTGTTTGCCTTACAACGCCCTGCATGTACCTCTCTACAATGTTGATGTTAAGAAAAAGAAGAAGCAGAAGAAGAAACATTTTAGCCTAAAAGTGTGTATCAAAACTATCATAAGACAGTATCTCAGGCATCAGGCAAAGCATTAGTAACCATTTAATGTAATAGCATTATATAACCATAGCTTACAGAGGCATTAAATGCTTCATATGTCTAGTTCCTATCATCACCACTGTGACCAGTTCTGACTGTGAATTCTAGTAAGTGTCTCTAGAACAGAGCATTTCACATCAACCCACATTGAATGACTTTGTTCACATCTTAACAATCACATTATGCAGAAATTTAGAAAAAGATCAGAAATCATTCCTTTTTATAGCTAATGCATGTGTTATACCTAATTACCTGCATGCATAGCAATTTACCTTAATGGGCAATTGTTTTTTTTATGCCATTGACTATTTATTGTAGATTTGTGAAGCTAATTTGAAGGACTAAATAGATGAAAGTGAAAATTTGAACTGATTATCATTTAGAGGGTGATATTCCTATATCTATTATAAGGTTCTCTTTCTTGCTCTGTCTACAAAAGCTGACACTGTGATGAATATAATAAATGTTGCTCTGACTTTCTTTCCTATCTTTCCTGTTCTGTGGACTTCTGTTTCTAATTTGAGTTGCCATAAATGCCATAAAACTCAGATCATCAGAAACATTGTAAATTATTTGCATTTAAGGATCTGATTAAAGATGTAGGATCAGCTTTGTAGAGAAGAATCTATTATTGGACCAAACTGCAAGCTAAACTATAACTGTTAATGTTTTACCTGTAAAATCCCACTTAGTTTTGTCATAAAGGCTTAATCTGGGCCCGCAAAACTGAACCAAAGTGTTGCAGTATGTTCATAAGGCTTCAGTTCGGTCATTCTGCGTTTTGTGTTGGCAAATGGGGTACAAATGTTGATCTGTAATTCCAGTGTAAAACATAGTCTGTTATATTGAATAACATCAATACAGTTACATCACCACTGACAGAATAGCTAAAATATGAGCTTTTCTAAAATATTTCCCCACATTGGTGACAATTTTTTTTGCGGCACATAAAACTGTCAGTAGTTTAGCCAAATTTATCAGAACTATAAAAGAGCTTTCGGTAACAGTGCACTTCTTAGAGTTTGTTAAAGTTTTGAAACACCTCAGGGTCACTGCTGGACTGAGAATAGTCCAACCGAAAATATCCAGCCAACAGCGTCCTGTGTGCAGCGTCCTGTGACCACTGATGAAGCACTAGAGCATGACCAACACAAACTGTGCAGTAACGCACGAGCTATCGTCATCTACAAGCTGGACCAACAATGTAGGTGTGAGTGGACACAGTCTTTTAAAACTCATATCAGGGCAACACACACTGACTCCACCACCACATCAGTGTTACTACAGTGCTGTGAATGATCCACCGCCCAAATAATACCTGCTCTATAAGACTTTAGATAATATCGTAGAGGTTTGAGTTGAAATAGCTTTCATAACACATTTTTATCTCAAATGTTCTTGAGTCAGTCACCTTGAGTCAGTCAGACACATGAAGAATGTGACAGTGTTATCATAGATGGATCTTGGTCTGCGGAAAGGTGGAGACACCAAACTGGTTACACAGCTCCTCTGTCAATCTCTGTTTAAGATCACACAGTAATTGCTGCAGATAAATCATTAAAGATGATTAAAGTGACATGTAAGAATGCATTTCATCTTTGTTGTATATTTAGATAAAGACAGCTAAAACAAAGACAACAAAGTAATGACTTGGTAACTTGGTGTCTTGGTTAACTTGGCCATTTTAGACATGCTGTTCTTCCTCTCTGTCTTGGCCTATGCATGACTGGTATTAAAGGGCCCATCTTCCACATTTTTCCCCCTGAAGTCTGTTAAGATGTTTATATTACCTTTTTCCAACCTCTTGTTATCTCTTAGAATTAAACAGGCTGGTAGTGTTACTGTGCCTTTAAGACTGATATATGTAAATGAGCTCTGTTCTGATTGTCCTATATTGTGCCTGATTCACAAAGCACTCTAAGCTGAAACAAAAACATGGGCAAAAGTATTGGGACACCTACAGGAGCTTTTATGACCTCCCATTCTATATCCATAAGCATTAATATGGAGATGGCCCCCCCCTTTGCAGCTATAACAGCTTCCACTCTTCTGGGTAGCTTTCTACGAGATTTTGGAGTGTGTCTGTGGGAATTTTGGCCCATTCATCCAGAAGAGCATTTGTGCGGTCAGACACTGTTGTTGGATGAGGAGGCCTGACTCACAATCTCCGTTCTAGTTCATCCCAAAGGTGTTCGATGGAGTTGAAGTCAGGGTTCTGTGTGGGCCAGTCAAGTTCTTCCACACCAAACCCACCCAGCCAGGCCTTTATGGACCTTGCTTAGTGCACTGGGGCTCAGTCATGCTGGAACAGAAAAGGTTCTTCCCCAAACTGTTCCCACAAAGTTGGATGTGTACAATTGTACAAAATGTCTTGGTCTGCTGGAGCATTAAGATTTCCCTTCGCTGGAACTAAGGGATCCAGACCAACCCCTGAAAAACAACCCCATAGTATTATCCCTCCTCTACCAAACTTTACAGTTGGCACAATGCAGTCAGGCAGGTATCGTTCTCCTGGAATTCTCCAAACTCAGACCCGTCCATCAAACTGCCGGATAGAGAAGCCTGATTCGTTACCCTGCAGAATATGTTTCCACTGCTCCAGAGTCCAGTGTTGTGACATAACAAAAACAATGAATTCAGAATGGCTGTTTTTGCAGCTTAGCTTCCATATATTGGGGAGTAAATGGTCTGTTTTGAATCTTTTAACAATGTTTACATATTACCTGAAACATACAAATAAACAAGAAACATTCATTTTTCCATGATATGGGTCCTTTAATCTGAACATCATAACCACTGACTGTGGATGGGATGTTTGTTATATTCTCCAAATAAACAAGTACTAATATTCAGGCATTTGTATATCAGTGTGCATCCCCAAATATCATCTGAGAGTGTCGTATTGATGTTTGGTCAGTATAAAATAATCAATTATTTCCTATCCATTTGTAAATCCAATGGTCAGCAGGCAGGACATCCCATGCACTGTTAGCACCATTCCTGGACAGTGAAGCTGGGCTGTGCACACTAGATGACTTATTTGAGGGTGCAGGAGATACACTGTATAATATATTCACATATTTAGTGGCCCAGCATGTTTTAACCCTTTAAAGTGTGGTCTGTCCATAGGCACAAAAGTAAATTAGGCTATTTTATAAAGCATATTGTGGCACTTTAAGGGTGAAGATCACTCCAGGCCAATCTGAAACTAAGTTATCCTATTTCAGAAAGTTCATATTAAGCTGAATTTGTGGTGTTCCAATGCGTATTAGCCTCTGTTACATATTTTATACAACAAATCATGGTATTTCTGAGTGCGAAGTTTACATAGAGACAATCTGCTAACTGGCCCTGCCATCAATGCACTGATATCAAGGTATTATCTGCTATTTCTAGCTAAACTATCATTATACACCTTAACTGAGTGTTAATCCTGTTGACTCCAGGTCTTATTAAATATGACACATTGTTTCTTCTCAAAAACATGTTATTGTATTATTGTAATAATGTGTATAAAAAACAATTATGGCTTTTACATCACTGCAAATAGCTTTAAAACAGCAGCGTAAAATGAGAACCTATTTGCTATTTTTTTCAGGTCAACTCAAGTCAGGTTTTACACTGATTACACAGATTACTAACGGAAACAGGCTAATTAGTACCATCTATCGTCTCTGCTGCATTTAATATGGAACTCTTAATAAGAATCCTTCTGCAAAGTAAGAGCAGCTATCATAAAAAACATGGCTATCATTAACACAGCTCTCCATTAGCAGGTGTCTACAAACTTTTTTTACATGTCCAAATGTCAGTTTCTTCTGAAATTAAATGTATTAATAAGGGGTTTGTCCCCTTTGATGCAGTAACAGGCTCTACTGTTCTGAGAAGGCTTTACAGTAGCTGTTGGAACATTGCTGTGAGGATTTGACTGCATTCAGTCACAACAGCATTAGTGAGGTCAGGTACTGATGTTGGATGATCCGATCAATTCTGGATCACTCAAACTCATCCCAAAGGTACTGGATGAAGCTGCATCACTCCAGAGAATGCAGTTCTACTGCTCCACAGCCCAAAGCTGGGGGGGCTTTATAACCTTCTAGCCAACACTTGGCATTGTCCATGGTGACCGTAGCCTCATGTGCGGCTGCTCCAGAGTGGCCCATTCTAATGGCAATGCTTTTCTATGGAGATTATACAAGGTGTGCGTGCACAACTGAACGGCGGTGTTGGTAATGGATGCTTTTAGACATGCAGTGTGTCACAGTGTTCAATGCCCAATTAGCCTTTTTCATAAATTCTGCATAATTTTATTGTCAAGGATAAAAAATGTGTGTAAAAATGAATTGGGTTTACAGACTGAATTTTGCCACGAGACGCTAACTGATCATCTTGAGTGTAGATGTTACAAAAAAAAATTTACTCAGTTGAATTGATTAGAACAAATTCATTAATAAAAAAGTCTGTCCACAGAACCCTTAGTAAAGCTGATGACTAATGCTTTGCAGGCCAAAATCTACCTAAAACAGTCAAGCAAGGACAACACTGTTTCACTGACGTGAAGCACTGCACTTATGAGGCACCTTTATGTGCTAATACTGCCCCCTTGTGGAGAATTGCTAAATGTGAACGGGTGAGTTATAAGCCAGGTTCATTAGGCGCTTTGCATCCTTAAAATACAAAATAAATAAATAAAAACAACAAAAAAAAAAACAGACTTGCTTTTTAGGGTAGTGTTGTGCACATACATGCATAGTCAAGTGCAAAAAAGGGTTTTAATTGAGGTTTCACATTCAATATGTAAACATAATAAAAAAAAAAGCCTTTTTATGACAAAAATAAAACAATTTTGTAATAGTGCAACCTCAGTTGTACCACAGCCATCCCTGTATGGAAGTCCAAGAGAGCATAATTTGCCTTGCTCTCTCTGACTGGGTAAAAAAGAAAACCCACTTTAATTTCGTAAAAAAAAAAAATATTTAATAAACTGTGAATGGGAATGGGGAAAACTGGGTGGAAAAAAAATCCAATTCAATTTTATAAAAAAATTAATTTCATAAACTGTGTTAATAATGAGGGACTTTTAATGCTGTATTGATTGGGATATCAAACCTGTCAGGTCCTGAGCTGGATCTTTTTTTTAAACGCATTATTTATTTTAATGACAATCTATTACGGCATATATACAGCAAGGCCTCTGCAATAGACCTAGGGTACTGTTAGCCTCATAAAGGAATGTAAGACCAAAATTACACACTGTAACTCTTAGTACCCAATATTTGAAATGACCACATGTAAAATCACACAATTTATGTCTGAGAAATAAATAAAGATTTGTAAGCAACAATTATTATGTCCCTCTATTTGAGCTTTTCCTTGTTTTAGTCCACATCTTGCTACTCAACAGTCACTTCTGTCTCTGTCTGTTCCTCCATAGTGCTGTTTGTCCATGGTGCCGTCCTCCCTCACAGAGAGCAGAAGTAGTTGTGGAGAGGGAAGGCCGCAATTCCAGAGAGTGCGATACCAAAACTGTCCCCGACACTTGCAGCAGCCATTGCAAACTCCCGTTCACGGTCGCCAGTCTGTGTTGGAAAAATCCAAAAACATAGAGCCAAAAAACACAATAACCAAATCACATGGTAATAGCTAAGATTCACATGACAGTGCTGCTTCAAGACAAACAAAAAGGAAGTTTATATACCTCTTTGCTGATTAAGTAGAAAATGTTGACGTAGGCGGCTCCTCCCAGCAGACCTTCATAAAGAATTATAACAAATGCCAGCCACACATTGGGCAAGAACTGATAATACACTGCAAAAAGCAGCAGCACTGCATTGACACACTGTGAGAGAGAGAGAGAGAGAGAGAGGGAGAGAGAGAGACAGAGAGAGAGAGATTATTTAACTCTCTGTATTTTCCTCTTCACTGATCTCCTCCATTGCTTTTACACACCTGTAAGAAAGACAGCAGCCAGATTCTCCTGATCTTTATGCAGAAGAGAGAAGTGCGGGATATCATAACACCGATCTGGTACAGAGTCTGATACCTGAAATGTAAACAACAATGAACACAACAACGGAAATGATAAAGCAGTAATTGCTGTTGTCACATTTACTTATACATGTATTCACACACAGTCATATGGAAAAGTTTGAACACCCCTGATCACATTCTGTTCATTTTCTAAGTAAAGTTAGCACCTCCTTGATAGGGGACTTAAATATTCAATTTGTCTACAAATTTTAGTTACACATATTCTATTTATTTGCCGAGTTTCACATTTTGGAAAAAAATGAAACATAAAATAGATAATATAGGCCATAACTCTTGCAGAGGCATTTTATTTCTTTTCCTAATATGTTAAAATCAGCAAATAAACAATAATTGTGCATTAAAATGAGCAGAAGTGTTCTCTGTAGAGAATGTGTAACTTATTTTCACTTAGAAAACCAACAAAACATGTAAACGGACCAGGAGCATTCAAATGTTTGCATACTCAAGTAATAAATCTTTTTTGGAAAAAAAAACTTGTTTTTTTAAAGGAAATAGAGGCAGAGAACACCAGAGAAATGAACTGCTTACCAGCGGTACTGCTCTGCATGGGAGAGAGAGGAATTTCGAAAGTAGAGCAACTCCAACTGGACATAAAGAAAAAGAGGAAGAAATTGTATTTTTATTTACACCAATAACAATGTTTATTATATTCAAAAGTAACTGCCGTCATTTTATTTGTTAATTACTTATACAGTGTAGATTGCAATACTATAAGGTAGAAACCAGAAGTTATTTTAAGACGTTTTATTCAATAATCTGAGCTTCTGAGAACATGAAAAACTAATTCAATTATAAATAATATGTAAAGATCTATCTGCCTTATAACTAAGTAACCTAAGTTATCAGATTTGATCTGAATGTTTAATAAATACAACGTATTCTAGATATTAATTTTATTAGAACTGCACTCTAAATGTTTTTCAGCTTTCTACAGCTCTTTTCATCATTCTGGACACATCTAACATTTCTTCATTTTTTACAGATTCCTACTAATTAGTTGAAATGTATGTAAAGTAACAGCATTGTATGAAATCATTCTGTACATTTATCCTCAACAGATTGGGTTTATATTGGGGGTGGGCGATATGCAAAAAATATATCACGATACTTCAAGACATTTTCACGATACATGATGTGTATCACCATAGTTTGGTTTTCTTAGGTTTAATAAGTCGGAACGGATGAAATACAACCTGTAGTGCCACAAATAAAAATAACTAAAAATAATAGTAAACCTATAACTACAATGATTTTGAGCCGCTGCTTTACAAACTGCACTAAATTAAATCCAATCAAACAGACCTGATTACATCCATATTGTTTAAGTACTGACTATATTCATGATATGCTCAGAAAAGCCTATTGTGACATAATATCAATAAAATATCATCACAATGCAAACTCCTATTTTATATTATTAAAAACAGCGATTCTATTTTTTTTTTAATGGTAGTGTTTTAAAACAATATATTTTATTTATGTGCTTCACATTTCAAAGTGGTTCACTATGGGATTTAAAGGTAAACATATACTTTCTATTTATTCATATCTTCTTCAATTCAGCGATGTTGGGAGAGAGCACTCACCAGTCCCTGGTTAATGAAATACTCAGCGAAGTAGACCACAGCCAGAGGCACAATAAACCTCAGCAGACCCTGAAAGAGTGAATAGGGATGCATCACACATTCAGACACAAACACAGTGTGCGATGCAGCAAAGTGCAAAAACACTCAGATGTCTGTAAGCAGATCAAACAAAGGCACATTGAGCTCACCACCAAGGCTTCAGGTCGGCATAAGGTCAACATAAGACTACCTGTGTTAATGCAAGCTTACACAGTACAGCATTGAAAATGACAATGCAGACCACACACAAACTCCATCAAATGCACAGATATTTAAGGAGGGGCAAAATGGAAAAATACAACATCATGATACTTGGCTTTCGATTTCTGAGTCTTGCAAACAAGACAAAATGCACCAATGTTTAAAAGAAACAGTGAAAACCATTGTCATCTTGTGGTTACTGTGCAGTTTATGCAGGTACTGTAGACGGGTTGTTGTTATTTACATGGTCTCTAAAAATTGTCTAAATTTGTCTTTTCATTGATACATGCAGTTGGTCAATCTTCTAGAAGTACTGATGATTCCTTTGATACTTAATGAGGCATATTGTAATTTAATCACATGAATTATTTTCAGTTGTATGCCAAAATTTGGGCACCCCCCTGGTCAAATGACATGTTTTATTTTTTTTCCAATATGTTAGCAGACAAATAGAAATTGTGGACTAACAATTAGCAGAAAAATGCCATATTTAAGTATGCTTACTGTAGAGGATGTGTTAACGTTACTTAAAAAAATACACAAAAGTGGTCAAACTTCTGTATATGAACGCTTAGCAAAATCACACTTTCAACAGTGCAGGCCTGGATCTTAATTTATAGAAAATATCCAACAAATATATACAAATTATTTATATAATTTTAACTTTAAAACACGTTTTAAAAGCATATACATGGAAACATGAACAGAGGTATGAACAAACACACACACACACACACACACACACACACACACACACACACACACACACACACACACACACACACACAGACAGCTCACCGTCAGGATGTGTAGCTTGTTGAAGAAGGTCAGGGGTCCAGTCTGTCTGTCTTCTGTCAGGAGGAAGAAAGCATGGCCAGCACAGTTATCTAAATGAGTTACCACACAAATCACATTACACAAGCACATCAAATACGCAAGACAAACCATAGACTGCTGAAACTGAACAAGCAAATAAGGTTTAACATAAGGCTGCATTATATAACAAAATAATGAATTTGCGAAAAACACGACAATATAATAAAAACACATTTTTGAACCATTACAGTGACAAAATTAGAGACCAGCCTGTATTATATAGACCAAAATTATTTATGTTTGTTGAATGACGTGAAAGTCTTGATCCACAGAAACTTATTTGAGACATGTGAGAAATGCTCAGGATGCTCACAGCATGCAATAAAACATTTGTGATCTGTCTGAGGGCGTATTTACATTGCAAGCCTTGGTGGTATCACTACTGCAAAGGCAATATTGCGATAACGATTAACAATTGACATACTGTGCAGCCCAAACTCAAGCATTAAACAAGACTGAAATGTGCTCAAATACTACAGCACCTTTGGCCCTCTCATCTTGAACACAGTCTTCATCATTGTTGTCCCATATTAAGGGCTGTCTTTCCTGGGAGCCTCTATGGCATGCTTCTCTGGGCCTCCACTGTGGAAACGAGGGAGGAAAGACCAGAAGGACGAAGTAGCTGGAAAGCAGAAAGGGAAAAAAAGATGTAGTGCAGAAAGGGCAGGACAAAATGGTCAATGGTCAAATGTCAATCTAGTACACAATTAGCAGCACACTAGCAATATAGTTTCTAGGGAGTTTAAAGAGACTTGCACTGACCTGATCATCATAACCGCAGGGACGAGCAGCATGATCAGCAATGTAACCCGAGGTGACAGACCAGCCTGTGTGAGGGCAGAGTACAGAAGAGCTCCAGCGACCCCTGCACCCCCTGTACCAGATCCCCATCCACTCAGCACGTTGCTAAAAAAGAGACAATGACAAAAATAATCATTAACTGTTTCACATATTTTTAAAACACAAGTCAAAGTGTTTTTAACTAAGCTTGGTCAAGTAAAGAATAAAAAGTTAAAAATAATTTTTTAAATACATTTTTAATTGCATCAAGGCAGTTAATCGCGTCATAATGAAATCAACAAAGCTCGAAAAATGTAGGTAACACTTTACTGTAGGGTATTGTTCAAAAGGCTACATAAGCTTGTCATGACAACTGACATCACCCTACATAAATGTTTATAAACCCAATAGGTGTCATCGGTCATAAAGACTACTTTAACTAACTGATGAAAACTGGCAAATGTAACCTTCATTACACCATTTGAATAAGAATTTATGAACATTTATGTAGGGTTATGGCAGTTGTCATGACAAGCTTATGTAGGTCCTTATGAACAGTTCCCTACAGTACAGTGTTACTAAGAAAATGTTAGGATTCTAAGGCTAACAGAAAATACTAAACTAAGTATGTGAGGTAGTATACATATATGTGTGCGTGTGTCTCTCTGTGTGTGTACACAATGTTAACAAAAAGATGCTTGTAAAGGCTGGTAAGTAAGAGATTTTTAATACTGTAAATACCTGAATTCACCATAGTTAGATGGAATGGTTACTACTAAGGGTGTAAATTTCAATACAGTATCAAAGGGCTTTTTTTTCTCATTTCTCAAGTTGCTCATAAATTCTAGGGGTTGCGATTTTTGGAGATTACTTTGTAACTGAACATCAATGCGCTTATAGGTGTGTGTATAGTCATATGCAAAGGTTTGAATACTCCTGGTCAAATTACATGTTTGGTTGATTTTCTGAGTTAAAATAAGTTAAAACACCCTCTTAACTTAAATATGGCGTTTTCTGCAAATGTCAGCAATTTCTATTTATTTGCGAGTTTAGCATATTGGGAAAAATGAAACATAAAATATAAAATGTGCCATAACTGTTGCACAGGCCACATTCTATGTTTTATGTTTTGTCCAAAATGTTAAATCAACAAAAAACGTAATTTGAGCAGAGGCGTCCAAAAGTTTGCATACGACTGTATCATTCCAGCCCTAGTTATAAGCCCTAGTTACTGTCCACTCCTCAGAACATTCATGGCTAAAAAGACCAAACACGGTCTCTGACGATATATTTTTATACCTACATGCAGTGTCATTATGACACAGGTATTACACAGTTGTCAATGTAAGACAGATCATTAAAATGATCTACAACTAATCACGCCGTTTCCTCTCAGATCTAAATAGAAAGGCATTACTGAAGATGCTGTGGGCTGTGCATAGTAAGAGGAGTCTTACTTGCTGAAATAGACAGTGAGGGACAGGAAGGAGAGCTCCCCGAGACCTGAACTCACACTGGCAAAGATGACACCTAGAAACAGAAGTATTAGATTTAATCAACACAATTCAGAAGCAATTATAAAAAGAGGGGACAAAATGTAAAACAAACTCACACAGAGATATTGCTACATGCCTGTGATGCATGTATGTTTTGTTTTTCTCTCTTTTTTTTCTCTGCGCCCTTTCACTCTACCAATCCTTTATACAGGTGTGCCTTGGACCAATGAGGACATCATTGATGCTTGGCTGCGCTCTTCTGTCCACCAATCAGAGTCACTGCTGTCTGCCGAGAGGCAGGTTTTGGCAAATATAAGGACCCACCTGAGAGGAGTTGTGTGGGAACATTTAGCGTGTCTGGGACTTCTGGGGTGCAAGCAGTATTGTTAAGCTGTGCTACCTGACGGACTTGAAAATGTAGCTAAATGTAGCCAGAAAAACGGTTCACTTTGTTGCTCCCTTTCTTGTTCTCACTCTCTCTTGCTTCTATCACTCCAGTGCCATGTGTGGACAGGCAAGTTTGGGCACGCCTATACATACACGGTAGTTGTTTCATTGTTTAGACATCAGGTAAGGGGCGAGTGCCACCCGCTGTATTTTTTGGTGAGGATCAGACCAGGTTAGACAGGTTAGCTTTTGGTTTATTGGCTTTGGTTTATTGGTTTATTTGGTTTATTTCATTTCTTTGGCACCGTATTCAGTCCACCTTTGCGTTGGTTGGATCACCTAAGTCAATCTTCATACTTAATCAGTAGTTAGTCGAATCTGATCTCTTAACTCCATACTCATCCTGTGTATTATTAATTCCTAGCAATTGACAGCTCATTGCATAATGGTTTTGGCTCTTTCTTTATAAATATTATTCTTGTATCATACACTTTTGCAAGTGGGAAGTAAAGAAAAAAAGCATTGACTAAAATTGCAACTACTGTTGTTCGTGTCCTTCCCTTCCTTCTTCCATCACATGCCACGTTACCTCCTCTACAGCTAAGAGGAACGTAACAGATATACATATATTACCTAAGATGCTCATCCACACAGTTGCAGAAAACGACACCACCAAGAAGCTAACTGCTGCCGTGGCGACACACACCAGAACACGGAACCTGTCAATCACAAGATCAACCAAAAGTGGATAATGCATTTTGTTCTTCAGTGCAAAGTGTAAACTGAATGAAGTGCTTTAAATGCATAAAATGAATTTTATCCTTCTTCCAAAGTCTAATGTTTGACATTGATTTATTGAGCAGTCATATCTGTGGTCCTAGTTTCGTCTAAGTCAATTTTACTTGTTGATGGTCATTACCCATAAGGCACTTTGTGAATGTAAAATGGTGCTGTAAGCTTGATCAGAAATGTTGGTATGATGTCAGCCAGCAGGACAGCCTAAAGACAGAGAAGAAATAATGTGTGTGACCAAAGAACAGTCTGACTAGCATTTCATCACTGTTATATGAAAACCTATCTACATATCTTAAACCAACCAGTTACAGCTGTGTTCTCCCAATAAAATCTGCTCCCAGAGATCTCACTGACATTTTGTTCCCATTCAAAAAGACACTAAGATTCACACAAGCAGCTACCTCAACTGCCTTCCCATTTCTTTTTCATGTGCATCAAAAATGGTTAAAGGAGATATTTCTGAGGAGATTAGACAGAAGATAATCCATTTACACAGAGAAGGCAAAAGTAAAAAATAAGTAAAAAAGCGTTGGGTAAGGTTTTATAAACTGATGAGTCTTAATTTGCAATTGGATTACATGGATTGTGAGAAGCTGAAACAGCAACCAACTTTCAAGACTGAACTTTGGAGGTAAGGAAAAATATCACAGCAGATTTCTATGAAAAACTGAACGCAAGTCTCCCCAAAAGGATGGAAGCTGTAATAATAATAGGTAATAATAAGTTAACAAATAAAAAAATGTGATATTATATTTAGTTGTTGAGGTTTCTGTGTCATTTTTAGTTAACTATATGTCTTCTGCTGTTTTGCTGATGCTAAAAAAGAATAATTTGTACTTAATGGCTGCTTTCACTGGAAACATATGCGTATGAAACATATAAAGAAAACAGAATTTTGTCTGTGCATGCGTAGGAAAGACTTACTGCCGTAGACACAGGGTTGCAGTCATAGCGGCTACTGTTGCTGCTGTTTCCACTGTCTGACTGCAGGAGGCCTGGGGCTGGGGTCTACAAACCCAGACAAAACAAGGAAAACAGATGTAACAAGGTGAACCATCTCAAGATTAAGCCTGAGTTTCTATGTGACTAGCCTATATCTTCTGAACAGGCAGCCACAGTACAGTAGAATTTGGGAAAGTAGGATTTTTTTAACCCAATTACATTTTTCTAGTGAATTAAAGTGCTCAAAGAATATGCAGAGACCTTTTTCCTCAGATGTTTTCTTTAAACACTGTCTGAAGAAGTACTGTTAAATATATGTTTTCTTACAGGCACTGTTGCATTCTGGGATTCCTGCCGCTTTAAAATGTCATGTGCCGCACTCAGCATCACCACATAGGCAAAGTTATTACACAGACCAAGCAACCTGTGTAGAAAGAGACAGATAGAGAGAAAGAAAGATCAACAGACAACTCCTTGTATGTTCCTGTCCAAACAAAAGCAGGCTCTCTCAGCTCTGTGAGACGTCTCGCAGTTCTCCATACCAGTTTGTCTAGTCATATGAGAAGAAAGAACACACTCACCAAAACCCGCTTTGGTTCCTGAAGCGGGTTACACGGTCTGAGAATGCACACAAAAAACCTTACATCACACACTGCTAGTAACAATGACACTGATGTCATTCTAGCAATTTTATATGACACCTAATTCTAAATAAATCCTTAAGATCTAAACAAAGTCATTCAGAGTGGTTTAATGTAAAATATGCCATTCTGGAGAAATTTATTGAGCCAGAATTGCTCATAGTGGTAGCGATAGGAACTAGATGTTCAAAGCATTTAATGACTCTAAAACCTTCCTCACAGAACATTATTACATGAAATGGCAATGAATACACTGCCTGATGTTTGGGGCATTATTTATGATAGTTTTACAATGAAGTTGTGGCCTAAAATGCATTTTTATACATGGCAGAGAGGTACATGTAGGTCACTGTAAGGCACAATAATACCCAAAGAAAGCTTTTTTTTTAGTTTTATAACTATTTTACCCTCGCCATCATTACATATAAAAACTCAGAATACACATGTAGGATCACTGGTCATTCTGGATGGCAAATAAAATGTCTATTTGGTTCCCATCACTACCACTGTAAAGAAATCTGACCTTTTAAGTTTCTCTACAACGTATCTTTTCACATTAAAACTAACTATGTCTTTGTTTAATGTTCAAATTGTCAGATTTACAGTACTCTTAGGAAAATTCACTTTAGCTGTACAATAGTAATTCATCATTAACCCTGTTTCTGCAATTAACTATGGTGCCTTATAATTATGTTTATAAATATGTAACTATGACAGTGCCATGGTTTTACCAGGGTATTTTAGGGCAAATCTTTTTGTTATACACTTAACTATACCACTGCCACGATTTTACTGTAAATATAAATATAGCCTTTTATTTACTATCCAAAACCAAAAGTGAACCTACACATGTCTTTTACTCTGGTAAAACAGTAGTAAATCTGGGAAAATATGTTTTCTTCTGGGGAACTATTTTGCATTATAATGCATGTACCTGCATTCACCTCTCCACCATGAATGCCTTTTAAAATATACTTTTCAGGCCAAAACCTTACCTCAAAAATGCTGTCTCAGAAATCAGGCAGCCAATTCATGTCATAACTTGCTGTGATGAGGCATTAAATATTTTAGACATCTGGTTCCTATCACCACAACTGTAAACAATTCTGACTCTGTAAGTTTCTCTAGAATGGGGCATTTCACATCAAACCACTTTGTTCACATCGTAATGATTTAATTATGCAGTTTTTTTTTTTGTTTGTTTTTTAAAGTGGAATTCCACTTTAAGTTTTTTTTTTTTGACCTGGTGCTTTTTTGCTTCTACTCAAGTTGTTCTTAAGAATGAATTTTGTCTTTTACTTCACTCATTATTTCACATAAGTAACAGGTTTTACTTGAGTATGGGTTTAAAGTATATGTGTGAGAGAGAAACAGATTTATTACAGAAGCCATTTCTAAGCCATTTAATGTAAAAACGTCCTGTGATGTAGTTTAAGAGGCATCAAATTCTTCGGGGGTCTGGTTCCGATCACCACCACTGTAAACAATTCTGACTCTAAGTTTCTCTAGAACTGAGCATTTCACTCCAAACCACTCTGAATGACTTTGTTTGTGGAATTTCCCTTTAGGAAGAGCAATACTCTTACCAATGAATTGTGTTTCTGGATTCGAGGGTTAATTTAAGGTTACACTAACGTCTTATTTTAACAAACACGGTCATCTGTATTTATATAAATTACATTGCAGCAGCAGCACAGCAAAGGACTCGCAAGACAACATCTGGATACAACTGAGTATGATTACCAGCACTCTTTCATAAGAATATCTTAAGAATTTACCACAATAAACGGTGTAATGTGGACGTACCTTCAGTGTCGGTGTCTCTGGCAGGATCAGCATTAACGCTGTCTGTGTGATCCATAGCGCTACTGAACACTCAGACCAGCCACAGCCTCACAACTGAACTCAACTGAACTCAACTGAACGGGCTCTCAGCTATGAGCGCGGAATACGCGGTTTTCCACGAATCTCACAACTGCTTTATCTAAAAAGATATATCATATATAAGTAAATAACGAGGATATTGCCATCGCTAAGTTTTTCTTTCTTCCTCTTTTTTCTAGTAAAGTCAGCTGTTACACGAGAATCCAGCTCCAACATCAGCGCAACGACGAAATCCCTCCCCGACACGAACCAACGAGTAAACAGTTCCGCTTTCTGCCGCAGATCCGGCTGTTTGATGTGAGAGGCTCCAGAGTCAGAATCGTTCACAGTGGTGGCGCTGAGAACCAAACGTCCGTCTCTAAAAGCTCTGTCACAGAAAGGTATTACATGAAATATTTCTGAACACGCTACCTAATACCTGGAACATTGTTTTATGAAAGTTTTGGCAGGATTTTGGCCTAATATATGTAAAATGAAAAATAGTTCCCAAAGAAAACATATATTTTTTCAGATTTACCACTATTTTACCATCATCAGCATTATACATTAAAGGTCTGAAGACACATGAAGGTTCACTAGTGAATAAAATGGCTATATTTGGGCTGTTGTCATCGCACCCCTGGTTTCTACCATCACAACTGCAAGGAAATCTGAGATGACGTTTCTCTTCAATACACCATTTCACATCAAAACACTTTGAATAACTGTTTACATCCCAATAGCTAAATTATGTAGAAATTTTGAAAAAGCGGTGGAATTCCCCTTTAAATATACACACATACATGTACACACCACACACATAATGTATATATAAGGTGTTACATTAAGGTTGCTTCATCACACAACATAAAGTGACAACCTTGATATTTTAGTTTTGAGGCAGCAAGGCAAACTAGAATGCATTAATCTGAAACAATGGGCTCCAAAGCAACTATAGAATAAAAGCACATTGAAATGTCTCCAGCTTGATCAGAAGTCTGATAAGATGGTTTCATTTTGGTTGTTAACAATACCAATTAATTGCATTTAGCAACTGTGTGGTCTGTGTACTTTTGCAGTAGAACAAGACTTACAGCAGATTTACTCGACTAAAGTTGATAAATGCAGTAATTAAACAAGACAGTATTAAGTGAACAGCTTTACAAAAATACATACGATATGTAAATAAGCCAAAAACAAGTTTCTCATCTGAACCTATAAACGGGCCTTTATTTCTGTTCCCCTTTTCCACCCACAGGCTGACAGAATGGCTACGTTTCCCCTTTCTTTAGGGTCAACAGAGTGAAAAACTGAAATTGTAGATGACAGATGATTCAAAACATTACATTCTTAAACAAGCCAATGCTGAATCCAAACTGGAAGCTTTCAGATGGGGCAGTGTTGCTATGACAGGCATATGTCCCAAAATGCCTGCCATCATCATATTTCCAATAAATCGCTTTTTCTTTTCATTATTTTTAGTTTCATCCTCAGGACATGAGTGACAACAAACCATAGTGTACTTTACATGCCAACGACCACTGTGGTTGGCATGTGAAGTACACTATGTGGCCAAAAGTTTGTGGACGCTTGGCCTTTACACCTGTATGAGCTTGTTGGTTTGTTTCAAAATCATGGGTATTAATATGGAGTTGCCACCCACATTTATATTGTACATGATTCAGCACCTGCCAGCCCCACTCTATGAGTTTGTGTGGTCTACCGCTTTGCGACTGAGCTACTGTTGTTCTTAGATGCTTCCATTTTACAGTAGCACTTACAGCTGACCAGGGCAGATCTTTCAGGGCAGAAAATTCACAAACTGACTTGTGGCAAAGGTGGCATCCTTTAACAGTGCTTCATTTAAAGTCACTGAGCTCGTCAGGGCGACCCATTCTACTGCCAGTGTTTGTCTATGGAGATTGCAAGGCTATGTGCTTGATTTAATACCCCTGTTAGCAATGGGTGTGGCTCAAACACCTGAACTCAATAATTAGGAAGAGTGTGCACATACTTTCGTTTTTGCAAGACAAAAGATCTTGAAGCGAAACTTCTTGAAAGCATAGCCATGTCATATAAAGAGAAACTCCACACGTTTACAAATTAAAAGATTTATTTACTTATTTATTACAATTTCTATATAAATATAAAAAATATAAAACGTTTTACACCAAAGTTACATGTTAGAAAAACTGGTACTTGATGAATAAACTAACATTATCACAACAGATGGGACACAATCTTAATCTGGCTTTTCCAATATAGTACACACTGTAAGTGACTACTGACAGGATCTGTTTATTAAATCTTACTGGGGGCCAAAAAAGCCTCTGAACTATACAAAATAACAAATAAGGCCTCATATGTTGACCCTGTTTCAAGTATTTACTTTCTGTGAGCACCAGATCAGCAATGCAACACTTAATTAGTGCCACTTAAAAAGGAGTACATATGAGAAGGAACACAACAATAGCTTTTGCTTGTACATTTTAAACATACATTTTAAAGGCGAGTGCAAATGGTAGAAAATTCAGCAGTAGTAGAATAATTCGCCGAATATTGGTAAATGCTGGACTTCTACTTGTGGTTTTCTAAGCACAGATAGAATGTGTAATTTCTTCTTGACTCACTTTGTTGACAAACCTCACATCAGGAGTGAGCAATCTTCTAAGCTGATCTTTCAAAAGGCCCCATTAGGTTAGGTTAGGTCCACATGTAATGCTCAGGTACACCAAAGAAAACAGTAATGTGTTTGAAACAACAGGACAACAAAAGCATTTAACTGCTGTAAACAAAAAGCACAAAAGCATTTCTGAAAACAAATGTCAACAACAAACCTTCACACGTGACCGTGTGTATTTTCTAATGTGGCAAATTTTGCACTTACAAAACCCGCCCTGTCCCCTTCCACTTCTCTCTATTTGAACTTGATCTCGAAGCAGAAGCAGTTGATGGAGTCACACTCTGGTGGCTGGCAGGTGCAGGCACAGTCCCACATCACACACTGCATTAGAGATGGTAAATAATGAACATGCAAGCAGGGCAGCAAAGAGCAAATAATTAAATAAATAAATTAACAACATCCTATCATTAAATCCATGTCCACTTACTGAGGCTTAACACCACCTGATATAGAGCTTGAAGCCATTGCATACAGCACTGTGCAAAAGTCAGAGACCAGTCAAAAAGTTCAGTGTCAGGAAAATAAGGACAAAAATTATATATAACAGAAAATCTCAACAACTAAATCTAATTTCCAGCATTTAATGTGTCTACTTTTTGTCTTTATTACATCTTCCATTCTTTTCAGGAGACTTTGCTTTCAGGTTTTCAAATAAATCAGAAGGGATATTTTTCTACACCTCCAAAGTTCAGTCTTAGAAGTTTGTTGCATTTTCTGCTTGTCCTAAATACATTAGTAATGCTAAATACATTCAATGATGTTGAGGTCTGGACACTTTTTCTAAGAACAGCAGTTTCTTTGTTTTGCAAATTTTCTTCTTTTTCTTCCTTTTCTCAGTAAAGGCTTCTTGACAGCTACACATTCTATCAGACCCATAGTGTTGAGTTGTCTTCTCACAGTGGATGGATGGACAGAGATAACGGGGGATTCGAAGTAAGAGTGGAGCTTGATTTTCTCCTCTCTCAAATTTAAAAGCTTTAAGTGCTGTTTATTTGATGGTGACAGATTTGGTGGTCTACCAGGTCTTGCACAGTTGTTTGGAGTCCTATTGTCTCGGTATCTTTTAATAATTTTTTGAAGTCTAGATTTGGAAAATCCTGGTAACTTGTTTTTAATGGCCAGTATTATTGGAGATTGAACAAATGAAGGGTGGTTGCTGACTTTTCCACAGTACTGTATAAAAACACAGAATGTAATGTTTGGCGGAAGTGTTCACTGGAAGGAAGGTTTGATATTTAAAAACCAAAAGGAGTCATTTTTTATTTAAGTGCTATCCAAATTGGAACCACTAATTATAAAATTGGCAGAACGGACAAAATCTGACACAAAAGTTATGTACATATGTGAGCGTCATGAAAAACAAATTATACAGTATATGGTTGTGCACCATCACTGTACAAGTGTAGATTATTTTCATCTTCCTTATATTTTCCACTTCCTTCTTAACTGCCTCCAAAGAAGTCCAGAAGCTCTTACATTTGGAGAGGGGCAGGAGTAGTCAAGGCAGCTGCGCAGGGATGGAGGACGGCAGTCACATGACTGAGCACACATGTGACAGTATTCAAAAGGAGATACACTTGGGCAGCAGTTTGTACACTGAGGATCGCACTGGGCCTACAATGGTAGAGTCAAATCATAGACAGGATACAGCTACATAGTAAACATATCAGAGCAAACATAATTACAAATCTTCCAGTTTCATTTCTAGTTCAATGATGGACTTGCACTTCAAATTTCCATTACGCTACGGCTCAAAAGAATAGGTTATTTATTCAACCAACAATGCAGGCCTTTCACCCCTCCTACTACTCCTCATTACAGAAAAAGAAGTGCCTTAAGAACAGATACTTACCTTCAGACAGTGATGACACCATAAGACACCCGCAAGGAATAACATATAGAGTCCAATCGAGATCATGACAATGGCAGGGAGAGGTAGGGAGAGAGCCCATAAAGGGACCGCCTGAGAAGTGGAGGAGTTGCCAAGTAAATTACAGAGCAAGACACATAATCAAGGTATAGTAACATCTAACATTTGAAGTAAAAGAGTTTGATGTACTATGCACAAGTTACAGGCAAAGCAACAAAAGCACATTGTTTAAGGGATAAAAAGAGGCTGAAATGGCAAAAAACAGCTGTTTTGGCTAGTAGTGATTTTATATATGTCTATCTGGTTTTCCCTTAAAATAAAATAGAAGAAAAATTACAGAAAAATGTAGGGTATAGGCACTTGAACAAAATGGTAGCTAGTAATTCTTTTGACTGCTTAAAAAATTATTCATGTGGATTAGCACTGTGCTGGGGAATTAAATAGATGAATATATAAATATATGTCAGTTAATCGGTTCCGCAGTGCTTCTCACTCTCTCTGGATGAACACAGGAACTAAACCCATAGCCTCTAGTAAAAAAAAATAAAAAATTCTAAGTAGCTCTCTCCAACAGGACCAAGCCAGCTCCACTATAGGGAGCACATTTTAGAAGAGGTGGGCACTGATTACTTACATTTCCTCAGTTACATGTACTAAAAAAAAACATTTAATGGATCTGTACTTTCCTGAGTATTTCCAAATGATAATACTTTTACTTTTACTCAAGTATAGTTGTTCAATTCACAGTCACGCTAGTCTAAAAAGAAACTTCAATGTATTTTCTCCTCCATATCACCTTTATGTGAGAGGTGAAGTTGCCCTTGCTCACCTCTTTTGGGTGTGCCTAAACGTTGCCAAGTACTGAGGCGATATATTTAGAAGCTACTTAAAGGCATTTTATATCCCCACACCTGGAAACTGCTCTGTCTGGTTTTTCATTGCCATTCCAATACCCTAATAACTGTACACAAACAACTGTCACACATGACATGATAATTGCCAAGAAGATTGTTTTACGGTTACGGAAATCAGATACCACCCCTATGTTCAGAATACGGCTTAGAGAATTTGTGAATATGTTGCATACACTGAGAGGCTCAGCTATGACCTATCTGGTAGTTTATGGAAGTTTTTCAAAACATAGAACCCATTTTCAGAGAACTTAACCAATGACTTTGATCGCTCTTGATTCAAATTCTTAACAGCAGCGTAAGATGTATGCAAACCTTTTTGTAGTGTGCCCATTAATGATAACACCTTTTTTTTCTCTATCATTCTCTCTCTATCCTTCTTGCTTTGCATTTCTATGTTATGTTTTTTTCTGTTCTTCTCTGCTGTTACATTGTATTATTGCTACAATATTAATGTGTTAACATTTATAAGTATGCAATGTTTCTGAAATGTCTATAAATGTATCAAAAACATATTCTAGTACTTATCATTTAGTTAGCAATTCCTTTTTTTCTGTCTATTTTAGTCCAACACTGCATCGAAAAGAGAAAAAGAGAGTCTTAACAAGCTCCAGTTGACTGATGCTGGATGTATTAAGAAACTTCACTGTAGGTACATAAGTTATGTAATACTTAAAGGGGAACCCTCCCTTTTTTAATTTTGCAGAATTCAGTGGTTGAGACGGTTGAGTGTTTTAATGTAAACAGGTTCATTGTAGAGGAACTTATGAACTCTTTTTTTTTTTCTTTTCAATGGAAGTGACAGGAACCATGGGTCGCAATGTCTACAGCACAGATTCAGCCTTTTTATTTACTATCCAAGACCACCAGTGAACTTTTTCACACATTTTTTTCAAGATTTTATATGTAATGTCGATGATGGTAAAACAGCAGTAAATCTGAGAAAATATGTTTTCTTTCGGGGACTATTTTGCCTTATGCACCATGCATGTACCCCTCCACCATGAACGGCTTTTGAAACATAGCCAAAACCTTTTCTGTTTTCAGATATCAGGCAGCCATTTCATGTAATTACTTTCTGCATTAAATGGCATTAAATGCGTCAGACGTCTGGTTCCTATCACCACAACTGTGAAAAATTCGGACTGTTAATACTTTCTAGAATGGAGCACTTCAAACCAAACCACTTTGTTTACATCTTATTTAATTATGCAGAATTTTTGAAAAAACGGTGGATTTCCCCTTTGAGCATTTTTGACCTGGTGCTTTTTTTGCTTCTACTCAAGTCGTTTTAAAAAGGTATTTTGTCTTTTACTTGAGTCATTATTTGACATTAGCCTCAGCTTTAACTTGAATATGGGTTTGAAGTGTGGGTTGTCAGCATCTCTGAATATGAGAGGAAAACAGATGTAGCACAGAAAACAATGAAGCTTTGGTCGGTTTTGGTGTTCAGTACTAGCAGTACGAACACATAACGCTTAGGGCTCACTGGTGGCTAAATCTCTCATCGTTCGCCGTTTAACTGTAGTTTTGAAAGCAAACGCGATGCCACGCTGTTTAGCTCAGTTGGGCGAGCTAACGTTAGCAGTGACCATACATACCATCGTCATTACATTCATGAACCGCTCGTCCTGTAAAGAAACTCGTGTTAGCCAGCTATATCGTCTCCGGGCATCTCGGTGTGTGACTGACAGGCGTAGCTAGCTAAGTAATAAACGAGGAGAAAGCAAAGGTTGAATATTGCATAAAATCCTCTCCGGTGAAATTTAGCAATGTAATCGAAAAGCGTTGTCCAGGCAACTAGCAGCTTTTTCTTCTTCTATAGAGATTTGCGACAGGCTGAACGCTGCGCTGCTGCCACCTACAGTACAGATTGAATAGTATTTTCCTCAGGTCCTCTTTTACGGTGAGTACTAAGAGAAGCGGACGCCCTCTACTGTCTTTCTGACAGTCAGGCCTGTTAAGTCTGTCTTTTATCGATCGATAAAAGGCATTTTCCATTAATAGAGTTCAATTTATGTCCCAATACCTTTTTAAAAGCAGTAAACTGACTGTTGTTTTTTATTTCCGTGACAAGTGAACGAACCTCTACTTCAACTTAAAACAAAGATATTAAAAGTAGCTTTTAAATGATCACAAAAACACATATAATGTCTGTATCCACCTTTAATATGGTGATTTTGGGCTGTCCCAGCTCACTGACAATGAACTTGTCTATTAAATATGTTCATAAAAATGACTACAAATGGGGCTTATTCGCCAACCGTTCTCAAGAAGAAATTTCTTCTTAAAACCCACTTTTCATGCAGTTTTCATGAGGATTCTGACACTCACCAACATTTTCTTGTTTGGGATTTGTTCTTAGGTAAGAACAGAATCTGTGCACACTCAGGAGAACAAGGTGTGAACAATTCTGTGGTTTAAGAACACGTCATGAATCTGACATAGACTTTTTCTTAGAACCTTTCTCAAGAACACATTTAGGAAAAGGATCTTTGGGAAGATATTGGTGAATGAAACCCAATGCTATTTGGTCACATTCCAAGCAATTTAATGTTAAAATAATTATTTTAACAAAAAAAAAAAAAGTCTATGTTATGCACATTTTATGTGCAGCCCTGTCACCTGTCACCCAAACCTGTTCCCCCTCGGAAAAAATGGAAGACTCAGTTTAGTATTCTTATTCTTTTTTCTCAATTTATACACAAAAACTCATTTGACTGCAGGGGTAAAGCTAGATCATTTAGCTTGAGGGCTCCTCTCGCCAACCAATCAGCACTCAGTAGCAGTAATGCTAGCGTCCTGCTGCCCAAAACCTGTTTTCAGTACAAAAAAGGAAACAAACAGGTAAGTTTTATTTGTTTCTCATAAACCGGCTCTGGCATGGCCAGGTTTGACAAATGACTCAGCTGACCGCATGCCATTTAGGGAGAGTATTCCATGAACATACTTTAAAAGCAAAACAGGTTATCATACCAAAAAGAAGAAACCGCAATAAAAATATGCAGATATGCAGATACAGTTTCTTTATGTGGTTTCAGAGGTAACGAAACGTGAGATGCTGCTGGAAATTTCTTTCTATTCACATCTCATCAGCTGTCATGATGGCGAAGATAGAAACAAAAGGATGTCTGGCAAGTTTCATTTCAAAGCCAAAAGTCTTAAGACAGTGTGGGCAGTTGGTGGAGTTTTAAATAGGGTGAGGGGGAGAATACATTCAGTACATTTGGTCTTGGTCATCTACAACCAAACAGAACATGAAAAGTTTTAAACTGAAATATATTTCATTACTTGTAGTTAACTGAAGTTCTAAAAGTAGTTTACCACTGTTAGATAAGAAGTAACCAGCTGCCTCCTGCAACTGCTTCTTGGAGACCATGGAATCAAGTGGTCATATCCTCTCTCAGCACATCGGTGACTGTAACAGAATTTATGACAAAAAAAGAAAGATGAGGCCATAAGGAAATGTGAAGTTTATTCCTAAGACTAAGTGTCATTTCTTGTACTTGAGTTGTTCTTGTTCTTCCTAACTGGCCCAGCTCACTGTAGTTATCTCCACGGTTCACGTGAAGAACCTACCACGCAGGTTTTAGGACCAGTTAAGTCACAAATTTGTTGGCTTGTTGGCTGTTTTAAAGACACCAGCCATTGTTTTAAAAAATGTCTTATGCAATGAGTTTACTCTCTACTCTACTCTTTAACACCCACCAGAATCGACCTGTCATCCACAAACACACATACACACACGCACACTCGCACACACACACGTTCCATATGTATATCATTATATGTTTCTACACTCATTGTCCATTTTATCAGCTCCACTTACTATATAGGTGCACTTTGTAGTTCTACAATTATAGACTGTAGTCCATCAGTTTCTCTGCATACTTTGTTATCCCCCTTTTACCCTGTTCTTCAGTGTTCAGGACCCCCATCAAACCTCACAGAGCAGGTACTATTTGGGTGGTGGATCATTCTCAGCACTGCAGTAACACTGACGTGGTGGTGGTGTGTTAGTGTGTGTTGCGCTGGTCTGAGTGGATCAGACACAGCAGTCTGATTCCATTCCTCTTAAATCTTCACTTTAAAGTGTCAACTAGGGTAGGGTAGCCCATACAAAAAAAAGGTATACTTAAAGTTCATTTTAGTAAATAAACTTAAGTAAAGTTCAGGTATATTTCCCAAGTATACTTAATGTAGTAAGTATACTAAAATCAATGTACTGTATACTTAAATAAGTATAAGCCAAGTATACTAAACTATAATTTTGTTTAGTATATCTCTAATAAGTACATAAAAGTATACTGAAAGCATACTGACTTATTTTTTTTTAGTTTAAAAGAAGTATACTAATAGCACACTTAAATACACTTCTTTTTGGAAGGGAAGATAGGACCAGTAACACGTGAATGTAATGTGAAGTGTGATGAGTGAACCATGAAGAAACAGGACAGAAACACGTCTTATGTTTTTTTACCATTTAATGCACGCTGGGGTAGACATGCAGTAACGTTAAGGCCACAAAGAGACCACCAAGAATATGATTATTTACACCATTAGCAATACTTACAAAAAGGCTGTTGTACTTGCTGCTTGCATGAAGGTTAGTTTGGACCTGGACAGAGCTAAAGGTAAGAAATCAAAACAAACAAACAAACAAAAAAGCAACTCAAATTCTATAATTCAAGTTCCCATCTAACAGCAAAACAAAAAGGGCTTCCTATTCTGTTCTTACCAATGACAAAAAAAAAGATTGGCACCTGCACCTTACCTACTGTATCTATACACTGGCTCACTATATGCTGTAAGATGTATGAGCATGCCCGTCTTACCTGTCCACAACCCAAGAAGGCCCAGCAGCATATAAGAGAGATATGCAAAGCTGTGAGGCCAAAAGGCTAATATGATTTGATGACAGGAGGCAAAAAGATACAAAGCTTAACGTGGCTACAGTAAATTGCAAAGCTGGCATGGCTTCAAAGCTAGCATAGATAAAAAAAAGTACAGGGGTCTTTGTAGCAGCTACAAATAAGAAAGCATAGTAGCACATTACACAACTACACACATAGGCAAACTCCAGCTCTGGCTGCTTTTAAAACTCAGGGCCTTCTTGCCCTGTGATGACTGGTTATTGAAATGGTAGACATTGAGCCTCTAATGATGATTGACACCTTGACTAACCTATGAAAGAGATAGGAACCAGAAAGGGGAGAAGACACACGAGACAAACGTGGATGAGAAAGAGCGAGCGTGAGAGTGAACAACCACTGGACTAGACACACCTGGACATGTAACAAAAGGCCTCCTTCAAACTCTAACCTATGTGTTCTGTGTTCAGGCTGCTACAGGCTAAAATGCATCTACCATGAAATTTTTGTGGGGCCTACTAGGTTTAAGACCTACTCACAGATTTTCAACAATGTTCAAGTCAGGGACTCTTAAGGCCATTCCAAAAGCTTCAGCTTGCATTTCTTGAAGTATTTCATGGTGAATTTTGAGATATGTTTTGGATTACTGTCCTGTTGTAGAAGCCAACCTGTTTTCAGCTTAAATTTCTTGACTGACTATGTCACATTTACTTCAATTTGCCACCTGCCACATAACCCTAAAGTACAAGTGATTCACCCCATGCTTAACATTTGGTAAGGTGTTCTTTTCATCAAATGCTGTTTTTTTGCTGGCTGTGATCAAAGAGTTCCATTGTCACTTCATCAGTCCACAAAACTGGTTTTCAAAGTCCCTCTGGCTTGTCTGGATTTTGTTTAGCATATTTCACATGTTGACCTTTGTGATAAGGTCGCAGGTCAAGTTTCCTTCTGATGACTCATTTCATGCAGATCATGTTTGTGTAAGAAACTCTGCACAGAAATGACGGTGCACCATCACTCCGGTGTTAGCTAGACCTTCCTCCTTATCATATAGGGGCTTTGCTTTGCCTTTCTGGCCAGCATACAAACAAGTTTCTTGGTCATCCAGATCTTGTCTTGATGGTGAAAATTGTGACCCGGAAGCACTCTGATATCTTTTATAACCTTCCACTGATTTCTAGGCATCAATTACCTTTTTACCAATTATCTTCTTAGCCTACTGCTTAAAGGTGCCCATGGTTGTGGAGTGTTAGCACAACGTTTGAAGAGAATACTTGACCTGCCTAACCAGTTCCAATGAGTCAGTTAAAGTTTTATAAATTAATTAAGTACTGAGACTTTACAGCAATAAAAACAGTTTACTGCAGAGGTTGTGCTCTTCTTTTTCTTTTCAGTTCAGAAATGAACAAAATATATAATTTGGCCAGGGTGCCCACACTTTTGCACACAATTGTATGTAAGTGCATGCATAAATGGCATGTTTAAAATCTAGCCACGGATTTCCAATAATGTTCAAGTCAGAGGACTGTGAGGGCCATTCCAAAAGCTTCAGCTTGTGTCTCTTGAAGTAGTTCCTGGTGGATTTTGAGATATGTTTTGGGTCATTGTCCTATTGTAGAAGCCAGCCTCTTACATATGTCCCAAATGCATTATATATATTCAAGTACCTGTATGTAATAATAATGTGCCACACAAAGGTTTGTACTCCTGTCTTTATAAGGCGTTGCCATTGCCTTATGTTTGACTGCAGAGCTACACTTTGCTGTCTTGTATCTTTATTTAGTCTTTGGTGTTCTCTATGTTTCTTATAATGTTATTTGGACAATCTTTCATTTTGTTCATTTGCATTTTTCTGGTTTGTAAGACCTGGCCTCAGGGACTGCAACTGCAAATGCCACTTGACGGAAAAAGTCATGGAAGTAATTTATTTCCAAAATATGTAGTTTTATTTTAAAATGGACATATTACTGTTAAAATGGCTTTGAAAAAAGATGTTCTGGAAACCAAGTTAACATTAATCAAACCAAAGAAAACTTTTAATCACTGCATGTTAAAACTGTTTTGAGGATCCAATAAGGAGGAGGTTGGATTGGCTAACACTAGAGCTAACCTGTTCACTGTTGAACAGATGGTGCAGGTGAGACCATAGTCTTTTACGCAAGGTTTTTTTAGTGCCTCCATGATAGCACTAATAGCACAAATGCAATGACAATTGTTATACAAGGCTCTCATGCTCTTATAGGCATCTTGTTGATATGGAGGTGCCATTTCTTTTTGCAGGTGATACAAAGATGCAACCATTGACTACAATCCCCCACTAGCGATTCTTGAAAGCTTGGTTGCTTTTTATACCAGCCATGGTCAACACAGCTCCAGTTGTTTTAATTTTTTACATACTGCCGTAATGCTGGAGATAGGTAGAGGTAGGGTATGTGGCTGTTTTTATAGCCACTGCCTTGTTGAAGATGGTGACCCATTCTATATCTCATGGTTCATGGTGTTCCCCGATCTTTCCCATGGTGATAGATGAGGGAGTTCAGTAAAACAGGGTGCTATAGATAACCACTTAAGAGTTCCAAAATATTCACAAAGAAAACTGAATGAAACTGTATGGCACAATATGTCTGTTGGCATGTCCACCAAAACAAGGAAGACTTGAGACTTGTGTGAACCCCTCAAAATCTTGCTGGCCTGCATGGCAGCCAAACTTTTCCTGTTGACTCTAAAAAACGTACATGGAATGCAAAGCGCTGAAATGATGAGCCACAGATTTTGCTTCTCCATCTGCTTTACTTTTTCCAGGCTGTATTTTTTTTTTTTTAACAGGTCACAAAAAGATGTAGCTTCAGACCACAGTGCAGACTGATTCCTCAGTTATGCCCTGGAATTCAAGCCAGTAATAATTTAATTTAAGAAATTTTACAATATATGGAATATTTTCCTGTTGATTTTCTGCCTCCAAAGCCAAAGCTAAGGCTAGCAGCCTCCTCCTCGACTAAATATTGAGAAATCAGTCTAATCCACATAAGCTAGCTACGTATGTAGTAAAATCAGGTACAAGACAGTGGTAATGGTGTAGTCATGGTTACAGTGTGTGTGGCCTGACCTATTTTTTCATATCAGCACAAAAAAGAAACCCAGGCAGCGCTCTTCTGTACAAAAAAACAACTGGAACACAACCTTAATTGTTACAATACTCAAGTTTGTAAATAGTGAATGGGCTTTAGAAGGGTTAATAAATCGGCTGTAGGCCACTGTGAAAAGGACTGCCCTGGAATTGAAACCAGTAGAAAAATGGAAACCCAAAGACCAATGATGAATCAATGATTGGACTTACGAACTGTGTTGTTTCTCAAACTACAATGACTTGCTTGGTTTTGTTACCAAGGTTGGAAACCGCTGCTGCCATACTCACCCAATTTCCAAGCACATACCAGGCCCAACATCCTCAAATATGCCAGACTCTTCTCCACTAAACTGTACTTTAGTAGATGAGAACAGAACACGCAGACCACCAGGTTGTTGCTGCAGTAAGATTTCTATACCATTTGGTTTAAGAGGTTTTCCTTAGCAGTGTGTGCACTGAGAATTATAACTGCTTCAACAAAAGTGGAGTAAAAAGTTTCATTTCTTTAATTTTAAATATATTCACAGAAAGTACACCTTCTGGAAAATGCTACTCAAATACAAAAACTATAGTGCATTTAGTCTTCTTAGTTTTTGCCATTAAAAATAACATAGCTATGTCTACAGTACAGTGTAAGAAGTTGTCTTTCTCTATATTATGCATTTATGCACTGTATTATAACTTATGCACAGTTGTAAAGCTAAAAACATAGTAAAAGCTTTTTATTTGAGAACACTCTTTATAAACTTTTAGTGCACTTCATTAGGTTTTGCTAAATGAAGCATAGAAAATAGCACAAAGTCAAAGTAAATGAACAGAAATAACATATACTGATATGCATTAAGAATGAACTTAAAGAGTACAATACATAGGCCTCAGCTTAAGAGCCTTAACTGAGGAAGGTGGTAAAGACAGACTTTGGCTTTCTTGAACTTCAAAAATCACTAATAAAGCTGGCTATTCTATGTCCGTTTCAAACTAATGGCTGCTGCACATAACAGGTATGTTGCTTAAACCATTTAGGTCACATGTAGACATTTAGACTAGATTAGTGTTGGCTAGTGCATCAGACTAGTGCAGTGACAGTGATAGCAATACAAAATACAAAATGTTTTGCTACAAAGTTTTTATACAAAACAGTGGTATTTTAGCTTTAAAGTCCCTCAACCCAGATAGCACTGATTGTCATTCCTTGCCTGTAGCACTTCCTCCTTGAATTTCAGAGATATATTAATAGGCATATTACATTTAGGCTTTTTTGAGCCGATAATACATTTTCCTGAGTACTTCTTTTAACTTACATGCTTATTCTTAACTGATCATTTGAACGAGAACAGGAAGCGAAAGCAGGAGGAGAGATGTGACGGAGAGCAATGAAGATGCAGTGGAGCCAGCAGCGGTGGCAGAAGATGATGTGTTGGTGGCTTTGGGAGGGAGTGTGCCCACTGTAGTATTCAGGAAGCTTGAGAAGCTTGAGGTTTTAGTGAAGACCTGGACATCAGATACACTAGCTGCCCTGGTGCTGTTACTGGAGCTAGTGTTTGTGCTACTGTTACTGTTACTGGCGAGGGTCAAAACTGCAGCCTGGACCCATGATTGCCCAATCTTACACAACAGAGGACCTCCTTTATTAGTCTGAGAGTGAGAGAGAAAGATTATGAGCCAGTGTTCCAGACACAGTTCTGCCTACAATGTGGAGTCTACACTCAGAAACCTTTAGTTTAACCTTAGACTTAGATTTTATCTATGAGTCAAGCCTTAGGCTGTGTTCAGTAGGGTTTTTTATTTTACATGTATTTCTTTGGAAAGCCAATGTAGCCAGCAGTATACTTCAAATGACAAAAGAACTGAATGAAATGCCACCAATCACACTAAAAATATTCCTAAAAAGAACTGCTAGAAGCCTGCTTTGTGCAGTGGACCAATCACAGTCAGGGGGAGTTCTCAGAATGACTGACATAGTGATTAGGATTTCTTTTCAGTATGCAGTGCATCCCGCACCCCATCATGTCGTTTTGGCCTAAAAGATGCCGTTTTGCTTCGATACATTGTTTTTGTCTGAAGTATACTGATGACTTAACCCCTTAAAATCAAAGACCTATTACATCCTAATGTTTATTATTTAGTAACTACAGGTACTTTCAGTGCAAACTGACTGAGCTATTCTATAACCTAAGAATAGCTCAGTCAGTTTGCACTGAAAGTACCTGTAGTTACTAAATAACTCTACTTAGACTTTCCCTGGCTCCACCCACTTGCACACCTGCAAGTGATCCTTGACCTATTATCTTATATAAACCCCTTTGTTTGATGTAGTGTTTGCAAAGTCTCTGTGTTGTTAACCTGAGTTCTAAGCCTGTCCTTTGACCCTTGCTTTGTCTTCTGCTTTTCTGAATATAAATCTTCCTTTGCCTACCTTTGTTTTAACCCCTGCCTGTTTTATGGACAATGAGTATTGGACTGCCTCACTGACCTTGAGTAAGATTTGCTAACATCTGCTCTGTGAAACAATGTTTCAGAACCTAAGTAGCCTATTGCTATTAGCATTTTCTATTATAATAAGGCCAATACATTTATTTACACTTATGGACATTAGGGATTTTAAAAAAGGGCTTTGCGAATAATTAAAGCCTAAAACAAATCCATAAGTCTAACTGTACTCCTGTACCTTACTGTGCTTCTTGTACTTTGTAAATTCACTGTAGTGAAATAACAAAATGGACTTTCAGAAGGCTTTAAAAGTATGTTAATATACAGACCTGTTCTAAGGGCATGACTCCTGTGCAGATGCTGCTGTTAGATGAGGATGCGTTGCCACAATCCAGTATAGTAGTGTTAAACTGCTGAAGAGTCTGCTCCACTACAGCCGAAGGAAAAACAAATATGAGGAAGAAGACCAAGGCAAAAAGAAACATACAATAGAAGATAATATAATCTGATGACATTCATTGGAAATGGACACATACTTCAAAATAAACAATAGCTGTACAGTGATTTACAATCAAGGGATGTTGTTAGGCACAGCATCAAAATACAATGTAATAAAATACACCATGTTCAATATATAATTTATTATCATTAATCTGAGATGGGGATTCGTGTAGATGACTTTGACTTAAATTGCATGTTAACGTGCTCCCAGCTTGACTCGGATTTGCCATTAAATGACTCGCAACATTATATATATGACTTTACCTGTAAGCTTTGCTGCAATGCTGTTCTCTTGCAGCTCGCAGTGATAGCTTCAAATATCAAGCCTTTCATAATAGGAAAAACCTTCAGTCTAAATGAAAAGCCAAAACAGCTTGAAATGGTTGGGTAGCATGTTACTTGGATAGCAAGTATTCTAGCTAGTGCAGCAGCTAATTTACCTGAAGTTGCCAAGTAATCCAGCTGAAATTTTAGTACAGTGGTCTTCAACCCTGGTTCTGGAGAGCTACCTTCCTGCAGAGTTTAGTTCCAATTTGAATTCAATAAGCTGCCTCATGTCTTACTTAACTGTTATTCATCTGATCCAGCCAGTCAGGGATTTGGAAAGAGGCAGATTAGCTGGAGCTAGTGTGCTCTGCAGGAAGTAGCTCTCCAGGACCAGGGTTGAAGACCACTGTTTTAGTATATTACAGATCACATTCCTTACTAAAACTGTACTGGCAATCACGCAAGAAAACTATCATAGTTGCTATACAAATTACAGGCTGACCTACAGTTGTTTTGCTTCTTTCATTGACACACTGACTTTACTGTGTGTAGTGTTTCAGGCCTGTCATTCAGACGGAAGGTTTTTCTATTAAAAAAAAAGCTCCTCATTTGAAGCTGACAGGTTTTAGTTGGGGTTTACTTTTATAAAACGGAATGGTTTCTTCCAAGCAATGTAGCTTGTTATAATGAAGTTAGGGTTGCCAAGCAAGGTAACAGCCAAGGATTCTTCTGTCAACAGTGCCCTGGATTTTAATAATTTGGTCCATTTATACAGATGTGGCTCGGCAAATCAGATTCTACAGCATACAAAAATAAACATACCTCCTCCTCCTGAACCCCAACCAGCTGCCCAGCATTGAGTGTTGACAGGGAAGCTGTTGTCCCCCTGGTCCACACATATGGGCTGAATATAGTCTGTAAGTGTTGGCTTGCGAGACAGTTGCAGTACTGCTATGTTGTTCGCTGTACCAGTGCTCAATGAGATTTTAGTCACATTGACAGAAACCTCGTTGGCGTTGACGCCGTTCTGTTTGAGGCGGCCCAGAATTACAATCCAGTCGGAAGCATTGGTGGAGCTGTGAAATACAGAACATAAAGTCTTACAACTAGCATTCATGTGTGTTGATCTGCTTTTGACCAACTGACTCAATTTTTATATATTATGTTGCTTATTCTGTGGTTTTTACCTAGAGAAGCAATCAGCGGAGCTCAGGACAAACTGCTCAGCTACCAGTGTTCCTCCACAGACATGAGTACCATTACGTTGCAGGCTGGCCATCCATGGCCACACACCTGCAGATGCCAAGGAGTTGCCGCCTCCTGTAACAGTATTCAGCTTGGCACTGCCACACACCACAGCTGGAGCAAGAGAGGAAATAAAGTATAATTAATGATTCATTTTCCTTAGCAGTGTGCCTTCAACTATTCCCTTTGCCTGATAATGAAGTTTTGGTCACAGAAGACTTCTCCAGGCACAGTCTACTGTACATGTACAGCCCCAATTCCAAAAAAGTTGGGATGCTGTGTAAAATGTAAATAAATGTAAAGAAAAACGGAATGCAATGATTTGCAAAGATTGTAGATCCATACTTTGTTCACAGTAGAACATAGAACACATATCAGAGATTTTACCATTTCATAAAAACATTAACTCATTTAGAACTTGATAGCAGCAATGCATCTCAAAAAAGTTGGGACAAGGGTAACAAAAGGCTGGAAAAGTAAGTGGTAATAACAAAAAACAGCTGGAGGAGCAATTTGCAACTAACTCACATGACTGGGTATAAAAAGAACATTTTAGAGAGGCAGAGTCTCTCATAAGCAAAGATGGGCAGAGGTACACCAATCTGCGAAAAACTGTTTTTTGAAATTGTGGAGCAATTTCAGAAAAATATTCCTCAATGTAAAATTGCGAAGACTTTGGATATTCCACCATCTACAGTACATATCATCATCAAAAGATTCAGAGAATCTGGAGAAATCCCTGTACACACGGGACAAGGCCGATGGTCAATATTGGATGCCCGTGATCTTCGGGCCCCTACATTGAAAACGCATGATTCTGTGCTGGAAATCACTGCATGGGCTCAGGAACACTTCCAGAAATCATTGTCTGTGAACACAGTCCGCCATGAAATCCACAAATGCAAGTTAAAGCTGTATCATGCAAAGAAGAAGCCATATATCAACATGATCCAGAAACGCCGCTGTATTCTTTGGGCCAAAGCTCATTTAAAATGGACTGAGGCAAAATGGAAAACTGTTTTGTGATCAGATTAATTAAAATTTAAAATTGTTTTTGGAAACTACGGGTGCCATGTCCTGTGGACTCAAGAGGAGAGGGACCATCCAGTATGTTATCGGCGCACAGTTCAAAACCCTGCATCTCTGATGGTATGAGGTTGCATTAGTGCCTATGGTGTGGGCAGCTTACACATCTGGAAAGGCTCTATCAATGTTCAACAGTATATAAATGTTTTAGAACAACATATGCTCCCATTCAGACAGCGTCTGTTTCAGGGAAGGCCTTGCATATTTCAGCAAGACAATGCTAAACCACATACTTCATCCATCACAACAGCATGGCTTTGCAGAAGAAGAGTCCAGGTGCTGAACTGGCCTGCCTGCAGTCCAGACCTTTCACCAATAGAAAACATTTGGTGCATCATGAAACGAAAAATCCGGCAAAGAAGGCCCAGCACTGTTGAGCAGTTAGAATCCTACATCAGACAAGAATGGGACAACATTCCTCTTCCAAAACTCCAGCAATTGGACTCCTCACTTCGCAGACTGTTGTTAAAAGAAGAGGGGATGCAACACAATGGTAGACACGGCCCTGTCCCAACTTTTTTGAGATGCGTTGCTGACATCAAGTTCTAAATGAGTTCATATTTTTCATGAAATGGTAAAATGTCTAATTTTTAATATCTGATATGTGTTCTATGTTCTATTGTGAATAAAATATGGGTCTATGAGATTTACAAGTCATTGAATTGTTTTTATTTACACTTTACACAGCGTGCCAATTTTTTTAGAATCGGGGTTGTAGATAATCTTACGTGATGCAGTAGTTGTGGGGACAGTGGTGGTTGTTGTGGTTGTAGCAACAGTAGGCAGTCCAGCACAGGACACACTCAGGTCTCCATCAGTGCCTGTAGAAGTGTACGTGACAAAGCCTGGCTGGTTGCTGGTGATCTGCTGGTTGATCCAGTTTTGGTACTGAGACACTCTAGTATACACTCCAGGATAATTTGGCTGAGCACAGCTGTAACCAAAGCTCACAATGCCTGCCTGGACCCAAACACCGCCTTGTTTGCTGACCAGTGGACCTCCAGAGTCTCCCTGTGCAGAACCAGATAGATATCTATGTGTATACAAGAACACCCTTAAATGGAAAAAGGAACAATGTAAGCAGCAAAGGAAAATTAGGAAGACATTACCTGACAGGAGTCTTTGCCCCCTGCCAACAATCCAGCACACATCATGTTGTCTGTGATCTGTCCAACTCCATATAAGCAGTTACATTTCCTGTTTCCAACAACTGGAATTTGTACTTCCTGCAGGGTCTTGGGAGAAGGGAGACTTACTGAGGAAACACACATTGAAGATCATTTTAACTCAATAAAATTTAATTTCATAGATGTGTGAAAATGTGTTTTAATGCTCGAACTTTTTTAATATACTCTTTATTGCAGGGATGCCAACTCTGCTCCTAGTGATCCACCTACTTGGAGAGATCAAAAATACTAGACTTGCTGATCTTCAGATAGAAATTAAAATATACTTGGTATGTAAGTCTGATTATGTTGCCTCCACAGTACAAATGATAGATCAGCATTTAGCATTTTTTGATGGAACCCAACCTGCAGTCTATTAATACCATTCAAAGGAAAGTTCAGTAGGTCTGATGAAGTCTTTACTTGTAGTTAAATGCACTTTTCTTTCTTATGCATATGCATTTGAGAAAAGGCTGACCTGTTTAAACTTTCTGGACCAAATGTACATACAGTTTTTTGCAAAAGTTTTGGCCCCTGGCCAAATGACATGTTTAGTTGATTTTTGGAGTGGTAAAAAGTAAATACAAACTTTGCAGCAAACAAGTTGAATTCTTGTGTTAATGTACAGTTACTTTAAATTTGATGAAATTAACAAATAGAAAAATAAATAAGCTGTAAAGTCTCAGGACTTAATTATTTCATTCTTAACATTTTAGGCCTCAACTGACTCATTAGGACTGATTAGGCAGGTCAAAAATTGTCATCAGGCAATGTCAGCTGATGACAATTCCAGAATGTAATAGTTTTTTGACCCTATACGTCAAGTCAACATGTATTTATGTAGTGTTTTTTACAAATCAGCTTTTCAAGCCCCAAATGAGCATAATATTTTACTTACTTAATATACAATACTGAATATAGAAAAAAGAAAATAAAAAAAGAAACTGACTTGTAACAGTGTTACAGTCACTGTTACTGTCATGGAAGAGCATGCAAAACATCTAGATAAGCCATACATAGAGCTGTAGACTAAAGAAGTAAAAATGGAACTCTTTGACCACAATCACCAAATGTATGTTTAGTGAAATAAAGAACCAGTATTTGATGAAAGGAACACATTGCCAACTGTTAAGCAGGTCATACATTTAGTATGCTTTGGTGTTGTGTGGCAGCCAGTGGTACAGGAAACATTGCATAGGTAGATGAAAGTATTAATTCATATTCCTCTAAATATCAGCAAATTCTGGAAGCAAATGTCACACAGTCACATCCACCATGAACTACTTCAAAATAATGCAAGCCAAAGCTTCTGAAAGCCATCAAAACAGAGCAGCTCCCGAAAACACTTTAGCACTGATTAGAGACGTCAAGTTTAGTGGAGAAAGACAGAGGAGAACATACTTTGTCTAAACTGTCATCTTCAATCTGAACTAAAGAACACAGCATTGTTATCAGCTGTTAAATGCCTATGGAAACCTTTCGAGATCTTCGCTTTTCACTCCAGCCTGAGGGAGCAGCTGACTGGCTAGCTAATTTTAGCTAAACGAGCACTGTGTGTACTATTTTCTTCTTTCTTTATTCTTTTAGATTAAAATAGCAGTTATTTATCAGACGTCTGTCGCGTATATTTCACTGTAAATGTCTGACAGCTAACTACTGTAGTTGACATTAGTGTCAATCCTTGCGGGTTACCCTTATCAAATACAGTTATGAAGGTATCTGCCTGTATAAGGCTGTGATACGGAAAATTTAGTCCAATGCAGATATAACTTGGATTTCTTTCGGATTCTGCAGCCTGTGTTTATTGCCTAGTTGCAAAGCAGAAATCTGATTACTGCCTGACTCATGTAGACCTAAATTTTTCCCCATTATCTTATTATTCAAGTGCATGTAAACGCATCGATCAGATTAGTGACTTTAATTATTAGTATTAACTATATTAGTAAACGTCCATAAACTTGAATTGGGCACTTGCACTGTGTGTGAGTAAGTATATGAAGAACAGCAACTATTGTGAATCAAACATAACAGTGCAAGAAAGCTGATTTAGCATCCACACTTGTTCACCAGGATATGAGCCCTGACCATGCATAAGCAGCCTCGGTGTGAGAGGGTACATAGGATATAGCCTCAATTTGGTTCAGTTTGAAAGGGCACACATGAGCTTTAGCTCCCCTGCAAATCCTCATTTCTCACCTCCACTGGCGGTGTTTCCCCAGCCAGTGACCCAGGTCAGAGTGCCATTGAAGAATGTGCTTCCGGCTGCAGCCAGGCAGACAGGCTTAATATAATTAGTGAAGGTCACACTAGAGCTCAGCTGCAGCAGGGCGAGGTCGTTGTCATTCGTGGTTGAACTGTAGCTGGGATGTTTGATGGCTTGCAAAACAGATCTGGCCACTACATTTGTGTTACTTCCCTGAGTGCTCAGTGACTGATCACCCAGATACACGGTCACTTGTGAAGCAGTAATGCTGAAAAAAAGAGGAAAGACATTCTTATCACCATCTGATAAATGCTCTTGTCACAGTATTACAGGCAACTCTTCAGAATTTTTATTCAGTGTGAAACCTTGCAAAGCAGTGGGCCGCTGTTAGAACCCAGTTAGAGTTGATGAGGGATCCACCGCAGAAATGGCTGCCAGAAACCTGCAAGCTGACTTGCCAAGGCCAAGAACCTGGAGAAGCATCCTGTCCTCCCACTATCTTGGTGTTCAGAGGAGCCACACCACACACTGGCAATAAGAAAAGAGTGATGACCGAACATGATGAGGTATTTCTTACTTAAAGGCCTGAAACATACTTCACGCAAGGATGCGAGTGTGGATGCTTCGAGCTATGCAGACAGAGTTTTATGCGTCATTGTGTTCTCACAACGCATGTGCAAGCTTTATTCTGAGCGTTAGAGCAAGGGCCACTATAGTGACAGCCAAGCCTGGACAATCAGTCTTGTGCCGCCTGTGCGATTTCTCCTAGTCAACTGTCATAGCGGGCGAATGGTTGGATGAGTCTCTTGCAAAAATGCTTCGCCTGCATTAACATTGGGGTCCAAGAGTCTGAGACCAGTGAAAATGCTTCTATTTTGCATAATTTCAAATTGAATGCAAGTTTTTTTCATCACAAATTCAATTATCAGCATAACAACTGAAGTGAGTGAAAAGTAGAATCTTTGTATGAAATATTTACATGAATTGCAAGACTTCCAGCTTTGAATAAAAAGACGACAGATTTTCAATGTTGTCTCAGGCTTTTAGACCCGACTGTAGATATGATGTATCATTGCTTCATTATTACAATTGTATAAGCGCTGTCTGCATGCATGTTTAGTTGGAATAACAGTAGATCACGTCCTGATTTTTCCTCTATCGCCCCCTTGAGTACTGCGTGTTTTAACTGCCACAGTAATGTAGGAACGCACAGTGAGTTTGTACAGAAGGACTGTACGTTTGCAATGTGTTGGCCGTGTGCTGTCATTTGCATTCACATACATGCGTCCAGTATATTTCTGGCCTAACTGTCGATGAAAATTTGACTTCATCCTACATCATCTGCAGCTTTCTTCTCTCTTAACACACTGCCTCAAGATGTGATCACCACAATTCAAGTATGAGAACATGAAGCATCATTTTATTATAACATTTTATTCTCATTCTGCTATTCTTTCATAGTTATTTCAGGATCATTTACAGCTCTGTTTTTCATTCTGGATACATCGAACATTTCTTAATTTTCTTACAGCTTCCTACTAAAAATTATTTCAAAGCAATGAAATTGTACTGAAATTTAATACCAAACACATGGTTCAATAGTGATTCAATCACTGTTCTAGATTATTTAATAAAAATAAGAAAAGACTTACCACTCAACTGCGAGTGGCACCCTGCAAGAAAGAGAACAATGTTAGTGGTCACTCATTCAGTAACATTCAGTAACTAAGGTCAAGCAGATTAATGAAGGCCAAGGTCAGTGAAGCAATACAGTGTCTTTTATATTCAGGTAATATTGTATGTCTGGCTAAAATCATCCACATGTGAAAATACTGTAGGGTTGGCCGCAATTAAAATATCAGCTATCGCACATGTCGCAGTGCTTTATTTTCCAGCTGTTGTTGGTCACAGCTACACAGTACATAAGCATGGTTTTCTTTCACTTAAAGCTCGTTCACTACCCCGCTCATGCCTCCTCCGCCTTTAAACATAACTTTATCCCTCGCTCTTCTATTTTCAGGAATAATCAACACATTTTACATAGAAGGTCTACGTATTTGCTGAATGTAAATGGTGAACTGTATTGAGGAACTCATAAGTATCTTGGGATGGAATTTGTCATAGAAGGATACAATAGTGTTATCACTTAAATTACTTCATATCAAGGATCAGTGTTGACATCTTTCATTACCAGGTCAAATCTCAAAGCTCAAAATTGAAGTTATTGATCTTTTAATTTGAAGATGAACACATATCAGAAAGGCACTGACTGTTAATCAGAGCTGTCCTCCAAATGGAATTAAATGGAAATGGGGTTTTTCTCGGCTACCAGTGGACAAACTTTGGTAAGTTGTTAACAGGTACATTGTACACAATGAGATATAAGAAACCATCTCAAGACATTTCACAGAATTTACTCATGCAATGCATATCTTTCATATTATTTTATACAGCCACAACAGCACATTTTTTTCACAAACACTGTGTCACTCTGCTGAGACTTTGACAGCTGTTGGAGACGCTCAAACCGTTTGAACGTTTTTACCTCTTACTTTGCGCGCAAACAGAAAATGTACACTTTTAAGATGATATTTGACAGACAGCTGATTTGGTCTGACTCTGGAGATGAGACTACACTAAATTTCCAAATTGTCATTACCACTGAGCAGCTTTTCAGTCGGCATCTGTGACAGATGAACAGCTAAACAACCTGGAATTAGCCAGAAATGAACCGAATACCATGCGCCAAACAAAATGGGCTGTAAGATGCTTTACAGACTGGCTGGAACAAAACAACATTAATATTGATCTAGCAAAAATTGACAAAATTGAGCTAAACTTGATATTGCGGCAATTTTATGGTTTTAAGAGCTTGTTACTCTGACGTAGCAACAAGCTGCTTGTTAAGGAACTATAATTTAGCGGAAGGAACTAACATTAAAACATAGTAAATGCCACGTTCACAGTCCAATTTATTTATTTCTTACTTTATTTAAAAAGGGCTCTTCTATTGTTACAGGCCCAGCATCATAACAATAGAAGAACCATTTTTGGTACTATATAGAACCCTTTTCTAAAAGGTTCTGTATAGAACCATATAAAACACATTCTCCATCAATCTGAAGAATGCTTTAATGATGTGACGTGACACATTATACATTGTACAATGATAAAAATATATTTTATAATAGCAACACAGTGTTTTTTATATTAAACAATAAAACAATTAGATTTCAGTGAGATTTCTGTAAAATTAATTCCCTGGAGTGTATTTTCAAAGAAATTAACAGTTTCATCATCCATTTTTTGGCTTTTATGTATATTTAAGCAGATAAAGTCTTATTTGCTTATCTAAATGTATTTTTTTTTTTTTTGCTAAACTTGTAAGAATATCAGTAATCAGCTGGCAGAGATTAATTGTGATATCTATTGTTTTAAAAAAAGATCCTATTCACCTGTAGTGTCTCGCCTTAGTTTAACCTGAAACCAGCATTTTAGTTAGACATTAACTGTAAACATGCTGTTCTTGCCCTGTGTATGTGAACTGGTTATGTGAGTTCTGTTCTCAACCGGTCAGAAATAAAGACACATATCTGTATTCAGTAGGTAAATGAGCAGGAGCACATAAAAACACATGAACAAGCCAAATTAGGAACCTACCTTTGGCTAGGAAGCCGATTACGAGCGCCAAACTCAGCGTCAACATCATCGTCACTTAGAATGAAACCGTCTTACAACATTTCAGACTTTCATACACTTCCTCAGCACCTGAGACTGACACACCCATACCTGTCTAACCCCCCCCCCACACACACATTCCCTTTTTTCTGATTCTCTGTCACTCCTGGTAGAAGAACTGATATCACTGATGTGAAACTTCCTTATATATATATATATAGCACAAAACCGATATTTCATTAATGTAAAGCTTATTGACTCCAAAGGCACCTTAATGTGTGATCAAGACACAAAATTTAAAATTTCCTTTTTCTTTTAATGCCTATTTTACCAGGCTCGTTTTAAAAAGTATCACTATAAAAATATAAATAAACGTGTTCAATAAACACATCCTGAAAGATGCAGGCTCCCAGTATACTTGGCTGTACATAGCGAAACTCTTTAAAGCATTAAGTGTCCATTACCAGCAGAATTCCTAGAAAACACAGGCAGCGAGGGGAACAACTAAACAAGTTATTCTTCATTCCACTTTTCTCAGCTAAACTTGTTTGAAGAGAACTTTCCCTCTGCTGAGAAAAACATTCCTTTAGTGTCAGCTCACGGCTCACAGACGTACATTATTACATTAGTGTCACAAAAATAGCTTTAGTCTGAATTCTCCATGGTTTGTTCACAACCCTGTATATTGACATCCTGAACCTCATGTGTGCATGAACAATGCAAAATAGTACATCAGTGTCACTAGAATAGATCACATCCTTGTACATTTAGGCCCCCAGTTTCCTCCTTCCACATCACTGGCAGAAGTTTCATTCTTAACAAATTTAAAACAGCACACACCGTTAGAAATAAAGGTACTATGAAGGTATATTTTTCATTCGTCAAGGTACAAACAATGCACATGTACCCTCAGACGTACAACAGTGCTTTTAAGGTCCAATTGTGTACCTTAAATAAGTTTTTCCAGGTGAAAAGTACATATCTGTACCTTTTGACAACCTAATGCTTTAAAACACAGCAATACAATAAAAAGCCTGGAGACGAGACGGGGTATGCGGAGTCAATACAACTTACATAATTAGAATATATAGAAATAATTTAGAATATAATTTCAATGGATTATGGTACAGTTATGTTCCCTGACTAAAGGTACTGAGATGTACCCTTAAGGAGACCACCCAGTAATAAGAGGTGCACTGCCCCCATGACAGTTTCATACCTTTTTAACTGAGACTGCAGCAGTCAAAATGTTTAGGTTTTTTTTTTCAGAACAAATAGATCTCTTTCTTTTACAGTCCCTTAAAGGGGAACTCCACAGATTTTTCAACATTTCTAAGTAAATAAATGGTTAAGATGCCAACAAAATCACTGAGAGTGGTTTGGTGTGAAATGCTCCGTTGTAGAGAAACTTACAGAATCAGAATTGTTCACAGTGGAAGTGATAGGAATCAGATGTTTGAAACATTCATGCCTCTAAAAGCTCCGTCACAGAAAGTTATTGCCTTAAATGGCTATGAATACGCCTGAGACATTGTTTTATGAAAGTTTTGAGAAGGTTTTGAACAAAAATCATTTTTTTTAAACTATTCAAAGAGGAAAGGTAAATGAAGGATGTTGTAAGGCAAAAAAACTTTTGTTTCATATTTTACCATAATCAGCAATACATATGACAACTTAGAAGACCTGTGTTCACTGATCACTGGTAATTTTGAATAGTAAAACAAATTTTGCTGGTCATTTTGTATAATAAATAAAATAGCTATATTGGCGTGGCAGACATCACAACCCTTGGTTCCTATCACTTTCATTTTGACATTTAATTTGACCTTTAGTGTATGTTTGTACTTTCTACCTCATTACTACAAAATATTTTACTATACTCCAGGAATTTTACTATGTCCTTTATTAAGCTTAATGGCTAGCACCTGTTAGTCATTTCAGTGTAATAATAATAATAATTATTATTATTATCAGCTACATTGTAAATGAGGGTCACCTTCAGTGTATTTCCAAGTGAAAATAAAGGTTGATTGATTGATTGATTGATTGATTGATTACAATATCTTGCTACTTATAATAATTTACCTAAAATATTCCACACTGTGCTCCACACTTAAAGTTCAAATCTAGAAGTTCACATCACGGTTCACATCTAGAACCTGTTTGGCATTTCAGAGTAATTTATTTAACTGTCTCAGGCCTTATCATCATGATACCCATGATAAATAATGATCTAGTACTTTGGAGCTTACCTGGTTAATATCTAGAACTCAGTAGACTGTAAAAGAAAGCGTTACCCAATTCTCAGTACTGGAATCATGACTTGCGTTTGGCCATAACTCATCATTATTTTTTGCTCATAGCTGAAACTGATTATTCCATCTCAGCCTCTAATTCAGAACATGCAGGGATACTTTTCCATGCTGCTTGTAAACACTTTCAAATTTCAGTCTCAGAAGTTGGTTACATTTTCTGCTTCTCACGATCAGAGTAATGCCAAACACATTAAGTGATGCTGAGCTCTGGACTCTTACTTTCCACCTCAGGTGTCCAGTTTCAGTGTTCCAGTGCAGATGTAATTCATTTTGTCAGTTTCCTTTTCTCAGTAACTGCTTTTTGACACTTTCAGGATCTTTCAAAGATAAAGGCTTTAAGCGCTGTTTATCTGATGGGGATGGTTTTGGTGGTCTAGCAGGTTTTGCATGGTTGCTAAAAGTAACATTTTCTCTGTATCTGTTAATGCTGGTTTGAACTCCAGTTTAGGAAACTCATACCTAATTTTATAAAAATAAATAACTTGTACTTAATGATCTATTAGACCGGAAATTAAGTAAATGAAGGGTGGTCTCTGACTTCTTGCTCATGCAGCCAAACTCCTCAGCCAGCAGGGAAACATCAAAACATTCACAAAACAATACAAAACAAAACAAACGAAAAACCAATGTAAAGCGGCAGCCATATTGCGCCAGCGTACTTACAACGAAACAAACACGCACAATATCCTTAGTGTACATTTACAACCATATATTTCATTACAAACTAATAACTGCTAAAGAAAGCATCTTTGGTAGAGGGCATGAATGCACTGTTTATCAGCAAGAAATGTCAATTTGTAAATCTTTGCTGGCACCGGATGCCTTGGGTGTGTGCACAGCATCCTAAAATCTGAACACTGCCAAAGAATTCTGGAATAGAACGTAGGGCCCAGTGTCAGAAAGCCAGGTCTCCGTCTGAGATTATAGGTCTTTTAGTAGGATAGCATACATCAAAAAGCACCCAGAAATGGTTTAAGACAAAGCGTTTGACTGTTCTGAAGTGGCCATCAATGAGTCCAGATCTCAATCCCACAGAACACCTGTGGAGAGATCCCAAAGATTATTGTATAGCAATTTGCGAGTTATATGGAAGAAGAACTGCTTGGGTGCCAATATTTCTAGACATGACTGTAGGAGTGTATCAGGCTCTGGTGTTGCTGGAGTTTTAGACACACCTCGAAGTACAGTCCACCAAACAAAATCATCCAGCTAACAGCATCCTCTGGTCAGTGATGAATGGCTAGAGAATTACTAACAACAGGAATGGAAAAAACAGATGAGCCACAGTTTATAATTGTACACCACAACTGTACGAAGTGCACCAACTAGGTAGGTGTGCCTAATAACACGGCCAGTAAGTGTAAATAATGTTCAGAAGCCCCAGCAATGCTACTGTACCTGATACAGTCAAGCCAGCACGACTCACTAACATGCTACTACTGTGTTGATATCACTGCAGTGCTGACCTGGTCTGAGGTGGTCCTTTTGGAGAGGTTAGAGGGGAGCTGACAAAAGGTGCATCAACAGTTAGGCTACAGTCAGTCATTTTAAACCTACAAAGTGCACGTATGTGGTAGGTGTTTCTAATAAAATGGCCAATGAATACAAGCATTTCATGTGGTATTTTCATCATTTTGTACACCTCCTGTATATGTGGCTAGTATTTCAGGACACTGTGATAGAATATGATAAACATCCAGAAGTATCAGCACAGGACTTGTGACTTATTAACATTACTGTACGTGAAAAAATCATCTTCTCATTTGGGATGTGTGGTGCTTTTATAAAAGACACATAAGAAGCAAAGAGCATTTAATGTTTTCACAGATTTTTTTTTAGTTATTTTTGTTTTCTTCTCTTTTCAAAAGACATTACAACAGACACTGAAAGGGAATTTCCTTAAACAAGTCACTTCCGCAAAAGGGGAATTCATCCTCATCTGTGTGAAAGCTCCATTGTTTTGGCTGTGTTCATCCTATTCAGCTTAATTTAGTATGTTTACATTCAGATCCATAAGTATTCAGACAGTTTTTGTAATTTTGGCTTTGTACACTATCACAGTGGTTTTGAAGTGTGGACTTTTAGCTTTAATTTAAGAGGTTTAGGGACAATATTGCATTAACCATTTAGGAATTACTAGGCTCAAAAGTAAAATGACAAACTTGCATAATTCTAAATAAAAGGATTTTTTTTAACACCTGGACGCAAATCCTTCACATTCAAACACTGCCTGAGGTCTGAAACTCATGGACATCACCAAATGCTGACTTTCCTCCCTTGAGATGTTTTGCTAGGCTTTTATTGCAGCCGCCTTCAGTTGCTGCTTATGTGTGGGTCTTTCTGTCTTCAGCTTTGTCTCCTGTAAGTGAAAATATGCTCAATTAAGTTGAGGTCAGACGAGTGTCTCAGACATTTAAGAACATTTTGTTTCACTGCGTCAAGGAGCTCTTGGCTTTTGCAGTGTATTTTGGGTCATTATCCATCTGTGCTGTGATGCGCCGTCCTATCAGTTTTGCAGCATTTGACTGAATCTAAATAAAAGTATGGCTCTATACACTTCAGAATTCATTCTGCTTCTTCTATCAGCATTGCATTGGCAGCCATACATCCCCACGCCATAACACTGCTGCCACCATGTTTGCTACAGATCATGAGCCTTTCCTGTCCTTCCTCATACTCTTCTCTTTTCATTCTGGTACCAATTAATCTCTGTTTCATCTGTCTGAAGAATCTTGTTCCAGAACAGGCCAGACTTGACTTGTTTAGATGTTTTCTAGTCCAATCGGCCTTTGTGTTC